GGATTAAAAGCGTATACTTTCCCATTTCGTTCCGCTTGCACTATAAGTATGTCCTTGAAACGCGAGCTCCAGGCGTACGAAAAAAACGCCGAGATGCTCGAAGCGTTTGTTTTCACTACCGCCAGAACTCTGGCACCGTTCCTTGCACGCTTCTTTGCCGATATAATTTCCGCCCAACTGTCACAAACAATTGCAATACCATGAGAAACATCTCTGGGAGGTTGAAGCAGATGGACGTCTCTAAATATAGAAACTGTGGTGGTTAACTCATTCGCGTTGATTGTATACATCTCTTCAGTAAACCCATCGTCGGTGGAAACAACTGCAATTGCAGAACGTGTTTTGAAAAATTCAAAAATAAACTCGATTTGAGGCCTATTGCTATATTCAGATTTGAACGCGCTTTCAAATCCCATCGTGAAAATCACACCGATTAACAAATAGAAACAGAAAATATTTAATGTACACATTCTTCAGCTCCAATAACTCAATTGGTCGTAAATATATAAGAAATTTCTAACTCTATTAGTAAGATTCGATCATTTTACCCTTCATTCGTGCGAAAACCACCATCCATCAACTTTATGGCATGTCATAGACGAATTTATTGCGCCAAAGTCATCAATCTTCTCCCAAATAATTCGTTGCGGTACAAATAGGCCAGAACGAATTTTATCGGTGTTTCAATAGAAACTTCATTCCAACTGTGTTAGCCTTTCATTTTATATTTTAGGAAACTGATAAATGCTTCAAAATTGCACTTTATACTTGCCGTATGGCAGTGGTGTTCATATAAATATTTTATGATATTTTAAGCGGTTTACATAAGTGTTGGGTTTTCAAAATATATATTTAATACTTTCCTGGAGCATAGATAAGCGCATTTCATTGAAAGCAGGACAATTTAATTTTGTCATTTCGGTCCTGGTCCTTTTGGTTTTGGCGTTTCGGTTTTGGCTTATTCGACCTTTGCCGATTCGGTTACCATCAGTTAGACAGTGAATGCTCAATTGGTACCTAGAACATGCACATTAAGAGTTGTTAAGCGAGACCATATAGTGTAAAGAATATAGAACTTACACTATGGCGAGACGGTTATGCTTATTCCCAATCCTCCGAACGCTCGCCAGCTCTATGGCTTGATGGCTTCAAGTCCATCGATTAAAAAGCGAACGGATATACAATGAAATTTTGCAGGCCGACTTTTGATCAAATTTCTAAGTCGGCGTGTGTGAATTGACCATGCAGGCTAAAAAATAAGAAAGGTCCTTTAACATCTCCGTTAGTTATGAACCAATTGCATGAAATTCAAACTGGGCATAGGTTTAACGATATAATACGCAATGCCAAAAGTTAAGCCTATTCGATTCACTATTTACAGTGCCTTTTAAGCGAATTTTTGAAAATTTATAACGCGAATAGCAGGTGAACGGGACATCGAAAGTGGCTACCGACAAACGGAATATGGTAGCCCCCGACAAGATCTTGCAGATGGTGGAGTCTAATAGAATACTGATCTGCTACACAAAAAAGCGAGTTTATTATAAATTGCTTTTAAAGGTATGATGTAGGTATGCATATTACACAATATAAAGGAAAAGGAGGAACTCGTAGTTCCTACCAAATGCTACTCAGAAGCATAAATTATATCGTTGAGTGAATCTGATTTCGTTATTCAATGATTCTAGTGATACTTTTAGTGTAAATCAGGCTTTTATATTTGTCTTCCTAGTTCAAAAATGAACTTGTAGGTAGTTAAAATAAAATGACAATTGTTGGTTATATCTTCGCGAATCGGTTGAGAATAAAAATATACTAAGGTAGTTTATTAGCATTTTTGTCTTTTAATAACCTCTAATTTAATTTCCCAAAATATTGCCTATTTTTCCTGGGACACCCTTTAGGACACTTCATTTTTGACAAGACCAAATAAATAAAAAAATAAACCTTCGAATTTGGGGAAAGTATATATTATATTAAAATTACGGAATCCAATTTAAATTACTCAGCAAATTGAAACTGCACCAAACACAGGTTCTTTAGTTGGTAAATTACATTCAAAATACACAAATTTAAAGATTGAGTGAATCCTTTTTGATCGATTAATCCAAATTTTACGTTAAAATTTATACCAACTTTACGTATTTTTCTTATATAATAGTAAAACCATTGGAAACCCGGAAAAAATTTTCTTATAGAATGTGGCCTGTAGAATCCATAATTTCAAACAGTTCCAAGATTGGGTTACTAGTTCAAAAGTTACAGCCCTTTGAATTTTTTTTCGAAATTGGTTTTCTAGTCTATAACTTTTGATTGAGAAGTCTGATCGAAAAAGTGCGAATTGTTTTGGATTCTACGCACCAAAATTAATAAGAAAAAGTGTTTTCCCGAGAAATTTTGGTGTAGTCGATTTTTGGTAAAAAAGGAAGGTTATACACTGCCTTTTTTTGAGGCCCGCAAAAAAAATTGTCTCAGATCGACCCGGAAAAAAAATTTCTTATAGAATGTGACCTGTAGAATCCATAATTTCAAACAGTTCTAAGATTGGGCTACTAGTTCAAAAGTTACAGCCCTTTGAATTTTCTTTCGAAATTGGTTTCTAGTCTATAACTTTTGATTGAGAAGTCTACTTAAAAATGCTACAGCATCAAATTCTGACTTTTTGAATCCCAAACATTTTGCTCACCGGAAATTTTCTGTAGGTACGACAAAAATTAAGTGAGTTATAGAGGTATTTAAACGTGTATTTATACGCGAGCACTTCTTTGTGTGGGCCCTATTTTAAGATAAAGTGTTTTAAAGGGATCTAATCTAAATCTCTGTAGTGATAGTCAGATAGTGCACCCGTGCACAACGCTTTAACGGTGCGACAATATCAAACAAACAAAATTGCTGTAAAATGGAACATTTCTCCGATAGGTATTCTCGCACGATTAGGGCGGGTGCACCATCCTGTTGAAACCAATATAATGGTGGTATAATTTGTATGGGTTAGCTTCTTCCTTTCCACCAATATCAAGTCGCTTTTGGGGCTGTGGCTTTCAAAATTCAAAAGCTTACATGGAGTAACGATGTTTGAATGCTGGCTGGCAATTGTAACTAAATAATGCTAATTAATTAGATGAAGACTAGAAATGCAAAGCAGCGCGTTTATGCATGGTATCCCAACGATAGCTTGTCACTATAGTCAAAATAAATGAATTGCAATGCAATGTTCCAAAAAGTCGACGAGGACTAATTTTTATGCAAAAATAGAATAGGGTTGCAACCCCGCAAAAATTTTGAAATGAAACGAAGGATCTAACAGCCCATAATTTGAAAGGGTTTTCATTACTTTTCCTGCTCCATTAATTTCCGTACCATAATACAATCATGATTCAAACCCACATCTTACATTTTTAAAGACCTCAAGAGTTAGTCATTCGGCGCTAATTCTTGGTTGTATAGTACAAATTTTCGTTGGGACTCCTTGTATTGAAAATGAAGCAACCTATTTTTAGACAAGGATCATTAGCAGCACTCACTGAATACTAATCTTATATTCAATGCTGCTTTGGAATGCAGTGGATTTACTAAGAACATGAAAAATAGACTGAAGGAAGGGCGAAGATGGTTGCGAACGACATAACGACATAAAAAGCCATGAACGAAACATTAACCCTGTTTTTTAACACGAACTTTCCACCCCAAAATCAGTTGTGCTCACGACCCGCCGGCAGTTGTTTAGTCGCCTCTTACGACACGCAGTGCCCTCTGCGATAGGGGTATTCTTTCCCGCCCCTACTCCGATAGAATTATTTGATTCGCAACAAATAGTAAAATACTTACCTTAATCAAAGAGAAAAATATACTTCTCAAGATCCCACAATAATTTGAAACTTCCTCTCGTTAAAAATCTAAAATCCTATAGGCGAATATTCCAAGGGTCAATTTACGTGGAAGGAATATAATCGTTAATCGGGCGAACCGGAATTCTGAGGGCGAATATGCCCTCTTCAATATATACCGTAAGTGAAAATTTCAAAGGAATTTTCTGGCAGTGAAAGTTACTGGGACAAAGGTGTGCCGGTTGGAGCTATTTATCCCGAAGGAAAATTTGAGGGGCTAACTTTTCTATAATGGTGGATAGTTCTTTATTTACCTACTTGTACTTGAAATGAGTACTACGTTTCGTATTCTGGTCAGCGGATGCCCCATTCCTTCGTGCCATTTTGCAGATTCTCTTTTTGGCTATAAAAATGAATTTAGGGCTTCCACTATAGAACTATATGATTTAAAAAAAAGCTTAAGGGGAAGTTTCGGAACAATGAACCAGTTGGGGTAAAAGCAGAGAAGTAATAAAACACGAAAATGACAAATGAAGATTACCTTTGGCTTCAGCAATACCTACTGTTCAAAGTACCTAACTTCTTACAGATGAAGAATGTGTATGTCTAGCAGGGGTTGGAACCAGAGTCGAAAAGAACTGGTATCGTAACCGGAACCGATTGACTTTATAGGTCTCTCGCTTGGAACCGAGTATTGAAACAGTTATGATAACCGGAACAGATACCGGTACGGTTAGTCCAAAGAACCGGTCTCTCTCTCTCTCTCTCTCTCTTTCTCTTTTGAGCATTGAATAAGAATAGTGTTATTATTCAATGCTATTACCGAAAACAAAGATAATCGAATCAAAACCATTATGAAGGCTGAAGAATGTGTAAAGAAAGCAATAGTTGTTCAAACGTAGAAAAAGACAGGTAAAAACAAGTTTCAATTAAATTTAGCAAATACGTTAATGAAAAAGAATGCGTTTTTATTGTTTATGTTGTAGCTCTTAAAAACCGAAAAAAAAAACTGGAACTGGAACCTAAAAGAATTTAAGTCACAGAACCGGAAAAAGTACCGGAACCCTTAAAAAATAATTCTACCTAAGTGGTGCGGAACTGGAACCTAACACTTCACCTCTAGTTTATTCCGAGGAAGGACAGTTTTCGGTTTTCCGGGACAATTATTCCAAATAAGACTTCATCGTTTTTAATTTTCAATAACTATCAATAAATACAACTCAAAAAACTAAGCGCGTTATAATCTCAATGCACTGTCAACGAAACAATAAAAAACGTAGTAACAAACTTAGAAACTAACACATTATCCTTTAACGGCTGTGTAAGAGATTCCTTTTCTCGTGGACCCTTTAGAGTTAGACCGTTGTCCGTTGCATCCTTCACATCCGCAAATGGACGGAACCGCTATCTGTTTTTTATAAATGTAACCATCCTCGCATTCTAGAGGTACGATTATAGAGTCATGCTGAAGGGCCTGGCAGCACGTGCACACCGATTCGTGTGAACCCAGATCTAAGAAGGACGGCTTGTGTAAAGTGTGCAGGGTGAAGTTTCTCTACTTACTAATATTGTACATCATTGAGGAAGAGCATGAACCGACGCATTCGGTTAGACCGTGCACTGGTTGCCTGTTAACACAATTGCCGTGGACGCCACGTTGCGCTGACACTATCCCCACGGTCCTGTCCAGTGACATTTCTTGTGGAATGCAGTTTACTAAAAATCAGTTGAAAGTGAAATCAGGTTGGGACAAAGAACGGTTTACCTAAGGCCATTCGAGTGTAATTACACAGCTGGCAGCAGCCTTGAGTGTAAATATCTTGGGCAGGACAATCTTCGATGTTTGGACACGTTTCCAGTTGTGATGCAACAGTAAATTGGTCGTATGATTTTTCGCACGTGAAAGTGGTGCACCCATCTGGCGACGTCCAATTCTCGCCAGGTGTCCTGATTGCGTCCTCAACTACGCAGGCGACTTGTACGCACTCCCCACAGCATTGCGTTTCGGACTCTTGGTACTCCCAGCCGAGTTTGCAGTTCTTGTTACACGTTTCTATATGCTCGACTTTGGACATTTCGCCATGATGGGATTCGACGCAGGTAAACGTCTTGCACTTATCACCATCGGGAGATGGCCAGGTTTCTCCAACCTTGTACTCGTGATGACCCACTTTGCAAGCGACTTTAGTACATTTCTTGCAGCACTCGCCAGGTACCGGACTTATTTCTACCGCGAAGTTGTCAGTAAGCTCCTTTGGTATTTCGGGGCAGTTGACCTTGTCAGATTGGACTTGGATCTAGAGATTTAGTTATAATTATTGCCGTGAGTTTAGACGTGATTTTACCAATCCTGAGAGATCTACGCAGCAGTAATTGATGCAGAAGTCAGGTGATGACCATTTTTCGTCAACGGTGTAAACGTTACCCTCGAAGACACATGCGACTTGCACGCACTCACCGCAACATTCGGTCTCAGATTCTCGATATTCACAGCCCTAATAACAGTTATGGCTATTAATGGTGCAATGTTTCTAATTTCGTTACCTTTGTACAGTTCTTGTTGCAAGTTTGGACCTGGTCTTGCTTCATTATTGATCCATCATCATTTTGAACGCATGAACAGGTCTTGCATTTGTCTCCGTCTGGCGATGGCCACGATTCTCCTACCTGGTACTCGGCGTCTTCAACTTTACATGCAACAGGAGTGTGCTTCTTGCAACAGTGCTCCGGAATAGGAGTCGTTTTGATTACGAAGTTCTTTTGGATATCTTTCGGTATTTCTGGGCAGTTCTCTCTGTCAGATTGAACAATACACTAAAAAGGGAACTTTAATTTTTATGCCAAATTTGGTGTGTAGCATTACAACTCCCTCGTCTTGTACGCATTTGTAATGGATGCAGTAGTCTGGTGATGACCAGACTTCATCAACCGGGTAGAGGCGGTCCTCAAAGACGCACGCTACCTGCACGCATTCTCCGCAGCAGTCCGTTTCGGATTCTCGATACTCCCAACCCTAAATCACATTAGCGCTTAGGCCTCAAGTCAGTAGTTAACGTTTCGTTACCTTTGAGCAATTTCGGTTGCAGGTTTGCACGTATTCCTGCTTGACAAGCCTCTCAGGTGAACTTTCCACGCATGTTACGGTCTTGCATTTGTCACCGTCCGGCGAGGGCCATGTTTCTCCAACCTACAAGAACAAGACTAGATTCCTTCTTTCATCTCGGATTAGTAACCTCATATTTCATATCTCCAACTTTACACGCGACCGGTCTGCGTTTTTCGCAACACTCGCCATCAACAGGAGTGCTTTCGATCACGCAGTTTTCGATTAAATCTTCGGGAAGCTCTGGGCAAATAATTTCTTTCGATTTCACTTGGATCTAAGTGGATTAGGAGTTAGTTGCTTGTAGTCAGAATTTAAACCCTTACCGTTCCATTCATATCAGCGCACATGTAATTGGTACAATAGTCGGGAGATGACCAGTGCTTTCCAATGTCGTAGAGATCGCCGTCGAAAATACAAGCGACCTGTACGCATTCTCCACAGCATTGGTACTCGGATTCTCTGTACTCGCAGCCCTGAATAGTCATATTGTTATATGTTAGACATTTATAATTATACAGTCGCGTATTGTTTATGATGTAGGTAGTTTAATATAACAAGATGTTTTACATTAATAATTTGTTGATGTTTCCCTTTATCATTGTGTATAATACAAAAACTTATTTTAAAGCAAAACTTCTGAAAATTCTGTTGGTTGGTTTAGACGTCTAAAATAGCAAATTTAGGTTCTCCCGTCGTTTCCATGGAAACAATATTGTATTTTGTTCTCAACTTAATTTTATATCGTGCTCCGCGTCCCATTTTAATAAAAAAGATCGATGTCGTTAGAATGCACAATCAATTGATATTAAAATGTTAATTTAACATCTGCTATACCTAAAATAAATGTTATTTTGCGATATTTAGTATGGGCAACATAGCGTTTTCTACAGTTAACTTGCACGTTAAGCGATATATCACAGGGCTGATTACTGTTTCAGAAGGTCTCGTCGAAGAAAATAATCCTGTACCTTGACTCAAATTATGCTGAACTTTTGAAACGATGCGAGTTAGTGAATCGCCTTACCCTTGGACAATCGATGTTGCAAGTTTGGACCTGTTCCAGCTTATGCAAGCCGCCGTTCGGTTTTTGAATGCACGTTACATTCTTGCACTTGTCCCCATCAGGCGACGGCCAAGTTTCGCCGATTCTATAAATGTTGTCATCGACCTTGCAGGCAGTGGGTGTGTGTTTTTTGCAGCACTCGCCAGGAATAGGGCTGGTCTCGAAAACGTAATTTTCTAACAGCTCTTCGGCAAGGGTTGGGCACTTAATCACATGGGATTGAATTTGAATCTAAAAAAAATACTATCGGTCACACAAGCCCAACAGATTTGTCTTACCGATCCTTCACTGTCATCACACATGTATTCCGTACAATAATCGGGAGAAGACCATTTCTCCCCAACTTCATATATGAAATCATTAACTACGCAAGCCACTTGGACACATTCGCCACAGCATTGCGTTTCTGATTCCCTGTACTCGCAACCCTAAAACAGTGGAATCAGTGCATGGCACTATGAGTGCTATGTAACGTGTACCTTTGAGCAATTCGTATTGCAAGTTTGAATGTAATCCTGCTTGTACAATTCGTTCTGTTGGTTTTTAGCACAGGTCACTGTTTTACATTTGTCCCCATCCGGCGACGGCCACGTTTCTCCAACCTAAAATTGCTACTGTGATCAGTTCAGATTTGGAATGTAAGCATACCGACCTCGTATTTGACGTCACCAACTTTGCACGCGACAATTTTGTGTTCCTCACAGCATTGACCATGAACCGGCTTACTCTTCACAACGAAATGTTCCTTCACCAAGTCTGGCACTCTTGGGCAATTTTCTATCGTCGACATGACTTGGGCGGTTCCATTAGAGTCCACGCAAGCACATTTCGTACAAAAGTCTGCGGAAGTCCAATGCGTGCCGATTTTGTACAACTTTCCATCGACAACGCAAGACGTTTGTTGGCAAGCGCCGCAGCATTGCTCCGATTCCAAGGTTGCCGGCATATACTCCCAACCAAAATCGCAACTTGTTTCGCACGTGGTAAATCTACTGATCTTTTCAACGCCATGCAATTCGTTCTCTGCGCATTCAACTAGGGCGCAGTAATCATTTTCAGGATGCCAAAATTCGCCCATTTCGATCATCTTTCCATGGAACCTGCACGATTTCCGCTTAATATCCGGACAACATTGTCCAGGAATTGGAATCGTTTCCAACTCGTAGTCTTGATAGTCAGCAACTTCATTTACGGGTGGACATTGCAGGATGGTACACAGTTCTTTCGCTTCTCCGTCAGAGCCGACAGTGCATTTGCATACACGACAGGGCCCATCGTTCCAATGGTCACCAATCTGCAAATTATTCTTTTAAAACAATTGAATTGATAACATCAAAACCCACCTCCTTTAACTCCTTCTTCATTTCTTCGAACCCTCTCATACGTTCGCCGCCCTCCGCGTGATTTTCAAATCGTTGGGTCACTATACATTTGTACTTGGGACGTTCGCATTCATAACCAGGACAACACACTTGTGGTACGGAGAATGTCTTAAGGTTGAAGAACTCTTCGCATTCGGGAGGTTTCGGGCATAGTTCTTCTTTGCAGGTTTCGGACCAAATGGGGCAACAACCACTGTCATCAATTTCTCTCACCATACCAGGCTCCATAGGTTCCAGTGTTGGTGGTATAGGGTCACACTCCTCTATTGTTTTACACTGGCACACGAAGCACGGGCATCCATCATCGTCTGTCATTAGTTGCATTTTTTGACCGTACGCGCATTCTAATATTTGAGGAGGAGGACAAGTTGGCGCTTCCGTGGGTTTGGGCACTGCAAAATATACCATTAGGAAAGAGTTACTTTCTAGGACAACTACTTACCACAAACGTATTTCTCGCAACACTCATTTGGATTACTAACATTTATAACCATATATCCTTTTTCACAAACTGTAACTACATTTGGACAATGCTGTGTTTCACACATGACGTTATGTCCATCACAAGTGCAGTTAGTGCAGAGATCTTTAACCCACGCATCGCCATATCGATGGCCTTCCTCGTCACAAGGGTCACATCTTTCTGGGATAATACATTCATCTTCGTATAGAACCTGCAGAGAATACTGCTGAAGCAATTCATCAGGTAACGAAAAAACTCACTTTTCCATCAGGACAGTAGCAGCCTTCCGAAAGTGGTTCAAGACAATCGCTCTCTTTCTCCTTAATGGACTCGCACGTATTTAAGCATTCAGTAGTGCAAGTCTTGTACACTTGACCAAGCGGACATTTGTCAGATGGACAAGCTCCGGAATGCCAATCGACACAAACCCCTAAAGCCGCACATTCGCGGGCGTACATAGAAATCGCATCGCACGCATCTTCAGAGTAGCCATTGCACACATCCTCTCGACACCACTCAATGAACATGGTCGGATCCAATACAGGATGACACTGAAGTCGAAAGTAAAAACTCGGACAACTCAAAAATGTCTCACCTGTCCGTATCTTTCGTGATCCTCCAACTCGCTGCAAGGGTCGAATTCCATTGGTTCAGTGCATCGTCTCAACGGTTGATTCGTACAAATTTGGTTGCCCTTTACCCCTTCTGATGGTTGGTCTGCTGCCCAACTTACGACCAAGTCGTCCAAATTGGGGGCCTCTTTGCCGTTTGGCATTCTATTGTCGTTGCTAGGATCGTAGTCGCAGTCTCCACAGAGTCCTTCAAGCTTGCCGCCATATTTGTACGAGGGAACCTTTACTGAAACTCCCATAGTGGGGTGGAAAACGCTGATCTGTAAATGAAGTGATAGGTATAATATTGCTCAATTGAAATTTATGATGTTTATGTAAAATGATATGCTATACAGAGTGCGATGGAAGAAGGTAGAAGCGCGAAATAAATTTGAACGAAATAAGCTTTAAAGACGAAGATGTGATGAAAGAAAAATTGGGGTGGACAAATAAAGATGTGAAGAAATGATGGCGTGACAAAATTGTGAATCGTGCGGAAATAAGGTAAATAAAGAGGAATAAAACAAGAGTGGGGAATGGTAGTTTGCATAAAATTCGACGGGCATCGAAATTGAAGCAATCAATGTGTTGTCAAGTAAGCCGGAAAGACATGAAGAAGGGTAAAGGTATGCAAAGTAGAAGTAAAAGAGAAGTGAAGGGTGCCTGAAGAAAACGAAAAAAGTACGAAAGAATCGGATGTGAAAAAGGAAACTACTAAAACGGAAGGCGCGGAATCATTGAATAAATAGGGAAAAACGTGAAAACAGGCGTTAATGAAAATTCCTAATACCTATTTGGAATCGAGATCGTTTTCCCAATTAAACTGGCTTACGCAGCATCAAAAATGCACGAAGTTCAAACTCAGTGTACGACTGGACGTTTCCTCAAATCAGTACATAAACAACGAACGCTATATCTTAAGCATCTGATGATGAAAATGGTACACAAATGGTGATTATTACTTTCAATTCATCTCTAACGGTCCTGGGCAGAGAGGCAGAAAATATGATCTCATGAAGAAGCTTTCAGCTTCCTTTCGCTTCTTGCAATTGAAAACCACTGAACAATTTTCAAGGATGGAGAGAAGTCTCCTTCGGATAATTAACTTATCAATTAGAGATTTCGACTGAAATGTATGTTAAAGAGCGTTGGATGGAAGGAACTTTCCAGAAAATTTCAATCAAGTTTAAGTACCTAGAAAGGTTACCTAATACAGATGAATACAATGTTGGAGACCTGTAGAGCAATAACAGACGACAATATTAGAGCAACGAGCGGTGAAGTCCAAAAGAGACAGAAAAGTGTCACTGAAACTGAAACGATAAGAAGATTGGCAAGTTTGTTCTTCCGTTGAATTGCTAAATTTGTCTTTCACGTTGTTTATGGTTGAAGGAGAGCTGAATACATGATAAATTTTACAATCTTCTCTTACCGAAACTTGTATTTTGTGTAACGTGAGCTTCATGTGCTTCTGCGGCGATATTTTGACTGTTGCCCAATCCTTGATAGTGTTATATTTTCCTACTGCATTGTTGTTGACCAATAGTTTCAATTTGTTGTGCGATACATCTCGTCTGATCACAATCCTATCGCCTTGGTATAAAATAATGATTTTGCCTACGCACATTTTTGCGGTTTTGGTCTTTTGGTTGTCACATGGACTGTTCTGGATTATCACCTGGAGATTAAGGTGTAGTAGTAACTCACCTCGTCCATTCTAGATGACTTACTTCAAAATCATGGTGTTTTCCTTTAGCGTTGCTTACGTCCCTCGTCATGAGGTATGAACATTTTCCGTTAACGGTGAAATTAGAGGCATCATAAGTTTTGTATTGCAAATGGGGTAGCACGTTACAGTCACAGTCGCCGCAGTCGGTTGGCAAAATGCACTTTTCACCCTTGCGCACGTAGCCAGGAGGGCAATAACAACCGGGGAAGCATACGTTTTCCAATATGGGACAATTATCCGCAGCGCCGCAGGTAGGCTCGCAACGTCGTCTGTAGCAATCATGGTGCACTAACGGTGCTTCACAAACAGCCGCTGCAAGAACGCACACAATGAGTCATCATGTACACTATGTAAGGTTATAAATTAAGTAACTTACGGCAGTCGTATTTGGCGCGCCAGTCTAACAGATCATCAGCGGTCTTGTGAGACAAACAGCTAACAGCAAAGTTCTGCAAAGCTTGACATTTACACTTAGCCTCAGCCTCCTCGCTATCCAACTCAGCTCCTAAGCAAGTGCATGCTGTTTCCAAGCAAGACGAGATGAAAGTATCTACGCTCATTACACTTGCGCAAGGTGCGAAGATCTCCTCTCTGAAATGGCATATTTACAAATTTTTACCTTCCAAATCCAAAGCTAAATACTTGACACAGTTGCAGATCTCCCACGCCTTATTCTGTACATCCGCACTGCAAGACTTTGCTTCGCATATTGGCGAAGACTCCTCCTCTGCCCAACTGTCGCCAAATTCTTCCGTCGTTTTTGCTATTTTCCCTTCCGGTGTACGTTTGTCATCCTTATAGTCGTCATTGAAATATCCACACAGACCATCGACTTTTTTGAGCAACGTTCTCGATACCCCTATCTTTACGTTAGTTTGGGGATCCCAAATGACCCAAAATCCGAATTTATTCGATAGGAAAACAAGTGTGTCACCAAGCCGCATCATGTTGAAAAATCCGTACTGTTCGCCAATTTTTTGCGCCTGCTCAATTGTGTATTTGTATCCGTCGAATTTGATCGAGAGATCTGGGTATAAGGTGAAGGTGTGTTCCTCATGGTTAATGATAAGGTTGCGTGCGCATTCTTTTTCGCAAGTCTTCACAACTGAAAGTTAAAATTTGAGGTTGACGTTAGATATTCGAGTACTATAGTTAGTTCATGGTAAGGTGTGATCTAAAATACGATTTCACTCAAATTGAGATTGTAAGAAAAGAGACTACCTATACGATTTTTTGTATGAGCAAGTTTTAGAGAGACCAAGTTGAATACTTACGCGATATGTCCCAGTCGAAGTTTTGTACATCTCGGGCTAAAATGTGATTGCAAATTTCATACTTGTACTCGGTCTTATCAAATGTCACAAAAGTGCGCCCCGTTACTTCGCAGATTGATTCCTGTCGCGGTTTCATTTTGCAGAAGTATCTGTAACACTTTCGATTAAATTTGAAAACTGAGTAAAAGAGAATTACTTTGGACATCCATAGGATTTGACCCCCTTTTTAGTTTCAAATTCAGGATTGTATCCTCGTGGGCAAACAGCTGGGGGGCATTTTACTTGTGATCGCTCGCCCATGTCCCTGCTTACGGGAATAACCATGCTTGAAACGCATGCGAATATGGGACATTTGGGTTCTTGGGCAATATCCTCAACTTCAAATCCTGGTTGGCTTGTTTTTGAAGGTACTAAAAGACTTGTGTAATAATCGACAGAAAGCGTAATTATTACCTCTCTGAGGCATCTTCATTCTGGCACTTTTGGTTCGTCCTTTTACGCCACCTTTAGTGCCTCCTTTTGTTCCGCCTTTTGTGCCGCTGGGTCTGCTGCCGTACTTGGAAGGAGAGGAAAACATGGTGTCAACATAATCGGCTTGCATTCGTTCTGTCGCGGGTTCTTGAATTACTATATCGTACCCATCCGGACAAGATGGAGTTTCACATGTTGACGCTGGCTTAACTTTTGAAGACCTGTCAGCACTCTCTAGTGGTTTACGCGACTTGGATTTTACGTGTTCCTCAACGCAGTCGACTTCATCATCTGGGCAGTCTGCAATTCCGTCACACCATCTCGCACTGTCGATACAGACACCGCTAGTGGGACAAAGCTTGGTTCCTGTTGGGCATGGTCGACAAGTGCATTGACACGTACTGGTGATTACACTTCTTTGGCCAACTTCACATTTGTCGCAAGTTAAGGGTTTGCAGTGTTCGACACCTCCTAGTTTACACATACACTGTGAGCAGTCTTCCTTTTCAAACACCGCCGAAACTGGGTACCTAAGCCGGGCATTCAACAAAGGTTCACAAGGAACTATACTTACGTTATGTGTCCAACTACACAAGGACAGGCTCGCCGATCCACGCAGTATTCACCATCCCACCATAGGTCCTTCTTACAATGACATGCGTTAAATTCCAAATCTTGCTGAGGTACATCGGGGCAAGTATTGCAGATAACAGGACCGGGTTCAGTTGTTGTGTATGGTACGATGGCTAAATTTCCAACTTAATTTACGAATTATGGCCAAGTTCAACTTACGATAAGGAACGAAGCATCCAATTATTTCCAATCTGAGTTCAATATTTTCGTACCACTTTGACGGCATTATCTTCAAATATTGTGCCTGGATTGGTACATCGAAGTAGTTGACGTTCGGCGAGTCACTATCAAAATTAGCAAAGAATTCATCGTTATTCTCTCCATCTGTAATGGAGTTCCAATGTTTTCCGTCATTAGAATATTTCAATTTAAAAGCGGTTACCCAACCGCTTTCTCCTCCTTTCGTTTTGATTCCAGTTATTTTTTGAGGTTCCAAGAAGTCGATCTGAAATGAAAATCATTACTATTGGATCACTTCAAGGAGCGATGGACATGCCTGAACCCATTCAGAAGGCGAATTTGTAAATGGACGCCATCCATGGCCGCTATGTAAGGCCAAGTTTCGCTTGGTACATTCCGAATTATACTCAGAGCTCACAGTGATTTGCTGGTCATTCATCATATCATTACTGATACCCATTGGATCTTCGCACATAGGAGAGGGCGTGGATTTGACTTCCATCATAGCGTCAGCCTCTGGATGCTCATCGCAACCGATCAGTTCAACTTTTAGCGAAACTCTTCCATGCCAAGTGTTTGGCATGATTTTAATTATTTTGGCTTCCACGGGTATGTCAAACATTTGCTTAACCGGTGAAACACTATCAACGCAACCTCTGAATATTTGTGGATCCTGGTCGGCGTTTAAAACGTAGTGGAACATGTCGCCGTCCTGCGAGTACATCACTTTGTAACTGGTGACGTAATCGTCGTATACTGGATTTCCCTGCGTTATAATACCATATACTGGTTCTAAGCGGCCTAAATTGACTTGAAGGTACTCATAGGGCGTTGACTGTTTAGGTGACCAACTTCGTCCTTTGATATTGAGTATTAACATAGCAGAAATGAAGACGGATATTACTTACCTAGTTCCGATTTTTTGGGATTGCTAACTATTCGAGCAAATTTAGCCGAGAACGGTTTATTCAGTGAAGAACTTGCCGAAAAAGCGTCATCGCCAAGAGGGTCATGGTGGTTATTGATAAGTTTCGTGAATCTGGAATAGTAATCCATTAGTGATAGCACAATATTGTTATGCTATTACTTACTGAGCATGGCACTGTGGAGGTGGCGTTGCGGTTGTAATCATTGCCATCACATCTGCAGGTAGAAATGCACCATTAAACGGGCGTGGAGTAGGCCGGCATTGCGATTTGTCACAAACGTAATAGTTATCCACGCATTGACAAATCTCACATTCTGATTCGTGTATTATTTCACCAGGCTAGAACGTAAAAGTTCATTTTAGACTTTCCAACCAAGTATATGATGCCTAATGTTAATAATATTAAATTTCCGTGTGGAATATTCTTTGTATCTACCATTTAACAGCAATATTAAACATCAGAACAACTCAAAAATAGATTTGGGTATTAGGAATACCACCCAGTCAAAAAAATTCAATGGCCCCTTCCCTACATTTATCGTTACCACCATTCGTATACTCTCTGGGGCGTATTCCATACTCCCAAGACCCTTGTAGCTAAAGTTAGAGCTACTAACGTAAACTCATCTGAGCTACGTAGGTTGGCTAATTTAATATTGGGCAAAAGCTGTCTTACCTTAACTGGCCTGCCATCGTATGTAACGCACATACAATCATGCATCTCAACGCAAGTATGGTTATTTGCCCAAAATAGTCCCGGCGGACAACTCTTCTGTTTAGTCGCAGATATACAACCCTCTTCACATAGAATTCCGTTCTGGCATCGCCCGCCCAATTTCAACACGTGCGAGTAGTAAATGCATAGATTATCGCATTGCACAGCGCACTCCATATACTCTTCGCCCTTTGGACACAACGAAACTGCAACATGTTATTTGAGCGAACCAACCTTCCTTGTGACTTGGCACTTACCTTCTGGTTCTGGGGATGGTATCTCTGGCAACGTAGGGAGAGGGCCTAATCAAGTAAATTAGTTTTTCTGCCGGTAATCTGAGACATTACATACCACATTCTGGACGTAGACGAACTACAACTCTGGGATCGTCACATTCACGTGTGGAAGGATTAAACATTTTCCCAGAATCGCAGGATTGTTCAATTAATTCGGGTCCATTTACATCCATTTCACAGGTGTAGTACTTGTCACAATCCATAACATGGCCTTGTATGGCCGATGCAGGATCCGAAGGATCGCACATTCCTAAAACAATCCCCTTAGAATGCTCCCAAGGTGCACCGTAGTAAATCAGTACCACAATCACATTTGACTTTAATCTCGAAATCGGGACAAGGTTCGCCACCTTTTTCTGCCATGCAAATCAATCCGTGTTCCAAGCTACATTCGACATTGAAACCGGTCTCCTTGGGTGATTTATGGCCGACAACTGTACGACATTCGATATCTGTGATATTATTGATTTCGCAATGGCTTCCCGAAAGTGAATACTGCAAAAAACTGAATGGAAAACTGCGACACCGAGGCTGTACCTACCATGATTAATGGTCCAGGTAACGGCTCAACGTCATTCATTTTTATCGATGTCTTCTTTCGAGTTTTCACTTTAACACCCTTTGGTCCATGCACCTTATCTTGGTTAATCCACTGAGTCCACCCAGATTCGCATTTCATACCTTCAGTTTGAGGTACCTTTGCACAGATAGGATTCAGTTGGAGAATTTCAATATCGACTACTTACAGGAGTTGTTGTACAAGGTTGCCCTTGGCATTGCCTTTTGCCTCTCGAGCAATAACAAGAGGAGCAATAATCACCGTCCATAAAATCACCTTCGTAGTAGGTTTCCCCGTCTTCCTCCAAACACACAGGTTTACAAACGGTCCTTGGAACGCACTCTGAGTAGGAAGAGTTTGTGTAAATGTGGTCAGGTGGGCATGGTTTTATTTGGCAGCCTTCAATACACGTCTCGTGCGCGCACGTTTGGCTAGTCTGGCCGTACACCAACGAATTGTCACAGGTTTCTATTGGACAAGGACTCATACACGGACTGTAGTGGGAGCAAGTACTATCACATTGCATCGCTAAATGAAAGAATGTGAACACAGTGGAGAAGTAATCGTGAGAATCTTACGGCACAATCTGTTCGATCTCCATTTAATCGGCACTCCTTTATTGTTGCACTCGTACGCGTAGGCAGCCAAGGCAGTGCACAAACACTCGCAATCTCCACCTTGATCACATGCGCAGGTGTCAAAGACGCATCGTTCCAAATACCCATCAATTGGTACCTCTGAATGGCACGGAGCGAATAAATCTGATTTTAAAATACCACACTGCTTCAGCGCCCAGACATGCCGATCCGGTCTCTTATCACAAGTGCTCTGCAATTCCATTTTCAGTAAGATCACATCAAATGATTAATGCTCACCTCTATTTCCATCGCACCAGGACAGTATGGCTGCAGTCTCCAGGAATCGCCAAATATTTTAGGTGACACCTCTGTGATTCCCCCCGAAGGTGTTTGGAAATCATCCATTTCATTACCGTTGTAGTTTCCACACAATCCGTTGACCTACCCAATCATTTTTTAGACACGTACTAAAAAAAGGCGCTCACCTTATTAATCCATTGCGTGCCTAGGCGGACGTAAACTCGTGTTCCTCTATCCCAAACAACTAGCAGTCCAAGCTCGGGCTCCTCAACGATAACGTACTGACCACTTTCGCGTAATAGTAGTCGTTTTAAATCGCTAGTATTGGGAAGATCAGCGTCGCGAGTTAACGTAATGCACTCCTTGTGCTTTCCGATTCCTGCTGAGATCGAGATCGATTTCGAACAACTGACGCCGAGTGTACCGCATGGGACATTCTGGAATAGGCGTGTGAAACATAGCTCGGTGTTAAACTATGGCGTACCTGAATTGAGATGTCAAAGGATTCATCATCCCCCAGTAAGCCCTTGGCCAGAACATAGTCGCATTGTCCTTGGTAATCGTACACCTTACCATCAAAGGTTTTGTAATGGGAGTCGCCCCAAGCGCTGCATTCTTTTGGACACTGATGGTCTGTGCACTTCCATTGACCATGTACGCAGGTGCTAGTGATGGTTTAATAAGTAGGTGCGTCTCTACTAACGCAACTGCCTTACCAGTTGTTACAGTCGTTCTTGACCACGGAATTTTCGTGGTAACTACGTCCGCCGTGATGGCACGGGCAGTCGTTTGGTCTTACACAAGTTTTACTGACGGTGTCCAAAACAAAACCTTCCTTGCATTTGCAACCAGGACGGCACTCGGCGGTTGTGACGTCCTCAGGGGAGTGCATGCTCTACAATTAAAAATTAAAGCACCGCTCCAATGGCTCCCGTTGTACCTTGCACGTAAGCGGCGCGGCAGGCTCACAAGTAGTGAACTCTTCATTCTTCGAAGCCATGCATAACGCTTTGAGATCACTTGCCGCCGGATATTTCTTAACCTCCTCATCTGATGCAGGTCTACAGTTCCACTGGGCATTAACACACGTGCTGTAAATTCCAAAATAAATTAGAGACAGCCAAGAATATGTATCCGAATTTAAAGCCGCAGTGCTGGATTATAGACGAGAATAAATGTTGATATGGTAAAAGCAGAGGCCCAATTAATGGGTCTTGTGGTACAAGTAAAATCGAGTGATTTCTTCTGTGTTTTTCACGCCCAAAAAATATATCAAGTTTATTTGCTGAAGTACTAAACCAATACAATGATATTCCAAATGATAAGGTTGAAGAAAGGGCATAGAAACTGAACGAACAAAATTTAATAACAAATTAATTTGAATAAAGGTTCTACTCACCATAGCTCAGGTGCTTTATTAGATGGCCTCACTTCCTTATAACCGGCCGGGAACGTTAAGCCATCGTGCTGACACTCACATTGCCCAATAGGAACACATTCGCCTGCATTATCCAAAGCCTGACCTTCGGGACAATTGCAACCTTCAACACACTGCCTTCTGCAATCCGGATGAGTCGCAATATGGTAACACGTTCTGGTACAGGTGTTTCCACAAATTTGATACTTTTGGGCGCCGGGACAATGAACCGAGCACTCTTTCACGTCGTTTCTCCAGTTAATTTTGATACCGTTCTCGGCACATTCGGCCGCGTAAGCTGAGATCATTGGACACAAACATTTGGATATCTAAAATTGATGTTTAATTCAGGTCCCCGTTGAATCAAAGTATACCTCTCCTTCGCACGAGCATAAATCGTACAAGCAATCCTGGTAAAATGCTTCGGCGTCAACGTACAAGTGACAATCTGCGAAGAAAATGGATCAGTCCTACAACTACAGGTAGGCGTTCTAAGATTACCTACCTGAGAATAATTCAGATTTTATAATACTGCAGTGCTGTTCAGCTACGTGTTTGTTTTGTATGTTCACAGTGCACGGATGAGACTTTATTCTGTCTGGAACGTCGTTACATTTTTCCATGGTTTTCCATTTGTTTGCGAACGGAGTTGGAGACTGCTCGACATCGCCATCGGGTGTTTTGAAATCGTCTTGTTGATTGTTGTTAAAGGTACCACAGAGACCCTGATCAACCAGTTCAGCAAACGCTAGTGTGAGATATCGCGACTTACCTCAGTTTGTCCCATGAAGGATGCGGGTACGTCTACATAGGCTCTGGTCAAGCCGTCCCACCATATGGTAGCGCCGTTTGGTAATTCAACTGTGAGAAATAATGATGATCAACGCGCATAAAGTAGGTAGATCTCTTACCGATTAGGAATATTGAAGACACCACTCGTATGGTAATTCCCCCGAGCTTGAATGGAACTTTACTTACATCGTGACCATCAATTAGTATTTCATAATTTTGCTTCAGTTGAATTGTGTGACCGTCCATCATGATCTTCACAGTTTTAGTACACGAAGGTAACTCATCGGCGAGGATTGTGGGGGCGTGCATCATTTCAGAAATAGTTCCAGTACAAGCCACATTTTCACCGACGACAGTGAAGTTGTTGTGTTTTACTAAGTAATAGGTGCATTGTCCCATGAAATCGTAGCGTTTTCCATCAAACGTTATGTAATGGGGATCTCCGAGCGCCGAGCAGCGAGCACCGCAAGAAATCTGTGTGCAATCCCATTTTCCATCAATGCAGTTGCAGGTATTGCAACCTTTAGGTACACTTGTTCCAGCCGCCAACTGTTTGCCTCGGTATGTACAGGGGCAATTCTTCTTCAAAATACACTCGTTTTCGTGAAGTACCATTCCTTCAGGACAATAGCAACCCTCCTCACACTCCACTCTTTCTTCGGGCATTTCGGATATACCTCCACAAGTAGGTTGGCCACCGTTAGGTTGGCATGGTTTGTAGACTCTTCCGCCAGTACATGTCATGGCTGAACACAGGCATTTTAAAAGACTCAAAAATAAGCTCTAATACTTACGGCAAGTATTTTCATCTCTCCATTCACCCAAATCCTTAATACCCTTGGCGCGACATTCACGGACATACATGTTGATGGAGTTACACGCGCAATCGCCTAAATTTGGGCTGTCACAGGAACAATAGTCCCAGCGGCAGGCTTCCAACAACAACTGACTCTCGATTACCTAGCAAAAGTTACTGACGGAACAGTTAAGTTGACATGTCATGCTTACCTGTTGGCATGGTGCAAAGCGCTTGTCCCTCAATAACTTCCGACAGAACTTAATCGCATTCTGTGGAATCTCCAATTCAGTACTTGCACTCTTACATGGATGGTCGGACATGGGTGGATCGTCACATGTAGCTGAAAAAATTTCGTTTAACTTCAAGATAAACAAAATTGTCGTAGAATACCTCCAATTGTATCCACCTGCCAGTCTAATGCCAAGGTGTTTACGCTTTTTGGAGCTTTTCCCTCTTTGGTGTTCATATCGTTTTCAGGATCGCCATCCAGACGACCGCAAAGCCCCGCCGTACGGTTCCACAGACTTTCCTTCACTTCTACCTGGACCAATTGCTAAAAAAAAGGAGGTCGATGTACTTGTTAGTAAAAAAAATTAAGTTACAATGGCAGCGACAATTCCATAACAAAAATGTTCTATTCTCATCGGGACAAAAATCTACTTTGATACAAAGGCCAAATCCGATTTTTGCAATATCTTAAAGTGAATCGTGCACAAATTGACCAAATGTCCGTAGGTGTTAATTTGCGCGTTTAAAATAGGGCAATACAGGGTGTTTTTTTGGGAGCTTTAGTTAAAAGTTTCTGGGAAAGTAAAATAGGTAGGTTTTTGAACATTTGTACTTATACTTAGGAGTTACTCTGAAGGCCGAATCTATGTAAAATATTATAAATGTGCGCACTTCCGGAAACACCGGAAGTAGATAGTAATTCCGTTATTTTAAATGGCAACCCCTATTTTTTATTGCATTTTTGGATTCTACGTGAAATTTCAGTTCTTTTGATACCATATGTCGATATCTGCCATTTATGGTTTTTAAGTTATTTTGACTTTAAGAAAAAAAATGGCGGATGCAGATGGTACCTTGATAATTGATTACTTGAAAAAGGTTATAGTCATGGCAACCCATTTTTATCAGTGCATAGAGAATGAATAGGGCTTTCTTTTAGTGTACTTAAAAAAAAGTTAAGTTGCGTACAACCGCACCTATGGAGATCCAAATTTAAGAAACTTCAAAGTCTATAAACTCAGTTTTTTTAAATGGAATGACCATGTTCTTAATATTGCATGAGATAGAGAATCGAAATTGGCATATTTTGATATTACATGTTCCTATAGCTATCTTTAACAGTTTCTGATTTATTCCCATTTCATTGAATTGATCTCGGAATTGATGCCATTTTTTTTTCGCAGTTTCTTTTTAGTAGTTGGCCATGATTTTATAACAATCGAATTGTAAACAAATCAAGAAATGGACCTTAATACCATTGATTCTAGTTCTAGTTTAAATAATTCATTAATAAATAACTCATTTATTAAGGATATAGAACGGAAAATTTTTGAAAAATCTAAACAGTCGTTCAACTGAATTTCTTAAACAACGTATAAGTCTGGAAATTAAGAGAGGTAATACGATATCTGTTCTAGCAACAATTCCATACCAAAAATGTTTCAACGAAGTTTTTTATATTTTGCATTGAATTTATTTTTTTAATCTTGCATTTGCAATTCAATTCATTTTCGTAAATATTCTCTTGTAGAGCTTTGTATCACTTGTGCTTCAACGGTTTGTAAGTGCATTAGGGGTACAAAATTTCCAGAATTCATACAATTTCGTTCTAGTTTTCGAATGAATGTACGGAAAGCACGCGCCGCGATTCTGCCCATTTAATCATAAATAACAATTAAATTCCAAAATAGGTGAAACCACTGCGAGTCATTTCTCGATTTTTGAAAAACTTATGTTAACCTATCACAGTGGGTGGTGGATTAGTGTCACTAGATTTGTTTAAAATTCAATTGTTATAGAATCATGGCCGACTACTAAAAAGAAAATCCGAAAAAAATAGTGTCAATTCAATAAAATGGGAATAAGTCAGAAACTGTTAAAGATAGCTATAGGAACATGTATTGTCAAAATATGCCCATTTCGATTCTCTATCTCATGGAATAGTAAGAACATGGTCATTCCATTTAAAAAAACTGAGTTTTTAGTCTTTGAAGTTTCATAAATTTGGATATCCATAGGGGCGGTCGTACGCAACTTAACTTTTTTTTAAGTGCACTAAAAGAAAGCCCTATTCATTCTCTATGCACTGATAAAAATAGGTTGCCATGACTACAACCGTTTTCAAGTAATCAATTATCAAGGTACCATCTGCATCCGCCATTTTTTTTCTTAAAGTCAAAATAACTTAAAAACCATAAATGGTAGATATCGACATATGGGTATCAAAAGAAGTGAAATTTCACGTAGAATCCAAAAATGCATTAAAAAAATAGGGGTTGCCATTTAAAACAACGAAGTTGCTATCTACTTCCGGTATTTCCGGAAGTGCGGCCATTTTAAAAATATTTTACATCGATTCGGCCTTCAGAGTAACTCCTAAGTACAAATTTTCAAAAACCTACCTATTTTACTTTCTCAGAAACTTTTAACTAAACTCCCAAAAAAAACACCCTGTATGGTAAGCAAAAGCACCCGAATTTTGTGATGCGCAAATTACTATGATTCGAAAGAAGAAATTCACTCGATGCTTGAACTATGCAACGTCGTACTAAGACATTGCAACCAGAGATAACCTCCTTCCGGTACAAGTCAGAGTTGAACTACCCCTATTTTTGGTCCCATTCTACAAACCCTAAAATCGAAGGTTCTGCAGTTGCCCAAATTAGAAGTGCTCGAAGGGTAGATATAAATGCCATGTAAATTTGGCAAATCGAATTTGCGTATTTGTAGTTCAATACGGACTGTGTCCTAGGAATTCTAGAAGAATACTAGGTACATACCTGTCCATCCCATCGTATTTTGGCGCCGACAGCATCAATAATAACAATAATAAATTGCGCTGACATCTCCACTCGTATACCTGGTACTCTTCCCGGTATTGGTAATATTTTAGTTCCGCTTACGAATGTTGGAGCTCCATCAGCTACCGAATTAGACCGCTATTACGACAAGCATTTTACTACTTCATTACCTGTATGTTTCAGCATGAATTCCTTGTCATGCAGGTAAATTCGTATCACTTTATAGCAATCTCCTCCACTGACAGTGCACTGCTTGCTATTCTGCACGGTAATACTAAAGGTGTCGTCTACGGTATCCTTGACCAGAGTGTACGCACATTGAGATTTAAAGCTGAAATATATTTTTCAGTAAGAAATTCGGGGCCGGTTTTTAGCAAACCTAAATATTTTTCCATCGAAAGTTTTATAATGGGCTCCTCCCCATGTGAAACAGCTTCCTGGTTGAGGAGTCACCTGAACTATATGAGTCGGGGCAACGTAAGACGCTGGTGCGGCCTTATTCGCAAATGAATCACTCATAAACACTGGTGACTAAAATTGTAGAGTTAAACGGTGAGCATCACAAAAATCAGTTCGTCATACTTCCATGGCCCTGTAATGTCCGTAACTAGTTCTCGGAGTGGGTCTGCCACCAAATATGACATCATCAAACGTATATGCCCCAGTTGGTCCGTGAAGCATATAGTCAAAGGAATGACCTCGCAAATTGGTAACTTCCATATGCGACCCTGCAAGCCGATTTAAGCACAAAATATGCGGTTGTTGATTTTACCAAAAACGCATTGAGGTATGGGTTCAGGTTGGAATTTTCCTTCGGCATATGAGCATGAGTAAATCGGCGCGGGTGGGAATTCAAATTCGATTCCTTCGGGACACGATATTGAGCACCCGTAAGATATACCATCGCCAGAGCAGTTGTAACCCCCATTGAATTGTAATTTTTGCGCAGAACAGACGTCAGCATCTTAAAATGTTGAATAATTCAGTGTTCTAAGAAAAAGTGATTGCTTACTGTATTGACATTGAGGTCCTCTGAAATCTTGTGGGCATTGGCAGACGTTTAGTGCCAAACACTCGCCTCCATTTTCGCACGGTGGATCGCATACCGCTGTGGAACAACATGATTAGGGCTTTACAGACGTGGAAGTAATGCGTGCATACCTTCACAGTCAGGAATACTCATCCACTGAGGTTTGGCCGGTACCCAAGAACCGCCCTTGCAGTTCATATTTGCAATTGTCGAACCGTCTGGGAATTGATGTCCCTTCATGCATGTGATCGTACAGGATCTACAATGACAGTGAGAAACTTTCAGGCGATTTCAGCGGGTGCTTACGTAGAACTACAAGTTCGCCTTGCGTTGAGTGACATTGGTGGGTAGTTTAGGCATGGTTTGCTCTCAAATTCGCAACGCTTTCCCGAGAAGTTTTCAGGGCAATGACACACATCAGGTTCAACACAGATGCCATTATTGAGGCACGCTGGACTACAGACCGCTGTAAAATTGATGGATGATTAACCATTGATGGGAGGATGCATTTTGTACTCACGACCGCAAGGCGGAAAGACGTCAACCCAGTCAGTCCCCTCCACTAACCATCTCCCATCTTTACAAGTGATGAATAACTGTTTCTGCCCATTTGGAAACTGGTGACCTGGCCTACAGGTAGCTCGACAGCCGCTGTACTGTGAACATTTGATTCCTGAGTTCATGGGAGCCGGAGGCATACCGGTACATCCTGAAATATTTACCCATTAATCTGAGTTCGTGCATTTGCACCATAATAACAAACATTTGAAGCAGAATTTTGAAGTTCTGGTTGGAGATTCGCATCGCTAATTTATTATTTTAAAAGTTTTGATCTTAGTAAACTATAATCAATGCAAACAGTTCATGTTTCAGAACAGTTTTGCATTGATTTTTCGAGGAAATTTTCGACAAAATATGCGGACGTTGATCTTACCAAAAACGCATTTGGGTATAGGCTCAGGTTTGAATTTTCCTTCAGCATATGAGCATGTGTAAACCGGAGCGGGTGGGAACTCAAATTTGATTCCTTCGGGACACGATAATGAGCAGCCGAATGATTCACCATCACCAGAGCAGTTGTAACCCCCATTGAATGGTAACTTTTTCGCGGAACAGGCGTCGGCACCTTAAAATGCTGAATACTTCAGCGTTCTAAGACAAAATGATCACTTACTGTATTGACACTGAGGTCCTCTGAAATCTTCTGGGCATTTGCAGTCGTTGTGTGACATACACACGCCTCCATTTTCGCACGGAAGATCGCATACCGCTGTGGAACAACATGATTAGAGCTTTACAGACGTAAGTAATGCGAGCATACCTTCACAGTCAGGAATACTCTCCCAATGAGGGTTGGCAGGTATCCAAGAACCGCCCTTGCAGTTCGTAGTTGCAGTTGTCGAACCGTCTGGGAATTGAAGCCCCTCCATGCATGTGATCGTACAGGATCTACAATGACAGTAAGAAACTTTCAGGCGATTTCAGCGGGTGCTTACGTAGAGCTGCAGGTTCGCCTTGCGTTGTATGAAATTCGTGGGTGGTTTAGGCATGGTTTGCTCTCAATTTCGCAACGCTTTCCCGAGAAGTTTTCAAGGCATTCACACACATCAGGTGCAACACAGATGCCATTATTCATACATGCTGGATTACACACCGCTGTAAAATTGATAGATGATTAACAATTGATGGGAGGACTCATTGATTGACTTACGCTCGCAAGGTGGAAACTCGTCTACCCAGTCAGTCCCTTCCACCAACCATCTCCCATCTTTACAAGTTATGAATAACTGCTTCTGACCATTTGGAAACTGGTGACCTGGCCTACAGTTAGCTCGACAGCCGCTGTACTGTGAACATCTGATTCCTGAGTTCATGGGCGTTGGGGGCATACCGGTACACCCTGAAATGTTTACCCATTAATTGTCCATCCGAGTTGATTATGAGCATGGTTTGCTGTTTTTGGAATAAAACCCCAGAGCACTAAAACCATAAAGGCTCTGAACGATCTCTCACTGGAATTGAAATCGCTTTTTACTCTGTTCCATCATCAACAAGTAAATGTCCATCAACATTACCAAGATTGGTGATTTATGCGTTACTTAGTAATCTAGTAACTCTATCACTTATTCATGTGAACCTACAAAGTTCTCCAGTTCTTGATAAATCTTAGAAGAATTGCGACAATGAAGTAACAAATAAAAAAAGCTTGGAGCTTTGATAGAGCTTTGGATTTGGAAGCCTTATGTTCGATAGGGCGCATTTCAACTTGCGCTCTACAAATCATTTTGAACAGGCTTCAGAGCTTTGGAATTAAACCTTGCTAAAGTTCTTTGTTCAACTTTGGTTCCTAGTACACCTACGTTACCGTGCCTCATATACCTATACCGCGCATTTAATTGAATGGAGTTGACTGCGCAACAAGCTACTATCGTAAACTGTACATGCAATTAAGAGCGTGGGAAATGAGAAAACGTACCAATCAAATGAGGAGTACGTCGTAGTAAAAATGATAAATGTTAGAGTTTCCTACATTGTGGGTGGCTCAACTGAAATTATCCTTATCTTTACCGGCAAGCTAATTATGTTGGTTTTTAGATTTGATAATCTAACTCAACGCAAGCATGCCGATTGTAATCATACCTACATTTCTCAGTCAAAATCAACTACCGGGAGTTATTTCCATAAAAGTGCAGCTCATCAATGATACTTTACCGACAAATGAGTCATAGGTCGCAGACGTTCCATTTCCTGGTCGTGAAACGTTTTATCGACTTTTTCAAGTTTGTTGGACTTGCCGAGTGGAAATACGCAAAAACTGGTAGACAAAAATAAGCGAATTTTGTGCTTCCGGGCAGATTATCAAATTCCGGATGATAGTACTTCAAATTGCGAGTAAAGTGTAACAATGCATACACAAAACAGACGTCATGCATAGTACCCTAATCAATCACTGAGATTGGAATAGAATTTGGAATCCATGGACGAGGGGGTGCAAAATGTTAGAAAAGTGAAAATTATTGTTGTGTCAACTTATGCATACACTTATCATATTCCAGCAAATGATAGATGATGTTCAATAATCCAACTTTATCTTATAAAAATCCCCTGCAGGGGGCCCCCATAGGTTTTTCTCATATTGTAAGCTGGATATGACAAGGCAGGTTTCGTTTATTTAACACTAGAAAATTAACCGAACTAAATGAAGATTGATGATACAGCCTCTTTAAGGGTGGCAAATTTATAAGATTGGAAGGAAAATACACATTGACACCGACAATTAATATACCTGAATTGATTAAAATCATATTACTCAACATAAATTGGTTCAGATTTTTCACCTGGACTGCCTACTACCGTTGAGTAACTCATATTTAATTAGTCAATGCTACTACTACGTATCCGCAATTGTAACCATGACTAGATGAGCGTAATCTTAAGGTCGCGGTCACAAACAAGGACATACCCGATTGGAAGCATTATGGAAATCGGGGAAGGACATCCTATGCAATACTGAAATTCTAAAGATTATAGTAAAATTGGCAATGAAAGAACTGCACCGAAAACTCTGTATCCCTGAGTTATGGAAGAAAAGCATAGTGCGGCCCTGACCTAATACTTCTACACCTGTACCAGAGCTAAGGCCCATAAGCATTCTTCTTCTAACGTCTAAAATCGTTGAAAAAATCCTATCAAACCAGATTAAGGCGTACTTAGGCTTTAGATCGGGATCGTAACTGACGATCTGACCTTCTAGGTTCTCCTTAAGTTCTTCCTTACAGCCTTCAGCTTTTGAATTTTTAATCCCATTTTAGCTATTCACTTGCCGATGCTTTTACTACGAAATTTTCACTGTGGTATACCCTACCGCTGTGGGTCCTTTACCTTCAACTTTTCATGTTATTTTGTAAGGTATAAGTTAAGGTAATCACACTGTATATTTTGCAACCTAGTTTAAGTAGGTAATATTAAGTACGAACATTACAACTTAAACTTCAACTTTAACTTCAAATTATTAAAGAATCTATGGGATAGGTGGCTTAATTATTTACGTTCATTTGCCCTAAATTGTGTAAGAATTCAAGTGGTTTAGCAATTCGTATTTCGTTAATAAATAAAATAGAATTGAATTGTATGTAGAAATCACATTCTAGACCCTGTTTGCGGCTTGTCTCATCTCAGCGCCTCTTATCTAACCGTAACCACCGATAAGCGCAGAAAGATAGTACTAAATTATTTGAGTAACAGTTAATTGTAAACAATGTCGAAGCTCAATTGGATTGTTATAATCAAGTTCTTTCGATTAGTTTTTACTACTTCCGTCCGTTTGTCCGTCCGTCCGTTAGCATGATATCTCGTAAACGAATGGATCGATTACGATGAAATTGGCAATGTAGGCCAATAAATAAAGAAGGCCCTTTTGACATCTCCGTTACTTATGAACCGAATTGCATCAAATTTAATATGCCCATAGCTTTAGCCATATAAAACGCAATTCCAAAAGCCTGATCGATCAGCATTCACAGTGCCCTCTTCGCATCTCGACCATTTATAAACCAAATTGCAAACTTTCGTATTTACGGAGGCATTTAAATTAATTTAAAATAGCTAGAATAAAAGCAAATGTAGCGCCATTTTCCAAATTTGATTCTGCGCATGCGCAGTGCCAAATTTCTTATTTATGGAGGCATTTAAATGAAATTGGCCACTTGGAATAAAAACAAATGTACCGCCAGTTTCCAAATTTCGTTTTATGCATGCTTGTTTTATAAACTACTAGCTACTAACTTAACGAAGGAGTGTCATTAACGAAAGAAAATTGCAAATTTAATCCAGAATTTAAGCGAATGGAAAAGTCCAATAGGAATATTTTCACCATTTCAATTTTAAATTAAATTTATCAAAATTACATGCATCGACCGCGAAGGTAGATTGTATTTCTAATGTAATTTATGAAAAATAAAAGTTAAAGGACAGAATCAAAGAACTATATGGAGAGTTTTGTTCATGTAAAGGACTAAGACAGGGATGCCCACTTACCCCTACCTTATTTAATCTCTACTTAAGAGACATGGAAATAGTAGTAAGACACGTCCAAGGTGGTGGCATACGCGAACGACGCAGTGATCATGCCAAAAGAAGCAGGACAGATGAAGGAAATAATGGAAATAATGGGGAAAGGAAAGAAATGGAGATAAATGTAGAAAAGTGTAGGATGATGAGATTTGGGAAGGGAGGTGGAAGGAAAGAGTGAATGGAAATGGAGAGAGGAAAGAATAGAAGAGGATTTTACCTCTGATAATGAGAGGTGTGCTCTTGTACGAAACTGAGATATGGGGCGAAAGGAATAGGAGTAAAAAGAAGATATTATAAATGGGTATTAAGGTTAACACCAAATTGTATATTAGAGGAAGAAAAAAATGGAAATGATCAGAATAATGTCGGGGCGCATGTGGGAAGAGGCAGAGGAAAGTATTTTCGAAAAAAATGGATACGGACGGGCTGAGATCGAAAGGAGGAGAGTATTTAGAATATGTACGAAAAGAATATATAACACACGTTATCGAACTGTACTGAGGTGGAAATAACATGGAGAAGTAGGAGTGTGGTGCTGGATGAAGGGGAGGAAGTGAGAAGTGGATAACGTGGATTTTAAAGAAAAGGGGGGCGCAAAGCCCCAAACATCCAATGGTCCTTTTTTTGCTCAATTTAAAACGACCAAAGCCCGGCTTTGGCCGTATCCAAACAGCCAAACCTAGGATCGTGCAAATATATGAACCGACCAAAGTTTAATATATTCGGTTCCAGTGTCAGTGCGAGGTAGGTATGACATTTTAACTATTGGGGACGTAGAAAAACTTCTTAAAAAACGAACTTCTGGTGATGAAATAAAATATTTTTGCAATATAGGTGAATTGTATGAAATTATTCACAAAGCCCACATTGATACGGGACATAAAAGCACTCGGTGCATGGATAAAGTACTGTAATATTACATATTTATTTACGCTTATATGGGCAATGTCAGTTGAAGAAAAAAATAAAGGAAAGGGCCTAGCGCTAGTAGTTAGGCCAATTTTGAGCAACGACGACATGAACTCAAGAGGGCAGTTGGATCTTATAGATATGCGAACAAATCCAGACGGAGACTATACATTCATTTCAAATTATCAGGACCATCTAACAAAATTACCTTTGAAATCTAAAAGAGTTACGAAGGTAGCTCTTTTAGACAATGTTTGTATAATAGGTGCTCCTTACATCCTCCAAAGTGACTATGGAAGAGAGTTCACCGTAGCAGTCATAAATGAACTTGCTGATAGGTTCGAAGCTAAAATAATTCACCGTAAACCAAGGCACTCTCAAAGCCAGGGAAGTGTAGAAATGGCAAACCAGGGTGTTAGAGACATTTTAGTATCTTGTATGGCAGATAACAAAAGCACCAATTGGCCTAACGGATTGCAATTTGTTCAACTAAAAAAATAGATCTTTTCATAGAGGTATAAACAGAAGTCTGTATGAGGCAATGTTTGGGGTTCCTATACGAAGAGAAAGAAGAGCTGGAAAACATATCAAATGATAATTCTGATGCAGACGTCTCTAGCAGCTCAGATGTAGAAGAAGAAAATCGTGCAATATCGTACAAAACCTCAAGCGATCAAGCCAAACAAAAAGACGTAAGTAATATTTCAACTGTTGAAGTAAAAAAAATTAATTACATTTCAAATAAATTACTATTTATATTTTGTAGGCAAAATATTCACTAAAATGTTTTTTACAGTGTACCTCCCCACCTGAAAAACCATGAATGATTTGCAATCGTCAAGGAAAAATTACCGAAGCACGTGAAGCATCATCCGCTTCCCAGAAAAAGAATGCAGAGGTCCAAAGAAAAGTTTAGTTCCTGTTAGAATCCTGTTAGCTAGGAACACGATCAGAACCAATCGAAAACGTCATATTTTGGTTTTCATCCGTAACCATCTTCATGGTTGTTGAGGGTGTTTAAAAGAGCCATAACGACTCGAAAAAATTTTTTTAATTTTTTCCATACACTGGCCAAAACTATTTTTTGTGAGTTCCTTTGTTTTTGAGAAGTTTTGAATTGAAAAGTTGAACTATTTATTTTATTTTTCTAAATTTCTCTCTAAAAGTAAGCATCAGAGTGAAAAATGTTAATATTACAAGAAAGATGTGTCTTGATGAGATCTAAAAAAAAGGTTTCCACACTTTTCGCGTCGGGTTCTAAATAAAGGCGCTAGATGACATTTTCTAAATGTTATACTATGACCAAAGATAATTGCAAAGTTTTTTAATGAAATAAAAATTTTTGTATATAAAAAAAGAGTGGTTGGTTTTTGGTACCGGCACTATACCAGTTGACAATATCGCAATATCGACTTTATCTTCAGTTGAATACATCGCACACGAACTCGCACACGAACGAAAATAAATATGCAAGCCAAAGTAACAATATTCAAATTAATTAATATGACAGTCAGATCTTTATTTATTTAAAAAAGTTATTTTGGTTGGATAAAATTAGGCGCTCTTCAGAACAGATATTGTCATTTAAAAGTAGACATAGGGAAAAACAATACACGTAAATCCCTATGTCTACTTCTTAATAAATAACACTGTATAAGCAGAACTGCTGTGCTTTGAAAAAGTGTTGATGTTGCTATACTTTCTCTATAAAGCTTGATGCTTGTTTCCATTTATGCCAAAACGATTCGCGTTATTGGTGAAATATAGAGAAAACATAGGGTCGACTAAACTGATAAATATTCAATGGTAATGTACAAGTACAATACCACCAAAGCGATTCATTCACCTACTCCGTCGCTCGAAACGCATGTACCCAGCATTGATCTGTCGATTACATGATTCAATAGAACGCTCAATAAAACTATTTTTCCTCGAAAACGGCGTTTCAGGGTGCAAATAACAAAAGTATTTTGGATAACGAAGAAACCAAATGAAAAAATCCGATACAACTGAATACCGAACGATCCTCTAGATCGCTTTTGGGGTGTAACTGATTAACCGGATAGTTTACGAAGCTGAAAGACACCTTTCTTATATTATTAATTAAGAACATGTGTACCACTTTTGAAAGCTATCGGAAATTATAGTGCACACGGATAGACAGACAGACAGCAAGACTAAATTATAAACGAAGTCACAATGTGCATTTTCTAATAGACTGTAAGAAAATGTATTTTAATTCGATGGGTGCCGATTATCAGAAAAATGGTTTTTGGTAGGGGAAAGTGCCTTATGAAGAACTCGACGAAACATGCGCTTCTGCCAAATTTGTATTACACATGATCACGCCAATAAAAATGGTTTTTTCTGGAATTTCAAGAACCCTTTCTTAGAGGTTTCAAATAGCAGTCATAATCATGAAGACTATTATGAGTTTTTGATGCGAAAAGCATAAAGTAGCAGATAAATGTTAACTTACCCCCCTTATAGTTGGATGGGGCTGCTTGCAACCTCTCGAAGGAGTGCTTAACCGCAGGTTCATCGTACGAGCCTCCTCCATAACCAGTCTTTGTAGGTGCTGTCTTAACACCACCTTTCACGCCACCTTTCACGCCACCTTTTACAGCACCCTTAACGCCTCCCTTAGTAAACGCCGATTTGACATTGGAAGTTTTCACACCTCCACCGTCACTGAACAGAAGAGGTAATTAACATCACCCAAAAACAGAAAAAATAGTAAAAACTTACCTTTCCGCCGAGCCATATTTATCCCTTATTTGCTTTGGAATATACGCCGGATGGACGTCCCTAAAATTGTAACATTAGCAATTTTCTTCTGCACTATTTACTCGAATAATGTACCCGCTTGCGTGGTAATTGAAATGACTAAAAACTATAAGTAAAATACTGAAACGAAGATTCATTATGCCTCAATTGTACATAACGGTTCGTGTCAGCGCGATATTACATCTAATAAACAATAGGAGCAGTATTTATAAAAAAGGGAATATCTAGGAGGGAAGGAAAAGGAAATGCATATCTCATTAACAGTACTCAATGAAAGCACCGTTTGCAGATAAATATGTCAAGGGTATCATAATTGGCGCATTCAAATGTTTAGGCGCCAATAAAACTTCGAGCTTTCGGGCTTTTGGGAGGGCCACGCCTCAAGGGAGAGGATTCCTTTGGTAAACCAAAATTTTTTACTAAAATCCTTGACTTTGTCACTGGTTTTACATCACCTTCATTTTAATATCAGTACCTTGAACTAAATCTTTTTCCCACATTTCTAGGTGAAGTGTTATCTCCCAGTCATCCGAGGATGCTCTTCTTTTGCGCCGTTTTTTCAAACCTTGGGAATTACTTTTTGTTGAGTTTAGATCATTGACTTGCGAATATCTGGAATTTTACTGTTCTTATCAATCTTATTTATTTGTCGCTAACGCGAAATGGCAATTCTCTTTAATTAGTTAGGTTCATATGGCGAATATATGCATATCGATGATAAGCAGACTGTTCTCATGGGTAATAGAGATTAAAGAACTTCCAGTTGCGGTGACTGCTAATTCTTATCAGTAGTGAGATGTTAATTAATAGTTAACAACTTCCCAATTTGTTTAAACTGAGCAATTCAGTTCGTAGTTCAAAAAAATATGCCAACTTGTGCATATGTTTTATTTCAATGTTCAACTGCGCGATTTCTTCACCTAATTTCTACAACGGCGGTCTAGTTTTTATGCTGGATTGTTGTGGGTGTATTAATTCTAGAACTATTCGTTCTTTATCATCAGCTAGCTTTACACTCATTATTCCATTGTATAGATCATCTCCGCTGGTACCTTTCATCGATTTACTCTCCACAAACGTAACCCATTTGGGTTCATCCTCGGGTTCATCTGAGAGTTTCCAACAAAAATAATGCTCATACAAAGTGTGGATGAACGAATGGAACACGAAACAATTTTTGCTTTTGAAAGCATGTCCTTTTGGGGTACAGGGGGAACATCTTTTACCAATCTAATTCATTAACTTCTTCGTCCTTTATCACTGTGACACAACCCTTAAGGTTTCAATTGTTATAATACACTACCGTTTCAGACCTTTATTTTATTTGGGAAAAGTGATTGTTTTGGTCCTTTCTACCACTATATTTGTTTTCATACTTATAGGAGTAGGTATATTACATGTTGTTTCACCCTTTTTAGCGTAACACAACGAAGTTGAGGTACCGTTTATGTGCTCGATTTTCCGTCGTCTGTTTGTCTGTAGTCTGTCTGTTCCAACGAGATCTCGGCCTCTTCGGGTTTTCACTAATTGATCGCTACTATGGTCTATAATGCCAGATACTCATCGTTTAGGTACACGTACAGTTGTGTTACGAGGCAACACTCACGAGCTGTGGGTTTTGAAGCATTTCTGCATCGTAATTTGCCTTTTTCGAACCAAAAAGCGTGCATGAATCTTTTTTTGGCGTGCGTATAAAGATTTGCTCCTTTTCTTGAGCATTCAATATGATAAAGCGCAAAAGTTAGAAAACATGTTGGTACCGCCAAAATGATGCGTCACATGTCGCGTGCACGCAAGACCCTTATCAACATTGACTCAACGTGTTGTTTATTAAATGCTTTTCTTTTTTTTAATTTGCAGGTATAATTAAAAAAATTCGTTAAGCCGCTTGTGAGCAAGAAGCGAAGGGTGCACTTTCAAATTTGGCTTTTCGATTTTAATAGCCTTTATGGACATTTCCTACCTTAACGAGAATACAAACATGAAATAATATTTAATTTCTGATCGAATGACACCAATACCAAGTCTGTAAGTGGTTGAGTTTCGGGGCCTTTGTGACTCAGACAGACAGACAGACAGACATCAAGAGCGAAAAAGTGCATTTTTTATTTTTTGAAAGTGAAAGTGCACTAAAAATAGCGTTTATATAAAATAGTCCAGCTATTTTTACATAGTATTAGGCACTTGGCAGTCACACGATATCGCCCGCTGTATGGATTTTGAAACTATTAGCGCCCTTTCGAGACTCAAACACCGTTAACAACTCTTAAAATTCTTAAGAACCCTTAAAAGCTAATATTAGAATGTTAGCCACCTTTGATTATATGCTCAGATGTTTCCCATTCTAATATTCTTAATTATTGATTAACCTTAATCATCGTTTGTGAAACCGGGCATTAATGTTTTAAAAATTTTGGAAAATTCTCCCTATCTCTAAAACCTTAATAAATACACTTAAAGGATTCTTTAAAAAACTCATAACACTCTTAAAAGCTTTCAAAGTCTCAGAGCTTAAGACTCTGAAATCTTATGGAGATTGCGACTCCTTGAAATTCTTCTTGATTTTTGTAAGTCTTTGAAACTTCTTAGAACCCGCCGAAGACTTTCAAATGCCCTTTAAAGAGAACCTTGTTTCTCTTAATGGATTTTAAAGACTTTCAAAAATTAGTTAAAAAGTTGAGCAGATTTGGCAGCATACATGATGACCATTTGAAAACGAAACAGAGCCTATATTTTGGGGACTTTAAAACTTTACGAAAAAATCCTAGAACGCGTCAATTTTTTATTCAAGAGGGAACCATTTTTTGCTAGTTTCACCCCCCTGAAGGTAAAGCCCTAGCGGGTGTTACAAGCGCGACCAAAATTTTCAATCGAATGGTGGGTCGAGTGATATCTTATTTTGAAGGTATTTTTATGTGGCTTATAACCCTTAAGTTTTAAATCGCTACTATTTGCCTAGCCAATATAGGGGTTAATAAAAGTTGCAAAAACGTGTCAACATTTTCTTTCGAAAAAAATGCTTGTAAATTAATTAATTAAACAAACAGGAAATAAACGACTCAATTCCTCAAAACCTTCCCCATGGATATTTAATTGTTGACGAACAAATATAATTGTGAAATGTTACGATATGTTTCGATTGTTAAATAAATATTTTAGTTTGTTACCTGAAGACGATTAACAATCGAAACATGTCGTAACATTTCACAATTATATTTGTTCGTCAACAATTAAATATCCATGAGGAAGGTTTTGAGGAAGTGAGTCGTTTATTTCCTGTATGATTCATCACCCCATTTAGAGCAGGAATCAACCACGAGTTTTTTCTGATTAATTAAACAAAAATAAATACAACAATAAATACAAAAAATGTTGTTCTCCTACATTCTGAACCGTACTCTTTGTTGTTGTTTTTTTTTTTAATACTTTAATACTTAATTTTGAAGTTTAATAGTGATTGTCAATTACTGTTTCCAGATCATAGTAGTGACAAATAGCGCTTTAAAGTTATTTAATTGCAAAATCGGTATGTATGTTTTTCTGACGAATGCTCCTTTTTCCTGAACGGTACTGTGAATCGTCACAACTATCGCTATTGGGCTGATTCAAATCCCACAATATTTCGTGAGGTGCATATACACAACATCCCGAAAAATTGTTTGGGCTGGCATTCTTGGCAACCATCGTAGGCCACTTCTTTTTACAAGGCAATTTAACAGGAGAGATGTACCTGGAGTTCATCCAGCATTAGTGGAGATACTAGAAAATAACGAGTACTTGGAAAATCGTCTAGTATTTCAGCAAGATGGTGCGCCAACCTACTATGCTGTAAGGGTTCGTCAATATTTGGACCAAACGTTTCCTGGACAATAGATTGCAAGAAGAGGAGCTATTGAATGGCATCCTTGTTCACCGAACTTAAGTCCGTTAGATTTTTTTATAACGCCATTTAAAAACTAAAATGTATGCTATAGTACAGGCGGTAAGTGCATCGGTCTAAACATTTTGGGGGGGAAAGCTGGATTTTGTTGAAATGTCTCAGGTTAGGTGTCTCGAATAACGTACTAAAAGTCCAGACCCCCAACTGCGCCGCTCATCGAGCTGTGGCACGTTTTTGCCCCCCAAAATCAGTTTTTCGTTAATATCTCGAAATGTAGCAGGCTTAGAGAAAAACTTTTGAAACAAAAAATGTTCCTCGTAAAATTTCCTACACGATAGCTTACTTGCAAGTTAGTCCAGGCCTAACCGATAGCCTACAGCGTTCGTTTGAGTAGTCTAATATTGAGTTCTTTGATGATTTTTTGTACTTATGGTTGTATGGACGCCTAAATTGATGAAAGACGTACTTCTCACTTATTGTACCATAGGATAGCCGATTTGAACGTTAATTTAAGAAATTTCATCAACATTCTGTTTCCTCTCCATTTTTGCACCTGATGAAAGCATCGGTAGGCGTGGAGACTGAATGCAGCGGCAGTAGGCGACGCTCAACGTATGAGACGTACTTCTGACATGTTACCTTGTATGTCTCCCCTCGCTCCCACAGAATTTTACGAAGCAGGAAGCCACCATCAATAACGTAAGTTGACTTAGTTTTATCATATTGAGTCAAATCACTCTCTGAGAAGATTTTATAGAGTGTAGATTTGACACATTTTCGCATCCCTTTCTCGTCAAACAGCGCCAAGTAGGGGTATGGTGCCAATTCATACTCCAGGTATTTCTTCAGTTGAGCGTCACTTTTCTTCAAAATTGAAATCCTTTTAAACAGTATTAACGGATCCACCAGACGGTTTTCATCGCGCACTTTCATTGTGTTGAGAGCTTTCATGGTGATCACGCAGTCGCTTCTTCTCATTTTAACGGCTGAAAACTTCATTCCATGAAAATGAAATAGTGTACACCGCAGGTAGACTGACATAAATGACCCACTTCTCTGTCTATTCACTGCAGGAAATTCGCGAAAAACTCGATATTAGACTACTCAAATGAACGCTGTAGGCTAACGGTTAGGCCTAGGCTAATTTGCAAATAAGATATCGTGTAGGAAATTTTACGAGGAACATTTTTTGTTTCAAAAGTTTTTCTCTAAGCCTGCTACATTTCAAGATATTAACGAAAAACTGATTTCGGGGGACAAAAACGTGCCACAGCTCGATGAGCGGCGCAGTTGGGGGTCTGGACTTTTAGTACGTTATTCGGGACACCTAACCTGAGACATTTCAACAAAGTCCAGCTTTCCCCCCCAAAATGTTCAGATTGACGTTTTTTGTGTACTTATCGCCTGTACTACTAGGCGGCTAACATCGTTAGAACTTGCGACAAAGATTAATAGATGAATGTCGTACAATCACCCCAGAAGTTTTTTAAATTGTACCTGAAAGGTCTGAACAAAACCTGTATTATTGTATGGAAGTCGAAGGCCAACATTTTCAACATTTAATATTGATTTTAGCTTTAAGCACTTAAAATAAGAGTTATTATCCACATAAAAATACCTGCAAAATAAAGTATCACTCGGCCTCTCATTCGATTTAAAATTTCTGGGGCGCTTGTCACCCCCGCTATTGCTTTGCCCTGAGTGGGGCGAAATTAGCAAAAAAAATGGTTCCCCCTTGAATTAAATATTGAAGGGTCCGAGGATTTTTTCGTAAATGTTTTGAGGTCCTCAAAATAGGCTCTGTTTCGTTTTCAAATGGCTACCTTACATTACGTGCGTTTGTGAAAGCTTCCAAACAAGACATCTTTTGCACTTGTAGAAATCGATCTGAGAGGATTTTTTATTTGTCTCAGAAGATAGTACGTCATATATGAAAGTAACCTTTAAAGCTCGGCGTGCTTTAATCACCTGTTTTCGCACGATCACGGGCAGTTTAAATGGCGATTCTGATGCCGGCATAATAAAAAGACCCTTAATTAAAGTATAATAAAAGCTCTTAAAAACCATACTTTCTCAGGAAGGCTCCAAAAGGTGTCTCTTTATTAGTCCTGATGTTTGATGAGAACACTTGAAACCTTTTGCAGGCTTTTAAAGAGTAAAAGTTACAGCTACAGTTACGGAATCACAAAAACACAAAATGTTTCCCATGACCCCTCTACATTCTGGGAGTTTTGCAATTTATTGGAACTACGAAAGGCGACAAGGTAGTTCAAATTATCAAATTCCGAGAAATAAGTCGGGATTATATCTGTGTAACCCCCATTTGCATCTTGGGGTTAAGTATAATAGATTCGCTTACAACTCGGGATTAAGTATGACCCCAACTTACATCTAAAAAACGTAAAAAAAATTAATTAAGCCGCTTGTGAGCAAGAGGCAAAGAGTGCACATTCAAATTTGATTTTTCGATTTTCATAGCCCTTATATGGATATTTAGGATTTTTGAAGAGGGGGGGGTTGGGGGGTTAAGGGGGTAGGGGTTGTCACTCATAACGTAATTCTGGTTCCCCCTCGATACCAACGAAACGGTTTTTCGCGATTTTCAATATCTTCTTTAGTTTGGAAAATATGACCGACTGCAAGTTTTAAAATTAACACCCCGTATAAAGCAGGCCATAACAAAAGCAGCAGGACCGTAGCCAGAATGAAGTAGCAGGGGGGCCGGTATTTTTCTAGGTGGGGCTTAAGGAGTTTTTAATAAAGACTTCCCTTGTAATTGTTGTAAAGGAACCATCACCCGTAATTTCCAGTGGGAGCAAGACCACGTTCTAGGTGGGGGCTCAGCCTCACCTAGCCACCCGCTGGCTACGAGCCGGAAAAGCAGACGATAGAGTTGGCAAATTAGTCAGTTTAAGCCTAACATAGGAGGACCAAGCAGTTTCAAGCGGTTAGTGTAGCTAAGTGTAATTTATTGTATGGCGCCCCCCATTTGGACGGATATGTTGAGGCAGAAAAAATACTTTGAATAAATGGAAAGAACGCAACGAAAGCTACTGATAAGAGAACGCAAGGCATATAAAACTGCCACCGACAATAGGGTTGCCGGTTTTACCGGGGGTACCACTTATTCAAGAGAGGAAATATGTTCTACCTGCTGGTTATAAAAAGCGCATGCGGTTTGTGGAGAAATAATATGTCGCTATAAATCTAATTAATTTATTTTCGTTATATAAAGGTAAAAGTACCTATATCCATAAAGAAAACTAAAGTATATTTATATCCCAGCGATACACTGACATTCCTTTTTACCACCCCAGCAGTGACACGCGCGACATTCGCTCTCCTCTATTAGATCACCTTCGTAGAATACCTTTCCTTCAATGACCATACAAGGCAGTTTTACGGTTGCCAGAGCGGAACATGATCTTGCTTTGCACCCTTCGAGACATACGTCTTTTTTTCCACACAAATGGCTCTGCTTCTTGTAAACGTACGGACTTACATCATCTTTAGAGGGACATATGCTAATGCAAGGGTCGTAATGTGAGCATGTAGAGTCACATTGCATTGCTGAAACCGAAAGCATAAAATTCCAAGCTATCAAGGCTGTGGCTTACGGCATAAGGTTGGAGTTCTCCAATGTATGGAAATTCCGTTTCTGTTACATTCATATGCGTAAGCCGCGAAGGCTGTGCACACGCAATGACTGTCGCCGCCTTCATCACATCCACAAGCGTCGAATATGCATTTTTTTACGTAAGGCCCCACCGAAACTTTGTCATGGCAAAGGGAGAAAGGAGCGGAATTTAATAATTCGCATATTTTATTAGCCCACTTCTTTCGGCTAGATTTGTTCTCGCACGTGTCCTAAAAAGAACGTTTAGCAACCCAGGTTAGGCTTTTACAATTAAAGTTACGGTGATTTTTTCCGCTGTAGGACATTGTGGTTGTAAACTCCAAGAGTCGCCAAACTTTTCCGTTGAATCTTCAAGCACTCCTTCGGGGTTTTTGAAGTCATCTGGCCTGTAATCGTTGAAATTTCCGCACAATCCTTTCACCTAGTAAAAAATTAAACTCAGAATTACCATTTTGCTAGTTACCTTATCGTGCAGCTCGGGTTCTAGCGATACATATACACGATTTCCTTTATCCCACGTTATCATCACGCCAAATTTGGGCAGGTTGGCAATTACGTAGTGACTTAGATCGTGGAGATGTATTTGTTTGTTCGAGGACGCGTCAGGAATTGGACTTCCACTACTTAGCACCACAGTTTCTTCGCCGTTTCCATCATTAATTGAAATGGTAACAGATTTCAAACAGCTAACGCTAGACCCGCAAGGTTCGTTCTGTCAAGAAATCGAAATAGTTTTCCGAGTATTTTTCGTTATGGTAGGTACCTACCTGTATGTTCACTTGAAAACTTCCGACTTTCTCCACCTCACCCATAGTTAAAACATAGTCGCACTGCCCTTGGTAATCGAACTCTTTACCATCGAATGTCTTAAAGTGGGAATTACCCCAAACGCTGCATAATCCCGGACATTTATTATCGGTACAAATCCATTTGTTATCCTTACAAGTGCTAAAAGCTAATGATAGAAAATAGTTTAACGCTTATTAAGTAGATACCAAGAATTGCATTCATCCTTAACGACATGACCTTCTTCATGACTTTGCCCACCGTAGAAACAAGGGCAGTCGGTGGGTTGCACGCATGTTTCATTGTCTTCACCGAGAACACGACCAGGTGGACACTCACATCCTTCCTTGCAAGTCTCTTTGGGAGGGGGAGCAATCTCTTTGTGCATATTCTAGGGAATAAATGTTTATGGCGGATTTACAGGTTTCTTTTTGCTTACTTTGCAAGTCACTGGCTCAGTTGCTGCGCATAAGGTATACTTCTTATCGTCGAGCGAGCACGTCTCTTTCAGAGAAAGTGTGAATATTTCGGTGCGCGGTATGGGTTTGCATGACCACAAAGCATTCTCACATGTACTGTAAGCATATAATTAGGAACCCTTACCCAAAAATAAAACACCCGTACCAAGAAAGCAGAGTATCTTCAAGATTTTTTGTTTCGACGTGACCCGCTGGAAAGATGGCTCCATCCATTTCGCACTCGCAAGACGCAATCGGTACGCACGTGCCTTGCTGGTTCAAGGCTTGGCCGACGGGACAATTACATCCTTCGACGCATTCTGGTTGGCATTCCTCCTGTTTTGCTATTTGAGGGCAGCTACGTGCGCACGGATTTCCGCAAGCTTGATACACCTGTCCCGATTTGCACTGCACCCCACACCCTTTCACCTTTGTTCTCCACTCAACATCGACCCCCTTTCTCGCACATTCGGCTGCATACGACGCTATCATTGGACAGAAGCATCTCGGTAACTAAAACACATTTTCACCACTACTCTTATTACGCTTTCTTTCATACCTTTAATTCGCAGGAGCACACATCAAACAGACATTCCTGGTAGAATGTTTCAGGGTCCACTTCCCAATGGCAATCTACGGAAAGAACCGCATTATATAAGTTAAAAAGGGGGATAACCCGTATACCTGCAAAAAGTTTGGACTTGATCATTTTGCAATTCTTTTGGGCGGCTGCCTTATTTTTGGGGTTTCGGACGCATGGGTGTTCCACATTCTCGCTTGCATCGCCGCAGGTCGGATCCGTTTTCCACGAGTTACCAAAACGCACTTCGTTTACTTCTATGGTTCCATCTGGCATGAGGAAATCGTCATCTTTATTATTATTAAATGTTCCGCAGAGCCCCTGAAAGTTAAACAGTTAGGGGTTAGCGCTCGACGAAAGATACATTGGGGAAGAGCAAGAGACAAAAATCCTACCAATCGCGATTAGTCCCATTTCAAAAAAAAAGAGCAAAGGGCAATGATCCCATAGAAAAGCGCAGGGGGTGGGTCCCATTTAAAAAAAAAAGAAAGGGCTTGATAAATAAACTATTAAATAATATTATTATTGTAAATATTACAATAAAATAAAAATTGTTACAGTGCTTAAACGCCCATTTTAAAACTGTATAGTGTTTAATTAAGAGGTTAATACACCCCGCTTTAAACAACAGCTGCAATCAGTGTAATTACGCTAAAATTAATAACATTCGTTTAGGGCGTCACCTTTTAACACGCAACTTCCTCAAAAATTTGTGATCAGTGCAATTACGCGACTCATGCAGATAACCACAACTTAAAGCGACATTCGAGGATGTTCCGTGCAGTCATTTATTTGGCGAAAGGGAATGTAATGTAAAGTTGTAAGAGTGCGTGGAAAATTTTATTACAGAGCTAGCCGTGGTTAAAATTAATGGCGATAGGAAAATTTTGACCAATGCCGTAGAGGATCCATTTTATTTAGTACGAATCAGGGTTTTCAATCCTTATAATCTAACTAACTGTTACATTTCGGAAAGAATCAAAAATATATTTTAACAGGGGGATTGAGGAAGTTTCGGAATTTTAAGGCTTACATAAATTTTCAGAGGTTTGGTGTTTTAGAGGGCTAGGTTCAAATGTGGTTTAGAGAAACTTAAGAGACCTTCAAAGGTTTAAATTTAAAAGATTTGGATAAGATATTAGAATTTCAGAGTTTGAAACGGTTGTAGAGAGTTTCGAGGGTTCCAAAGCGTTCAGTTTTCATGGACTGTAAAACCGCTTTATAGGAATTAATAAATTTATTGAAGTTCAGAGGGTTATCGTGCAGGGTTGGAAAGTTGAGGAAGCTTTCAGGCGGTTTCTGCTCACTTTTGAGGATATCAGAAGGTCATAAGATAGTGTCAATCAGAGCTGGGCAGTATTCGATTTTGTAATAGCTATTTATACAATAAGTTGCGAAATGAGTGTCTTTTAGGCATGCGACGTGAAAATTGTCCATTTGCCTCGTTGGACAACACGTCTAGTGACTAAAAGACATCGTTTCGTAACGAATTATATACAAGATTTTTTGTGAAAGCGGAGTATGATAATTTTATAATTTTATTAGATAGTATTTTTAAACATTCTGAAAAGTAGGCAGGCAATCTGTTTCTAAGGCATCGTTTATGAATTATTTAATGTCAAGTGTGACGTTAAGGTAGAACGTGAACGTGTTGCCGTCTTTCCCGCAAAGTTTTGCGAAAAAATTACTTCAAATGAGTGATATTGACGAGTCTTAGGATATTGAACAAGCTGCTGAAGCTGCGCTATCCACGTTAGTACCCGAAAAATCGAAACATTTGTACGAAAAGATCTACGACAACATTGATTTTAATGTTTCATTTTTATTTTTAGGCACCAGTGCCTAAAACTTTCACGTTTACGCACTAGTGCCTAAAGGAGCGTCATTTCGAAATTCTAATCAATATCAAAATTTGTCAATTTCGAAACGCTTTCACAAAAATACATTTTAGTATTCAAATCCTTTAAAGTATTCAAATACTTTGTAATTAAATACTTTTATGGAAGCAGTATTTGTTTTTGTAACCCAAATACTTTCACAAATATTCAGTATTCGAATACTTCGCAAAGTATTTGGATACTTCGTAAAGTATTCGAATACCTCGCATAGTATTTGAAAACTTAACCTTTATTTTTTTAACAAAAAACGACTACACTAAAATTTCTCGGGAAAACACTTTTTGGTGCGTAGAATCCAAAACAATTCGTACTTTTTCGATTAGATTTTTCAATCAAAAGTTATTGACTAGAAACCAATTTCGAAAGAAAATTCAAAGGGCTGTAACTTTTGAAATAGTAGCCCAATCTTAGAACTGTTTGAAATTATGGACTCTACAGGCCACATTCTATAAGAAAATTTTTTCCGGGTCAATCTGAGACAATTTTTTTTGCGGGCCTCAAAAAAAGGCAGTGTATAACCTTCCTTTTTTTCCAAAAATCGACTACACCAAAATTTCTCGGGAAAACACTTTTTCTTATTAATTTTGGTGCGTAGAATCCAAAACAATTCGTACTTTTTCGATTAGATTTTTCAATCAAAAGTTATAGACTAGAAACCAATTTCGAAAGAAAATTCAAAGGGCTGTAACTTTTGAAATAGTAGCCCAATCTTCAAACTGTTTGAAATTATGAACTCTCGATCGATCTCGATCTCAGACAATTTTTTCCGGCCTCAAAAAAAAGGGCAGTACTTTTAAGTTATTCAAATATTTGAGAACAATTTACAAATGTTTAGGGAAAGTTTCCATTGTCACAAAATCAAATATAAAAATCCGATACATCTGAATACCGAACTCGATAGTCTACGTAACTTAAAAACAATAGGGACCTTTCTTATATCCTAAGACCATTCTTTACGTATATCTGTGATAATAATATAATAATAATACGGTTTTACTCCCCTTAAATTTGTATATAACAATAGAAATATAAAAAAAGCTAACCCCATACAAAGTATAACTTGATTTTTTAAGTAGTATTAAGCCTTTTATCTAGTATACTATTTTAAATTTTTAATGCATTTGAGTGACAAGTATTTGAATACTTTTTACTGTATTCGAATACTTTTCAAAGTAAGATAATGAAATACTTTTCAAAGTATTCGAATACCTTTGATAGTATTAGAATACATTCTAAAGTATTTGAATACTTATTTTTTTAAGTATTTGAATACTTTTCAATGTATCTGTATCTAGTATTCGCTTATGTGCTGGACGTGAAAGTATTTAGTATTCAAATACCTTTGATTTGTGTAAAGTATTTACTATTTAGTATTCAAATACTTTTTGAAAGAGTATTCTGCCCAGCTCTGGTGTCAATGCATTCCAGATAGTAGTAGAGATGAGCGATTCAACGAATTTTTGAAAGTTTCGAGAAGAATGGAAAAGTTGTTCTGAGAGTTTCCTCGAATTCGTTTATTTTAATCTTGGACAATTCTCAGATACCATATTTCGTCCAGATCACAATTTTGGTCGTACTCCCATTTAGTTATGTCTCTCCTTTATATATCAATTATGGGAGTACGAGTATTTTTACAAACTCAGAAAGCGCACTGGCGCTGGTACAAAGTAATTTTGGGGAACTCACTTCTTGGCGCAAATAGATTTATTGCCACGTACCTTTGTTTCTCCATACAGAGCCGATGATCCGTCTACAAATAAGCGGCTACTTCCATCCCAAGTCACCTGTACATTGATAGGTAGTTCGGCTGAAATCAAAATGAGTAAAATTTCTGCCCCATTCGCACCATGTAGGCGCACCTAGTATAAACGTTGATGAAGCGTGGCGAACTGTAACCCCATCGATCGCAAACGGAAGTTCCCTTATGTAAATCCCATCGACTATAACTTCAAAATTTTGATTAAGGTGTATCTTATGTCCACCGTATTCTATAATTGCAGATTTTGTGCACGAGGGCAACTCGGAGTTTGAGCGCAAATTGGCCATCTGAAAACGTTTTTGTATTGTAATTCGTCAATGATTTAGCCTTATTACCTCTTCAACTGTTCCTGTACAAGGAATATTTTCCGCGATGATACTGAAGTTGGCATGTTTGACCAAATAATACATGCAGTGGCCCATAAAATCGTAACGTTTGCCATCAAACGTCATGTAGTGGGGATCGCCAACTGAAGAGCATCGAGCTTTGCATTCTCTCTACAATAGCGTTGTAATGATGAATCCAGAACTTCATAACTTACTTTAGTGCATTCAAAATTGCCTTCTTTACAAGTGCACACATTACACCCTTTACTGACGGAGATTCCACTGAGAACCTCCTTCCCGCGGAATTTGCATGGGCAATCCGTTCGAGAAATACACTTGTCATTGTGCAAAACCATACCCTCGGGACAGTAGCAGCCTTCCTCGCATTTGGCGCTTTGTTCTTCTTCTCCGCATACGGCCCCTTTCGGTGCGCATGCTGAATATGTCTTACCATGAGGGCATTTTATTGCTAAAACACAATTTCATAATAATCACCGAGTAAATAAAGTAGTATCCATACGACAAAACTGTGTTCGCCAACCCTCCAAGCCAGTTACGCCATTTTCCATGCAATCCCTTGCGTATATATTCACAGTTTCGCATGTGCACTCCTTAGGATCAGCTTTGTCACACGCACAGTAACTCCAAATGCAAGAATATAAAAATTGGTTCACGTCCACCCTCTGAAAAATACGCAATGTAATGAATCCGACGAGAGAGCCCTATTTACCCCATTGCAGGCTTCAAAACGGGAATCGCCCAATAATTCCTGACAGAACTTCTTCGCTTCATCCTGCTTATCCTCTTTCAAAGCGAGGCATCGGTTCTCCTGAGATGCCTGGGAACCGCACTTATCTACCTCTTTAGAATCGATTTGCCAGCTTTGAATAAAACTGAGAACATCGTCAGTTGCCTTTCCCTCCTTTGTGGACATATCATTATTAACACGACCATCTGATTTACCGCACAAGCCACCAGTCTTCTTCCACAACTCTTGTCCTACCGTAACCTTCACATAATTCTGCAATGCAAACATAGTAAACGAAGAGAAATCGTTATTAGACCAAAAACCTACATAGCCATCCCACTTGATCTTTACAAGCGGCTGATCAATATTGACTGAAATGAAAGGTCCCCGGTGCATTATGGTTATTCCTCGTAGCTCAACTGGCATATCCAATCGTTTGTCACCGTAGATGACTGCGGGTGTACCATCTGCAGAACCGTGTTACTTTTTAATTGCTTCTCAAAGTGTACTTACCTATTAGCTTTAAGTCGTACTCCATTTCCTCATAGTAGATCTTAATGATTTTAGAGCAGTTATCTGTAACGGCAAAATCACATCCCATGCTATTTTCTATTGTTATCTTGAAGGTGTCATCGACAACGTCTTCGGCCAAAACGTATGGACAAGGAGATGTGAAGCTACAATATTAAATCAGAGGGTTGCAAACATCAAAATTGCAAATTTAATATCGCTACATGTTATAAAGACTAAAAGAGAGCGGTCGTAGGAGAGACGGAAAAAAGCAGGCATAGAGAATGAAAACGAGAATAAGTAAGACGTGAAAGAACCATGATACGTGGACAAAGGCAAAAAGTGAAGATGGCGTAAAAGAGATCTAAAGGAGATTCGTTGAAAGACGTAAAAGGAGAAAGCGTAAAGAGAATAAAGTGTAAAGAAAAAGGCTAATCAAATCGAATGAAAATGAAGACAAGAAACGGAAGCTGAAAACGGTAGGAAGTAGATATTAAAGCGCGAGGCGTGAAAGGACCAAGAAGAACTCGATTTCGGAGGCAATATAAAAACGCGAACAAAGTATAAAGAAGGCGTTATTAAAGAATGATGAGAGAAGCTCTTAGAAGACCGTAAAATAGAATACAAAAAAAGCTCTTGTTTGTTAAGGGAATTTTAAACGGAAGGAAAGAGAACGGAACTTATATTCGAAAAAATACAAAAAAAACGGGTGTTTAAGTAAATAAGACTCGAAATCTCACAGTGTTGCCATCAGCTCACAGCCCTTTAAAGTTGCATTCCCTTTTGTGAAAAGCCGAGCACGTGATGAAAATGCGGAATTCGTATTGGTTTCCACAGAGTTGCGGCCAGAAAAAGGGGATAGTTTCGTATATAGTTACATAAGTGAAAATCTGGTGGGAGAGCGATATGCTTTCTAGAATCTATGCAGGCCGAACGCTGCATTTTTTCGATCGCGTATCGAACCTTTGGTGCAAATTTATGTATTGTGGCCCCGGAGATTTATAGATTGCGTGTTTTGAATTACGTACGCGATTTTGTAGATCGTGTAAAATTTCATTGTTAATTGAAAGTTCGAACCGAAATCCGTAATCGTTAGCCTCGCAACCGAAGACTGTGCCGCCATATTTCGTGCGTACATTACAAAATGACCTACCCATAGATTTTCCCATCAAAGGTTTTGTAATGCATTCCGCTCCAGGTATAACATTTCCCTTTTGTCGGTGATGCATCAAGTGAACCTTCGGCGGTCGGCTCTGCTTCAGGAACACAACTTGGAACACTTTCTGGCTGGAATTTCCCTTTGGAAAATCCGCATTTGTATAATGCAGCAAAAGGTTGGCTAGGCTTCATTCCCTTTGCGCAAGAGAAAACGCATTCTTTCGAGTCATCCGTAACGGTGCATTCGTGCTGACCATTAAACTTCAGATCATCGACTGAACAAACAACGGCGGTGTCTGCAACACTTTTAGTAGAAATAGTTATCGCACTAGTGAAACTCACTATATTCACAACAGGGACCTTTCATTCCAATGAGACAGCTACATTTATTCGGTTGAGTGCAAACGCCATTGTTTTGGCATGGTGGATCACAAATGGCTGGTAATTTTGAGATTTAGATACAAAGCAACGCAGTGCGTTAAGCTTACCATTTTCGCAATGACCACCTTCATAACCTTGGAGACATGTGCACTTGTTCGGACTCGTACAAACCCCGCCATTTTTACAGGTGGGTTTGCAGGCGGCTAAAATGACAAATCTTAGTCACTTTCGGGACGGGTACGTTATAGCATACCTTCACAACTTGGGGCTGGTTTACCACTCAGAAGCACCCACGCTCCACTTGCGCAAACAGTTTCAAAGGAAGTGGAACCATCTGGAAGTTCGTACCCTTCCGTGCACTTAGATCGACAATCACTGAAAAGAAGGCATCTCAAAAATAACGCAACAAATTGATCACTTACGTTAAAGTACACAAATGCGTTTGCTTCTCAGTGTCCGCTGGTTTTTCGCAAGCCTTCACTTCAATTTCGCACTGTTTCCCCGAAAACCCCTTAGGGCATTTACATTTTCCAGCACCCACGCAAACTCCTTGGTTGAGGCAAGGCGGGTCGCATTTCGCTAAAAACGTGTTAAAATGGCGTATTTATAGGTGCGATACAACTTACTGGGGTTGCAATCTGGTAATTTTGGATATATGTTATGTCGCACAATCCACTCTCCCTTCACGCAGTCCATGTGTACCATCTCTTCTCCGTTTGGGAATGCGTAGTCTTTGCTGCAAGCTGCACGGCAGCCGGCTGGATTACATTTTAATTTGCCAAATAGTGGTGCTAGCGGTGGTCCCAGACAACCTGCAAAAAGTATTTGGTCTTTTAGAAGTGCAAAATTCCTGGAGGTCGTCGGTATGAATGACCATAATAATTCCAAGACGGGCTACATGTACGTTGTTACGCTTCTAAAGTCAGTAACCATCCACTTGTGGAAGAACTGCATATTATACACTAACAACAAAAGTCCTTGAAAATTGCCACTTTACCCTTCAAAGGATAAACACTGAAGACTACATTCTGCATTAAATATAAGCTTTCTTTTCTTTACTTTGAGATGAGTTGAAGATGAATTTAGCACATTTCCCCTAAAGTGTAAAAAATTGGACGAATAGCAAATCTGAAAATGACAAACTTCGTGAAACCGTAACTTGACTACTTTATCTATTGAGGCGCATTTTCCCCAGTGTTCCAACATTTCAGCTGCCCAGCACTTTTCAACGTAAAGCAGCTGAAATCATAAGCAGATGATATAAGTACCTACGTACAGACGGACGGAAATATTATTCAGTTTAAGAAAAAATTGAGGAATTATTGTGAATTGAATATATTGTTATAGCCTACCAAAACTGATCAAAGAAGAAAGAAAAATGGATAATTGCTACTTTTACGACCTTACTTTCTTGCCGAAAATCCAAGTTTTGGGTACCAGTTTACATCAGAACAAGTGAATATGAAAGTGAAGAGGAATCCCCAAATGTGAATAATTAAAAGGAAGAATTTACATCAGCGAATGAAAAATGAACAAGTTTTAGGGATATGTATAGTATATTAAAAGTTAAGTAAGAAAAATAATGTGCTCCGTATTAGAAAACAAATCTCTTACAAAAAGAAGAAAATAAGAACAATGATATTTACTAAAGACCGAAAAAGTATATCAATTTAAAACGTAATTAAATTAAATTATTAGATCCAATATACCATTGCAAAAATTGGTTATTATTTTACTATAGCAACTTTCAGCTCCAAATAGATTGTTATATAGTTGAATGAAGGATTAGATTAATTACGCAATAGTTATATCTGAGACTCCTCCATTACTAGTAAATAAGAAAACAAGAACCAATTGCTTTCGCGACTATATAATGTTTAAATTTAAAAAAAAACAATGACCATTTGTTCACAATGTAATATTTTTTAAAAAGGACCCCCGAATGGGCTTGTGAAAACAAATTTGTTTGTAATTTATTGATAAGAATCGAACCCAAACCAATGATTTTTGGTTATTTTGTTAATTTTTATTTGTGTTTATTTGATTTTTTTTTCATAATGTTAATATTAATCCAACTGTAATACAACCTGAAACTGTATTATTATTATGTATCGTATTCGTATATTACATGTTTTTGTTGTTTTCTAACGTACCATTTGGTTCACTGTATTATAGGTAGGTACGTCTACTGTAATTGCATAGAATCGAACTAGAGGGCATGTAAGACCTTGTTCAGAAGAACGGGTGCGTTAACTTGCCCCCCCCCCCCTCTTGGAGATTTGGTAGTCATATTATTGCGCTCGTTATGCGCTCACATGTCCCACCGATAATAACTACTCCATTCTCCATTCTCGTTTTTTAGAAATCCGAAAATATATGTGAGAGGAGTCAAGTATATTTAGCTCCCCCAAATTTTTAATTATTCACTAATTTCATCGGGGAAACTGATGCCCAACATATTTATATAATACACAGGAAATAAATTTTGTGCTCTTCGTGTCATACTTTCATTTTGGGTGTGAAGTGTAAAATGCCTTGATTTGATGCAAAATAACACAATGTAAGGAAAAATTGCGCAATTAAGAAGCTATTATTATAGAAAACCAAAAAACTCCGACGATATGATAAATAAACTGAAATTTTCCGATTTTGTTTTAATTTTTTTCTGATGTTATTTGAACAGATACAAGAAATATAAGAAAAAAAGTTTCCCATTGCTACTTTTTGAGCTCTACAAGACACCGTTGAAGGATTTCCAATACAACATTTCGTTTCGGAGAAATTTTTGATCGTATCTTCTATGGTTCACGAAATAACAATGATAAGCATCCTTATCTTGGACACTGTGTATACTATAAAGAGAGAAAAAAAACTATAATAGCTCAAAGATTTCTGTTTACGGCGCATTTGAGCTAGAGATGATAGATGTGATATAGTACAAAAAATATGTTAAAAAACGTCATTTTTGAAAACGTTAAATTAACCTCCCTTCATGTTTTAAAATTTGTTTATGGCTTAACCGTGATGTGCTTTAATTCAAGTGGTGCAATTAAGCCATTACCAGATGAATCGGTTTACATAGATACCGGTAAAAAAATACGTTATGTGAGACTACGTTCATTTGGACCCTCCCAAATATATTTAAGCATAACCAAAAAACAAAAAATGGCGCAAAGATATCTTTTTATTTTGCATCAAACACTTCCCGCGACGAAATTATTGAATTAATGTTGCCACTGATCCAAAATTAAAGCACAACATTGAGTGTCTGTGCATTAAAGTAATCTGTTGTGAAGTTTCCCCGATGAAATGAGTGATAATTAAAAATTTGGATATCATCCCGAAATCCGTTTTATAGTGTTAACGTCGTTAGCGAATACCTCTGCAAAATCTAATATGTCTTTCTATGTGTATATATGTAAGTGCGTGTTGCTTGTTAGTCTGTTTTTAGTCTAATCTGGAGTTTGTTTGTATAGTAGTTCTTATAGAGCTCAAAAAGTGACAATGAGAATGTTTTTTTTATTTTTTGAATACAAAAAAAATAAGAAGAAAATCTGCAAATTTCGGTTTTTCTATCATATCTTCGGAAGTAATCAAAATTTTCTGGTTTTCTTTAAAGCATGATAATAACTCTGTAATTGCGCATATTTTCACTAATTTGACCATCGTGGTATGGTTTCGGAGATCCCCATGATAGACATTTTTATCTTGAACACCGTGTATAATCAAATAATTAGCTCATAGAATAAATTTTGTAATTCTGATTGCTAATGTATGTTTGTTTCAATAAAGAAACGAAAAATATACAATATTGTTAATTTTCCGAAACGTTGAAGATGAAATTAGGGAACTCCATATTTTCTGGGCTCATTATATAATTTTTAGTTCAATTATATGATACCAGCCAGGGTAGGACGAACATTTTGAAGTGGCCCGGGAAAATGAAGTACACGTATATTAGCGGCTCATATCTGTTAACGGAAGTAGAGAAACCGAGAAAATTTTTGGGAGCCATGCCCAATTTCCATCCAAAAACCTGTATTATATGCGATATGCAGAACAATTATGACAAGTGTTTTAAAAACAAATTTTTTTATAAAATCTGTTTAAAATTAGGTGTGTGGTGCAGCTCAACAGCCACCATGCAGGAATAAATAACACGTTTTTAAATATACGCGGGCCCGAAAACCCAATAAAATATAAACAAGATTACAACAACAGCATTTCAAAAGATTATGCGGGTCACTGTGTAATTGGGCGCAAGCCTGTTGAGGGGCAAGAGCAAGAGAGGGACAATAAATAAATAAACAGCCAACGTGTTACAGGCTCTTGTCCTAGCTCTTGTCTATAATAATACTCATAGTGCTGTTTGGCCGTATAATATTTATTAGTTTTTCAATTTTATCTAAAATCTGTATTAAATAAGTTCATTATAGAAATATTTTGAATTTTTTTCCCGGTATCCCGGTGGGTTCATCCAACCCTAAACTCCTGCAATTGACGAGTGCTATATTCATGGAAGTGTGAATTTCCTAAAAAATTACGTAAATTTGAAACGAGATTTGAAATTTACTTATACAGAACATTCTTTACCAGGAAACACTGCAAAAATCAAATGACCACCTTCAATAATACGTAAGTTACTGGATCTGCGACACTCTGTATGGAACTGAATTATTTATTGATAGAAAACTAACAGTGATCATATACGTATTTATGTTAGAATGACCAATAAGTAAGGGAATGGATTGAACCCGAAAAAATACTCATCATTCTATAAATTTGCGCGATAAATTTAGAGTACCTAACCAAATCGTTAGAAAATATCTTGGATTTTAAAAAAGAACTTCGACATATTTAAACTGATGACACAAATGTAGATGACCCAAGTAAACACAGTGAACATGATATTATTATCAAAGCAAAAAAGTCAAAGTCACTCACCATCCAAAAAATCGAAGCCTTTTTTCTCTCCAATATTGTGCTTCATTTCTGCAACACTAAAACAAAAACCAGGAAGTCCTTCGATTTTGTTTACCTTGTTTAACATTACTACCTTATTATATGCAGAAAAGTTGCAACCATTGCCAATCCACAGTTGGAGAGGAGCATTTTGGTAGCTTTATCGAAAGGATTCGTTGTCTTCCAAGTTTCAGCTCGTTACACCAGTTAATGTCACTATAATAGATACTTTAGGTGGATACTGTTTATAAATTGAAAAGTGGGGGTTAAAAGGAAGATGATATGTGACAATCGTAAATAAATATGGTCGAGATGTTGTTCTAAGAGAGTAGGTATTTTTATCTAATTGTCATTTGATAGACAACACCTCTTCTATTCAGAGAGATTCTTACGTTCAAAAATTTTGGATTAACCTGGCCAGGGAAACCTTTCTTTCAATATCCTATATCTTTTTCCGTAGCAGTTTTCAATTGGCAACTAAATATAGTATCGCTGTACTAAGGTGTTTTGCAAAAGAACCTATTGTAAACCATCCCCTTCCACTACAAACCCTTTGCCATGTTTACGCTTTACAATTTAAAAGATTTCTATGACTAAGCGTCAATTCCTTCCTAGATGTCGAACTTTTTGAGGACATACATTGATTTTTTCCTATATCTTATTGGGTCATGTTGAAGATTTGGTTTCGTTCTATGATCGTATTGGAAATTATTAATCGTTCAGACGTTTACTCTAAATAACATGTAAATATAAAGTGTGAACTGTATACATTAATCATAAAATTTGATATGGACCAGACGCCAAAATTATGCTAAAAATAGAAAGGTAGCCTTGATAACTTTTGTTGTATCGTTTACAATTAAGGTCTCTTCCGTGACTAAGTTATCTACAAAGGAAATGTGTGCATTTACCATGGTATCAGAATAAACATTACCATTTGATAAGATATTTGTTACTAACACCGTCTTCAGTAAGTGAATATGATCCCATCCGTGCATTGCATAGATTTTACAGACACCTGTCTATAAACTACATAATATCCATGGAAATGTCTGTTCAGATTTTCCTCCTCCATCGATTGTGTCAACAATATTTCCCAGGAAGTTCGTAATGGGAAACAAACTTGTTTGGGAGGATTTTGTGTTTGTAAATACTATTGATTTTAGCCTGGAAAGTAGGAACCATTTCTCTTGTACGACTGTAATGCCACTTAAAAACAATAGCTATAACTCCTACACCATTAAACCGTTTTTGCTGTATCTTTCAGATAGACAACTCCATTTTTAATACTTTTTCAGTTAATGTTACTCTTATCATAGTTGGAAATATTATGTAAGCCATCCGGTTTGTCAGAATGTGACAAACATTTTATAGCAGTTTTTTGAACTCAACCAATTTGGTATAATGTAGATATCATATTATAAGGAGATTAAATAAAAATAAATTCAACAAAATATAGGACAAGTTCAAAACGGAAATATTTTTTAGAGAAATACACAAGACTATATAAAATGTTTATCAATTTCTGAAAAATCCATCAAAGAATCTTCGACAATTCGTTCTTCAAGGATCGTGAAAGGTTTTGTACAGATTGTTTAACAACTCTTCAAATATTCATTATATTAGTAAAGGTTTTTCACAAGATTTGAAAGTGTGTGCAAAATTTTGGACACTCTTAAGATATCTTTAGGGATTATTCTGTAAAGATTCTCGCAAACTCACTAAATATTGAGATACTTATCAAGTAGGTATCACGGTATTTATAGTTGTTTTCGAGGATCTTCGGAAAATTTTTATATCCATAATAGGCAGGCATCTTCCAGGGAATATTTGTCACAATTTCAGGAAAAGTATACTTCCCAGAATTATTATTGATTATTCATAGGAAATTCTTCAAGTGTAGATACTTAAGAAATTGTTTAGAACTTGCCTAGGTTTCTTAACCATTTTTCAGATTGGAGATTCGTAGCAAATTATTCATAGATCACTCAAAATATGAGATAATTTCTGAACGAGTTTTACAACAATTTATGAATCCAGAAAATATTTTGTAAAAAATATTTTTGTGCTAATCTTGAGAAATACCTGAATATGAAAACCCATTAAAAGTCTTGAAAAACCTAAACAAAATCTGTAACAATCTTTGGATGAACCCTGAATTCCTTCAAGAATGTTTGGTAAATGGCTAAAGTTTATATTAAGTAAATAAATGTGGCATTAAGAATATTGTCACCTTAAGAATAATGTTGTATATTTAACTGAAAAACAATAACAGTATAAAATTTTTATAGCCTGTTTCAAATGATCCATCCCGCAATATGCAATTTTCATTATTTATTTATTTATTTTATATTTTGACATGTGGAAATAATACATCGTTCAATAAGTTCCACAGATGAGTTACATCAACTCGTTTTTCGAAATAACCAAGCTTCAAATGACATGTGGGTCATCGCTGCAACTGAAGCTTATTTTGAGGACACTGGACAAGGAAAAATTGTTTTACATGCACGGTGTCAAAAAGTTAGAAAAGCTTTGGAATGAGTGTACCCTCTTGAATATGTTAATGAATAAAAATGAATTTTGGGAAACAAATGTTATTTTGTTAGTTAGTCTCTGGACTTATTTCACGATGCGTTACACTGGGTGCTGAATAGTGCGTCACAGCATTGGACCCTTCTAATTATTTTAGAGATAAGGCGTATTTAGGTTTTTGTACAGGAAACAATTACGAATCCACCTTTACCTGCACCTTAACTTTTAAATTTTATTCATTTTGAAGATGGAAAAAAAGAATTGATTAATGACAGATAATGTTTAAACAATAACACAATGTAGACACCTTTGATTTGTTTTCTGTATTTGATTAAAGCCTAAAGTTCAAAGGTTAATGTATTACAGTTTAATCAAATAAAAAGAAATAATGGAAAAGTTCTTTTAACCAGACTAATTTTACTCGAACCCTGATAGTCCTACGGCTCATTGGATTCGATTACTCGAAAAATCCGTATATGTAGCAAAAGTTGAAGATCAATTACAAGTACTTTCAAATTTTTTATCTTCTACCATATTTGAGTACACTAACGATTGCACAACATACAAAGTCGCTGTATATAAGACATGAACTTGCAACTCAAAAACAACTCCCAACTGAATGGATCAGTATGTGACTGCTCTCCAGTCTATATCCAAGGAAGTCTGCTGAACAAATAAAGATTATATTCGAGAAATCGAGACAGTGGTATTTCAGGATTACTTTCATCTGTAAATAAAATCCTGATTATCTATCTAATAATCACTATTATTCAACACGTTCTGGAACTACTTTTAAGTGCTACTTCTGGGTGGTTCTCGTCACCCGCGCACTGTCCTGAACATTATCCAAAAGTATGCCTAACACTAATAGAATTGTCAAAACCTCTGCAGCTGTTAGTGACGCAATAAAACTGAACAAGACGAAAATCTTACTAAATTCCTTGTGGTACCAAAGAAAGAAGGTTCCATCAAACCAGACTTTGATCGCTTGAAGCCTTTGTTGGAAATTTCTCCACTTTGTGACAAAGCATTTTTTCAGGCAGCACTCGAAATGGATCCCAAGATTCACTGAAAAGATTCGTCCTCTGATGAATAGTAAATCGTTTCCATTATCCAAAGAAGCCAGACTCAAGAAAGACATTGATAACTCCTTACTCGCAGGTGTGGATCCGAAATCTCCTCTTCTTGTCTATACAAATACTTCAGACGCATTGCTATCTCTGCAGCTCTAACGCAAAACGGGCGTTCTGTACCTTTCTTTACCAGAACCGTTACCAAAAGTGAAAGGAAGTGCCCTGCAATAAAAAAATAAGCTCCTGCTATTATTGAAAATATTCAAAAGTGGAGACATTCCTTATGCAATCGATCAGGTATTACCAATATGCAACATACAAGCCATGTCCTGTTAACTGGTTCTCTCAACAAAATAGCTGACAGTTTAACGAGGATTTGTGGGGCCACATACTAATAACCCCAAAATGTGAGGCTACTCTATGCAGACTGATGCAATCAGCTCTTAGGGTAAGCGAAGAATGATGTAGGGAATATTCCTTGTCTACCAACCCGATATAATCAGAGCTAGTTCTCTTCACAAAAAAGAAAGGTAAAGGGTCTTAGAACTCCACTGCTATTCCAAAAATACGTCAAATTTTGAGAGGCAGTGAAATATCTAGGAATCACACTTAATAAAATCGATTAAATTAATTACTGGAAGTTTCCGCAAAGAAGTTAATTTTCGAACACAAATGCGCACGTGTAGTGCCAAATACAACCAAATAAAGCGACGCTTACCTTAATGTAATAAGATCTTATCCAGAGAAGTGAGCTCTGTTCCTGGATCCATAAATCTGCAAACAAACAAAAACTCCCAAGCTGCAGAGGTCAGAACGCAAAGAACTATAGGGCCTCACCTTACTCGTAGTAAGCTCATAAGTACGATACTTAATCGGCTAACCGCTTCAAAAGGAGGTATGGGGTTGCGAGGAGCATACGCGAGTGTAATTCGATTATCACTTAACCTAGATTTCAAAATAATAAATAAATAGATACTAACGTTAACAAAAGTACTTAAAGGCTATCGCATATAACTCGGAAGGGGCAAACATAGTTATTGATTAATACGATAGAAGGTTACGGAAGTTGTTTTTTGGTGGAGGGTGGAGGATCGAATCTTGTTATCAAATCTGGTGAATGACCCCGTGACCCAATTTCAGTAAATTACGGCTCCTTAGCAGATGAACATTAGAATTGAAACTGGAAATTAAAACTTGAAACCAAAATTAGAACCCTGAAAGGAAAATCAAGGGTAAGGCTCTGCATTGATAATCAAAAATGTACAATGTACCTCTAATTATAGATGAACGTGCAACCATCGTCGATGGAAAATTGTATATGAAATATCCACCAACCCAAAGAAAAAAAATTGCTGTGGCTGGCACAGATACTACCCGCACACCTGCGAATGCGCAATTCTACCCTCTATTTTTCGGCGGAATTTCATCGATTTCCGAGTGAGGATATGCATTGCATTCTTTTCCCTTTACCGTTTCGGTTGAAATTTGTTGTTATTGCAATTTCCATCGACAATTGTTGCTTCATCTACGATCAACCCGCCTATTTAGTAATTAGTTGTTAATCGATTATTTTTGGTTGGGGGTTTGGGTTATTTTGGAATTTCAATTGCACATTTAGTATGAGTTTTAAGAATTTTAAGTGTTTAGGGAGTAGTCTGTAGTATATTTATTCATAGATTGCCAGAAAACCCTGTTTGGCCTATTCTCTTACGACTGCATTTCAAACGAAAAATTGCCTGCAGAAGGAAATAAGGAAATCTTCTATGTGCTCCTAAATAATGTGGTAGAAAACAAGTGTTTCTACTCATAAAAAATAGTCGATAGACCAATAATGAAAATCATTAATTAATAGCTATTAATTGCACAGTACAAAACAGAAAACTAGAAAATGTAACGTATAGGTACTAACGCATAAAATATACTGAGACTTGACCGTAAATATTCTCAATAAAAGTGGCAACCTTTTCTACTAAAATCTGGAAAAGGGATTGGTCGCTTCCTGCCTTCTTCTCGCCGTAATAATTTTCAGTTTGATTTTCAGTCCCGTTATACTCCACTGCCACTGTGAAAAGGTCGGGTTTGGTGGTGGAAGTGGTTGTAATTTCAATTTCAATGTCCTGTTTCATTTTGACGATTTTATTATTATTCTCATCTTCGACCAAATTTTCTGTAATATCATATGCGGCGAGGGCTCGTGCACGTCTCTTCATAGTTACTTGACCAGTTGGCAGCTCGTCTACGTTCTCTCTTGAAAAGGATGGCATTTTTTCAACGGATTTGGTTTTATCAACAGCAACTAGTTTGTTTGACACTTTCGGCGTATAATACACAAACGCATTGCGTTGACCAAAAGGCATTTTCTTGCTCCTTGACTCCATCAGGTTCTGCTTCTGCTTGTTACGTATCCAATTATTCATTTTTATACGATTTTCAACTTTCTCCTTTAAAGATTTTAGACGAGACGCCATATCTTGAATCGAATTTTCGCGTTTCTTTACAATGGTATGGTGAACTCTGGTGGGTCTTTCTGGAATATTTCGTTTATTTCTGGAATGCTTCATCCATCTACTTCCTTGATGATTCTAGAAGATCGACTGCTTAATTTTTACAAGTGCATGGTGCCCTACCTACTTACCCGTTTATGATTGTACTCCCCCATGAACTCCATTTTATCTTCTCGATTATCGCCCCCGAAGTCTTCGTGGATACTATATTCGCTTTTCTCATCATTATCCAATTCTATGTTTCCCGTACCCGTCAAAAATCTCAGCCGTTCATCAACGAATCGTTCTCCAGATCGCAATTCCTCCTCTTCGCTATGATATACTTCCCTTTCACCATAATGGGCTGGTGCAAAATCGGCCAGCATATATCCATCTCTCATTCCCCCTTTCTTCTGAGCCAAACGTGCATTGATATCACGCTTGGCGTGCTTTTTTCCGAGTATTTCATGCCACAGTCCTCTTGGTCCACCCTTATACCTTGGCGCACGTCTCATTTTCCTTTCTAATCCTTTATTGGAAATCGGCTCGTTACTTGCCATCCGCTCTAACAAAATTTGCCTTACTTCATCCTTAGTTAACTCTAAGAAGATCTCAGGTTCGGGTTCATCATTTTTTGCGACTCGAAACTTCGCCTCCTTCAGTTTTGGGGTTTTGTGTGCCAAAAAGTCCCTGAAATCGCTAGCTACTTCGGAATCTTCAACAGGTCCACGTTGCCAAGCGTTTTTCAACTTTAACTTCCTTAATTTTTGTTTGAAGGCATCTAAACGGGACGTCGTTTTGGGATCGATTGGATTATATCTTGACAGCAGGGAAAATTCACTAATGCTCTTCGTGTTATCACGTCCGCACACTGTTATACCGACATAAGGCAAAACGAAAAAGCTTACCGATCTTGGAGGAACAATCAAATTAAGATTGGGTTGTAACTTTAAAGTCTGTATCTCGGGAGTGAAAATTAACCTGCTGGTATTTAAGAGATTAGGAGTTAGTTTTTCGTTGTTGAGGTAGGTGCCGTTGTCTTCACTGGTGAGAATGTACGACTTTACCAGAATGGTCGTAGGATGGCTAGCAACTCGCAAAGACGCCGTGAAATTATGTTTTCCACTATTTACAATGAAAAGTACCAAATCTTCTTGTTCGTGTTGTTTTGCGCAGTGTGCCGAGACTTCTGCATCGGATTTCAGAGGCATATTGGTGCTTACGTCCAAAACTGTTGACCCTACCAGTTGCTTGTAAAGCAGTGCAATCCAAGACACTGCTGAATCCGACAGAGATGCCACCCCTGCTTTCCAAAACACAACTTTGTTACCATCAGCTGCAGTCTCACCAATCTTCTTGGCCCATTTAAGGGCGGATGAAAATGATTCTAGGTGTTCTGCTTGAGGCATTATTATCCACGTCGGACTGCTTGATTCCATATTTAGCCTACGTTTACCAATTAATAAAGAATTGATATGAATACACTCACGTTTCGGAGATTATTGCCTCTACTGTTCCGTTCAACTTTTGATTTGAATCGCTATTCATGCACGAATGGTCATTTCCACAAACTAATGAGGCAGAGGGATATTCTTCCATTATTTGCTTAAGCCATTTGAGCCGTTTCTGGTACTTTGATGGGTTGGTTTCACATTCTGTAATTATTTAAATATGTATACCTAGTCATTACCAAAAAATTATTACTGTATCTTATTTCCCAGTACGAGTTGAAACCAATTTCTTCATTCATTTCCAAAATAGGTCGTAAAGTGTTAAGCACCCAAGCGTCATCGAAATAATTCTCGCTGTTGATTGCAAAAATAGGTGTAAGGCCTGTACTTACAAACCATTTGCATATTTCCTTCCAGGTCATAGGTGTTTCCACAAGATTCGATTCCCAAGGAATAGTTTTATTTTGTGAAAATTGTGGATTATCTGTTATGCGTATGTATGCAGGCTTAAGATGCTGAAAGGTGACGTATGTTGCGCTGGAAATGGAATATGTGATTGAAAGGGTCAACTAGTTGAGAAACACTTACTCATTCTTAAGGTTTTTCAAAAAGTCGCTCGCTTCCACTGAAAAACTTAAAAACCGTTCACTAACTACGTTTAAAGGTTTCTTGCTATTGACCATAAATACCGCCTCTTTACCTTTGATAACGGAAAATTGTGCACAGACCAGGAAAATTAATAGTTTTTTGGGAAACATTATGAAACTGAACTGCATTAGTATGTCACATCACCACATTAATAGGCTGTGAATATCGAAACTCAAAGTAACAAAATTGTAAAGTATTTTGCTTTGGTTTGCAGTAATAAGTAGGTTAATGTAAATATTTGTAAAGAGCAATATTCATTAGGTATTTAGTAAACTACCTACGCAAGTTAGTTTTGTTATTATCAAACACAAAAATTGATGATTACTGAGATGGGTGCACATATAGGGATATAGTGGACTATTCAAATCCTAATATTTTTAAAATTTCAAAACTATTCATAAGATCTATATAAAGACAACTTTCCACAATAGTATAAACTTTTACCCCACGAGAGACTTTCATGGTTACGTGATGGTGTCATTTAGGGCTGATACAAATCGGAGACATCGTACTTTCGGAAACCTAGCGAAGTCGTTAGTTCATCCAATAAGCACACGTGTTCTCAGGGAGTAGTTTCCAAACGAATCATTTTAAATCCTTAGATTATTTAGAAAAATACTTACCTCTTGGTTAAAATTCTTTTTTTTATCGAGACCTATCTATGAATATCGAATTGGAGATCCTTTAATCATAATTGCAAGATTTTTCTTATGTCAAATGTCAGAGCTTTAACTATTTCGTACGCAAAAGTACCTAAGAACTATCCTGAAAACTGCATAGGAGTAACTGCGGCACAGTGAACAGTGAAACATGCTGCAATGGCTAAGGGTCCAATAGAGTCCTTAGTAATGTAAAAGGATTTAAGTTGATTTAAGGGTGCTTATGAAGCTTTTAAAGGTTTTAAATGTCTTGAAGAGCTTATCTCACTTTTCAAGATGGTGCAGCTCCAGAGCTTTTAAAAATATTACGGGATCGCTAAGATTCTTCAGGAACTTGACAAAGTTTCCAAGACCTCCATCAATTTTGAAAGCCATGAGTGTCAATTACTTCTTATAAACCTTCAAGACCCTTTTGGAGCTTTTTATAGCTCTACAGCTTCTAGAGGCTTTAATATCTATTAGGAAAAATCAGTTTACATGTACCTCGAATAGAAGGAAGACATAACTTCACGTTTCGACTTCCATTTGCGAAAACAAACTTAAAGCTAAGGTATCCGACTGCAGTGATGAGTGCTGCATATCAACATTGATTGTGATATCTTTAACTGTTCTTTAAAATCCTTAATTAATAACTATATTCATGATTTGTAACGTATTAGCATTGAATATCCATAGTAGTTGGATATTCAATGGTATTAGCTAGACCTATTTATACTTATTTTTTATTCATAATATCTTTATATATATCTACTTATGCACCTTGATACTTTTAAATTAATGAAGTTATATTAATTTGAAAAATGACAGCCATAAATAATATAAAAATAACTTTAAAAAAATAAATATAAATGTAAATGTGTATTATTATGGGATATTATTACTGTTGTGTGTGTAAATGTTAATCTCGATGTTAATTAATAGTGTATTTAAATGAATTGTCATTATTACATATATTGTTAAGTTGTCCTATTGGCTTTTGCGGTTGGTCAATATATTTATTATTATTACATTTATTATTCATATCATTTAAGGAGCTTTAAGGATATTCACAATACGCAGTCTTCAAGAATCTACCCAGTATCTCGATGACTTCTTAGAGGCTTTTAATCTTTAAAGGCTTTCAAAACTTTTCGAGCATTCAAAAGCGTAGGTATACAATCGGTCTACACAGAAACGTTTACTATTTATTGAGAAAACGTACGAATTGTATTGGATTCTACGCACCAAAATTAATAAGAAAAAGTGTTTTCCCGAGAAATTTTGGTGTAGTCGATTTTTGGTAAAAAAAGGAAGGTTATACACTGCCTTTTTTTGAGGCCCGAAAAAAAAAAATTGTCTCAGATCGACCCGGAAAAAAATTTTCTTATAGAATGTGGCCTGTAGAATCCATAATTTCAAACAGTTCCAAGATTGGGCTACTAGTTCAAAAGTTACAGCCCTTTCAATTTTCTTTCGAAATTGGTTTCTAGTCTATAACTTTTGATTGAGAAGTCTGATCGAAAAAGTACGAATTGCTTTGGATTCTACGCACCAAAATTAATAAAAAGTGTTTTCCCGAGAAATTCTGGTGTAGTCGATTTTTGGAAAACAAGGAAGGTTTATACACTGCCTTTTTTTGAGGCTCGAAAAAAAAATTATCTCAGATCGACCCGGAAAAAACATTTTCTTATAGAATGTGCCCTGTAGAATCCATAATTTCAAACAGTTCCAAGATTGGGCTACTAGTTCAAAAGTTACAGCCCTTTGAATTTTTTTTCGAAATTGGTTTTTAGTCTATAACTTTTGATTGAGAAGTCTGATCGAAAAAGTACGAATTGTTTTGGATTCTACGCACCAAAATTAATAAGAAAAAGTGTTTCCCGAGAAATTTTGGTGCAGTCGATTTTTGGTAAAAAAGGAAGGTTGTACACTGCCTTTTTTTGAGGCCTTCAAAAAAAATTGTCTCAGATCGACCGGAAAAAAATATTTTCTTATAGAATGTGGCCTGTAGAATCCATAATTTCAAACAGTTCCAAGATTGGGCTACTAGTTCAAAATTTACAGCCCTTTGAATTTTTTTTCGAAATTGGTTTCTAGTCTATAACTTTTGATTGAGAAGTCTGATCGAAAAAGTACGAATTGTTTTGAATTCTACGCACCAAAATTAATACGAAAAAGTGTTTTCCCGAGAAATTTTGGTGCAGTCGATTTTTGGTAAAAAAGGAAGGTTATACACTGCCTTTTTTGAGGCCCGAAAAAAAAATTGTCTCAGATCGACCCGGAAAAAAAATTTCTTATAGAATGTGGCCTGTAGAATCCATAATTTCAAACAGTTCCAAGATTGGACTACTAGTTCAAAAGTTACAGCCCTTTGAATTTTTTTTCGAAATTGGTTTCTGGTCTATAACCTTGGATTGGGAAGTCTGATCGAAAAAGTACGAATTGATTTGGATTCTACGCACCCAAATTAATAAGAAAAAGTGTTTTCCCGAGAAATTTTGGTGTAGTCAATTTTTGGTAAAAAAGGAAGGTTATACACTGCCTTTTTTTGAGCCCCGAAAAAAACATTGTCTCAGATCGACCCGGAAAAAAATTTTCGTATAGAATGTGCCCTGTAGAATCCATAATTTCAAACAGTTCCAAGATTGGGCTACTAGTTCAAAAGTTACAGCCCTTTGAATTTTTTTTCGAAATTGGTTTCTAGTCTATAAACTTTGATTGAGAAGTCTGATCGAAAAAGTACGAATTGATTTGGATTCTACGCACCCAAATTAATAAGAAAAAGTGTTTTCCCGAGAAATTTTGGTATAGTCGATTTTTGGTAAAAAAGGAAGGTTATACACTGCCTTTTTTTGAGGCCCGAAAAAAAAATTGTCTCAGATCGACCCGGAAAAAACATTTTCTTATAGAATGTGGCCTGTGGAATCCATAATTTCAAACAGTTCCAAGATTGGGCTACTAGTTCAAAAGTCAGCCCTTTGAATTTTCTTTCGAAATTGGTTTCTTGTCTATAACTTTTGATTGAGAAGTCTGATCGAAAAAGTACGAATTGTTTTGGATTCTAGGCCAATTCAAAAGCGCACCTATATGTAAACCTAAAAATGTTGTACTGGTCACTTCCTGTACCCAATTTATACCGATTAAAGGTTTTGTACATTGGATTGAAGAGGACGAAACCTGATAACATTCCTTTTCTTTTCGTTCTCGTTCATGTAAAAATGGAATAAGACGGGCCATAGCACGGATCCTTGAGGTACATCTGTATCAACACCTGCTTCTTGTGATGAATACGACTCACGGACTCCATTGTTGTAATTATTATATTATATTACCACTTTTTGTTTCCGGTTTTTGGGAAATGATACAAACCATAGATAATTATGTATAAGTAATGCATACACTAAAATGACAGAAAAAGTCATCAATTAAAAAGTTAGAGTAAGGTGTGAATCAAAATACTCGTATGTGTATCGTTAAGGGCTTGGTAACAACGTAGATATTAGGTAATGATTTGTCTGATTTGTCTTATCACGTGAGATAGTACAGGTAGTTTGAGACCTATCCAACATTCTGAATTATCGGAAATGGGTCCAAATTTGCGAAAATAATCGGCCTCGAGTCATTGACGCGATAATAGTTTAAAAATAGCTGTTTGAAAAATACCGTTTTTGGTATAATCGGTAATGAACAGTTTATGAAACAAATGAGTATGTATTCACTTCAAGTGTTGTAGACGATTTTACTGGAACGCGAACACGCACTGAAAAACAATTAGGGACGCAACTTATTAAGTATGCGTAAATTTGATTCCGATCAATCCACCCACATTTGCATTTACTCGTTTCGTTGCCAAGTAGTACGTACTTGAAGTAGATAAGTTGTAAGCACCTTACTATCACCGTTATACTTTGATTTGTATGCTGATGTCTAATTTAAGAAGTCATCTTGTAGCGTCTAATGTCTATGAAGAGAAAGGTGAATTTAACTTTCTTCTATCCGTAGCGCCGCCATCATCAGTACACACACCTTTACCTGTTCCTGATGATTACTGCTTTACTGTCCAAAACGCTTGTATGATTCCCTACAGTTCTAAGCGAGACGTGGTGAGTAGCTTATAAAGTAGGTAATTAAAAGAAGCTTTGGGGAACATGAAGAAGGACTTGGTAGGGATTTCTTGTGTGGATTGAGGAAAAATTGAAGCAGATGCAAAGTAAACGTAAAAGTAATTTGAGGATAACTTGAGAGAAACTTGGGCATTCATTATTCAAAGAAAATGTGTTGTCCCGTGTTTCGGGATTTTTGGTAAATCTAAGTGTGTACCGTAACCCAAATAATTAAATTATTTAATTTGACTTTTCCACAAAGTATGTAGGTACCTATAGAAAATATTTCTGATATTTTTGAGAAAATCAAGGCAAACGTGGTAATCTCTGTTCAAATTATGGGTTGCGATTTACGAATTAGTTTCTCGGGAAATGCTTGGTTTCCTGTCAGCACACACAGGCATATCTACCTACATTACAAAATAATAGACAAATGGTAATCATCTCCTATAAAGGTGATATATGAGTAATATCTAATTATGTGTAAATCGGGAACAAGAACAATACAGAATGTTTTAACTGCTTACGTTAGGGTTACGATTCTAATCAGTGTAAAAGTCCACTTGCAGTATGTATAAACTGCGGGTCGGACAAATTTGACAAACCAAAATTTATCTTTTCATCTTGTAAAAAATTTTTATGAGACCTCTTATGTGAGATTAATGGAACAACAAGTTCTCACCTCTGAAGCCATGAATGGGTCGAAACGTTCTTAGATAGAATCGCTCAGCCATCAACACCTGCTTCTATTATAAGTTTAGTCCCAAAGTTGGAAACTTTCAACCAGGCACTGAATGGTGCACTCACACACAACGCCCTAATCGTGCGAGAACACCTATTGTACAAATTTTCAGTAAAATAGAAAATATGTCCAATGAGTATTCTCGTCTCGTCTCGTTGTGCGCGGGTGGACCACCCTTGTGAAACCACCAGTTTCCCTTTTATTTTTTTGTGCCGTACATCGTTGTATTTGTATAAAAAAAAAATTGATGATGATTTCTCCAAAATGAAACGTTGCATTGAAAATTTCTCAACAGTGTTTTATAGATAGCTACATAAGTGGCACCGAAAAGGTGTTTTTTTATTTGTTATCTGTTCAAATAACATCAAGAAAAAATAAAAACGAAATCTGCAAATTTCGGTAGGTCTCTGGAAGTAATTGGGATTTTCCGGTTGTCTTTATATCATGATAAGTACTCCGTTTCTCTAATATGCGACCATCGTCGTATCTTCTATGGTTTCCGAGATCACCATGATAGACATCCTTATCTTGGACACGGTGTACACCTACTAATATAGAACCTAGAATAGAACAATATTAAATAGGTATATTTACGAAATTGTGATAATGATCTACTTGATTCTCGATAGAGCAACCTCGGCCTTCCGCAAGGTTCGGTTCTCAGACCCGTTCTTTTCAGTATTTACCTATTCCACAGACTTGCACAACAATGTATAAATAATCATATAAAATAAATACCTATATCGGCCGGTTGCAGAAAAGCGAATCCTACATTATTTGCCAAATCGAGTTTAAACAAGAATTTTGACATTTGATTGGCTGCATACTGCAGCATAAAGCCAATCAAATGTCTTAATACCGGATGAAACAATGATCTTGGATTATTTGTTTTTGTGCAACTGGCCGTTAACCTCGTATTTATTATAAAATTGTACAATATGCCGATGACGTCTGCATATAAGTATACACTGAACAAGGAAAATATGATAAGTTACTATAAGTAATGAGTACCTCTTACACTATGGTACCATAACATCGTGATAGGGGGCTGATGTTACAAGTGCTTTGCTTTTTTATAGAGAATAAGTATTTGAGATCAATTTTGGACTATGGGCCCATACCGTACAGGTACAGGTCAGCTAATAATAATATATGAAAGAAATTGACGTTTTCCAAAACTCTGCTTGTCACTAAGCCAAAAAAGGGAACAAAAATCGTATCGAAAGTGGTACTTTTTTCACGATTTCTCTATGCGTTTCCATAGTGTAAGAACACTATGGTCCTGTCTATGAGCAATAGCACAATTCGCGAATGTCAATGATATTATTTAACTATGGGTTGTTAAGGATCACTATGCAAAAAAATTTCGTGTACAATACGTGTTGAAAGTGCCATTTCTTCATGAATTTGCTTAAAGGTAAATTAACTCGGACATCGTCCTCCATTAATCAAACTGCAATTCATGAAAAAAGTATCAATTTCAAAACTGAGTGCTTACGCCCGTTTGCACCGAAAAATTTAAGCGGAGCTTACCTTAAGCGTAGCTTAAAATCCATGGCAATCATTGGGCCTTATGAATAAAAGTAAGCAAATGCTTATACTTGCAAAATTCAAAGTAAATACTCGTAACTGCCCCTTCATACTGGTCTGTTCAGCATGGTTTAGCAGCGCTGTACTGCCTCCTTTCCTTCTGCTTAGAAGCGCTGCTAAGTCGCCCAGTGCGAAGGAGCACTTACGAGTATTTACTTTGAATTTTGCAAGTATAAGCATTTGCTTACTTTTATTCATACGGCCCATTGTCTCAATAATCGTTGCCATGGATTTTAAGCTCCACTTAAATGTGTCGGTGCAAACGGCCATTAGTTGTACAAATAATGAAATAACTATTGTAGAACAATCTTCTATTCTTCTGTTCGATGAAAAATACAGTTAGGGCACGTTTTCTCTTCTGTTTACCCTTGCCACCATTTTCCCCTGCCAACCACGCACAGCCATGCGTAAATCCACCCCTTGTCCATTATCGAATAATGCGCTTAAATGTGTCAAACATTTGTACGCTATTGTCCTGGGTGCCCTTTGACCTATTTGTAGATGTAGATGTAAGAAAGAAAAAGTTATTCGCAAAATCTATCGCTTAATGTCAAATGGAAATTACCCGCCAGCGCCAATAATAATTGTCACGTTGCCATGTGGTAACTCTCTGTTGTTATTGGTCTCAAGTCTGGCAACGTAGCTGTCAACAGTATCAGCTGCAAACGTAAACAAACAGAATATTTTGTTAAAGTTATTTATTCCTAAACAAGCTGAAATGTCAATGTATAAAATGCAAGCTATGAAAAATTGTCAAATTTAAACCGCAATTGACCTTTGGTACTCGGGAAGAATTAATCATAATGACGCACTATACTCCTTGTCACCATTATCATGAGATAAACAATCACAGAAACACGATTAAAAGATGATCATCGGCATTTATTAATTAGATTTAAGATGGATACAAAGTTTTGTGGTGTGTGTGGTGATAAAGCTTTAGGTTATAATTTCAATGCAGTCACTTGTGAAAGTTGCAAGGCATTCTTTCGAAGGAATGCCTTAACAAAGAAAGAGTTCAAATGTCCATTCAGTGAACAGTGCGAGATAACGACTGTTACTAGACGCTTCTGTCAGAAATGTAGATTGGAGAAATGCTTCTCCATCGGCATGCGGAAGGACTATATTATGTCCGAAGAGGATAAAGTGCTGAAACGACAAAAGATTGAAGAGAATCGTGCGAAGAAACGTAAAACGGATGGATTTAAGAGCGGATTCAAAAAAATTAAACGAGAATTTGCAGATTGTCGGGTGGATCTAAATGGGGACTTCTATGACAAACATGTAAACGGCGTAAATTCGAATGAAGTCAGCGTAATTAGCTATAGTAACAGTGATTACATGAATGGTAGTAATAGTAATTCGTCTAGTAACTCGTACACTAGCGATCACTTGCAATCACCCGAACATATTACACCACCGTCAATGATAAGAACAATTTTAAATCCTACGCCTAACGAAAATGCGACTGAAGAAGATGACGAGGGACCATTTTTAGAATCTTTGATTAACAACAACGTGCAGAATTGTAACCATAACACTACCGTGCCGGTTCTGAATCACAACGCAGATGCAGCTAAGGATATAATTCAAGATGTGCAAAGGTATAGATCCACTCAAATCGTTTTCATTATACTAACATCGCATGCTTTAGAATACCGATCGAAGCCAATTCGATCGAGTCCATACTTTGCGAGGCTATTAAGCTGGAGTTTGAGGCCTATACGTCCATATCGCAATGCCAAAGCAATTCCCGCGAGTTAAATGATGCAGAGAGAGCGAAATTAAATGAACTTATAGTGGCGAATAAGGCATTGCTAACACCGTTAGACGACGACTTTAACAACAGTATAGATGATAGCCAGTTGCAGGTTAGTATTATGGCAATAAATCTTTGTGGTGTCCATAAGGTTCCTGTTTTAAAAATAGATAAAATGATAGGGGTCTCAAATAGGAACCTTGTGGAACCCCACAGAATACCAGTATTATTTAATCATAAATTATTATTTTTCTAATGCTGTTTATGGCTATGAACAATGAGCATTTCATATTAAACAATACTGAACAATAACACGAATTTTCTGTGTGTTTTGTATGAGCTGTCAACAGAAGGAAGAAAGTATCGCCAACACCTTAGACCTTAGTTTCATATTTTCTTCAATATTTGCATAAATTGTATGTATTGTGTTGGTTAAAAATATTAGTAGATCCTGTATGTAAGTTGTATCTTATGCTGCCACATTTATGGAACATCCTGTACATACAAAAAATTGTGAAAATTGTAAGGTAAAAATATCACTTTATTTTGGAAACGTACCAATGAAGTAACTACTATTGTCTCTTTGGATAATAACTGCAATTGTTTGATATAAAAAGTTGACTCCTGTGCCCTCCGAACTCCAAAGAAGATCCCTTAATATCAGCTGCAATTGTAAGTAACGCGAGGGGACTTACAATATCGCGTTGAAGTACTTCCTTGGTGATTCAATCTTTATTAGATAGACTTTATTTGTTTTTTTTTCTTATATGTGTCTATTTTCATGAGTTTTATGAATTACTACTATATGGTACATTTATAATATATATATCATATAAATAAAAAAAAAATAATATTATTAGAACATATTATAAATATTAGAAGGATAAAGAATGGGACAATAATAACAAAACTTGATTTTTCATTTTCACTTCACCTTGGCATTCGAGGTGCTTTTATTATTGTTGCCTAATTTTTATATTCGTTTCAGTCAAATCCAGAACAAGCCTTGCATGCCGATCCAGCCCTTGTGGATGTCATAAACTTAACAGCGGTAGCGATTCGCAGGCTAATAAAAATGGCGAAGAAAATTAACGCATTCAAAAATATGTGCCAAGAGGATCAAGTTGCCCTTCTCAAAGGCGGCTGTACAGAGATGATGATTTTGCGCAGCGCAATGGATTACGACCCGACACGGCGTACATGGCGTGTAAGTTTTCACGCCTTTTACTCTCCACAGTACTTAATGGCTCATCATTCCAGATCCCTCACAGTCAAGAATCTCTTAGCAATTTAAAGGTGGACGTTTTAAAACTGGCCAAAGGCAACATATACCAGGAGCACGAAAGGTTCATAAAAACCTTCGACCCGCAATGGCGATCGGACGAAAATGTCATTTTAATCCTATGCGCGATTACGCTGTTCACCCCAGACAGGCCGAGAGTTATTCATCAGGATGTCATTAAATTGGAACAGAACTCCTACTACTATCTCCTACGAAGATATCTGGAAAGTGTCTACCCAGGCTGCACTGCTAAATCCACATTTCTGAAGTTAATCCAGAAAATATCCGAATTACATAAATTAAATGACGAAGTGATTAATGTCTACTTAAATGTGAATCCCTCTGAAGTGGAACCGCTTCTTATTGAAATTTTTGACTTAAAAAATCAGGCTTCCTAACGAATTTAAGCTGGACCTTTTGTAATTCATGAACAGAACTCCTCATAAAGCATGATGTTTAATATATTATTAAATTTATCATGATATCTATTAATTGTAGCTATAGATTTTAATAATGTTAAAATACACTAACCTGCAATGTACATGTTATACAAATGTTTATATTTTATTTATGTGTTGATAATAAATTTGTTTAATATACAGCACTTTCTTATTAAAGCAGAATATTTAATTCATTTAGTGTATTAATTATTTACATATGAGTGTGGTAAATCGAGGTTTGCTCAACCAGAGACATGTTTAGGAATTTCGAAATGAGTAATGTAAACTGATCTAACACACATAATTACCCCATTATACATTTCCTTACCTTCCCGTTACATTTCGACCAGTAAACATTTTTCTAGGTAGGTACATGAAATGTATTATATTGTATTTGCTATAGATACGGGCAATAGTATTCTCAAGGAATAGGAGATAAAAGGAGGGTAATGACCCAAGATATCTAGATTGTCTGATAACTCTAAACCAATGGAATGCTTGAATTTTTAAGACGGGAGTACGACGTCATCCAGACGACACATTTAAAATTGTTCACAGATTACAATGCTAATAAAAAGGGGTCACAAACAAATAATATAGGGGTCAAAGGGTGGTCCTTGCAATTGAAATTTCCACCTTTGAAATCACTCAATGTATTGAAAAAATGCGTGTGGTGCGTAAACAAACGAGGACTTCACTGTGGTGTGAATGACATATTTATTCAAAATGTAATCAAATTGATTTTAGAAGTGGACATGATTTAAAACTCTAGACACTCTTCAGAGAGCGACGCTAAAGAAAATGCTGTCGGGTATTATTATCTTATATATTTACAATATGTACAAAATGGTAGCCAAAGTGCACCAGCGAGCGCTGTCGTTGGAGTTAGCGCGGATGCAGGTCTTCTGGCTGGTGGAGCTTGGCATGAGGTTGAGTTGGTAAGGCGAACTGTTTTGGATGATAATTCCAGTAAACGGATCTGCAGTTCATCTTCATAATCATCAGATAAAAGTCAGTGCTTGTTACATATTCGCTTATTTTTATTTTTTTCCATTCCTGAACAATGTTAGGGTGTTTAAAAAGCGTAAAAAACGAGATTTTGCTTAAACCTGGAGCAGGATTGAGGGAGTTGCCTTATTACATACCGCCACTCATCTAAAAAATACTTAATTATAACATACAAATTACATATAATTGGGGATAAGTCACTGCTATGAAAACACACACACACAATTCACAAACTATAAATGTCTTTGTATTATTGCACCAAACAAGACATATCTATAGTTAATATGCTCTTACGCACTTCGAAATTCAACAAATTTTAACCGCAACTAAAAACAACGGTGAACGAACATTTCTGTTGTTCCGATCCCGATCCCATCTGAGTCTAGGAAAAAAACCCCGGAATAAAAACCCACGGAAAGAAAACCCCCCGGAAAAAAAACCCTGGAATGAAAACCCCCTTTTTTAAATCTCCACAATAGGTAGGTAATATATCTTAGGGCGATTGTACAAGGCAAGTATATACCTATAGTATAAGTTATTCCAAGTACAAAATCTGAAAATTGGATTGAATTTTTAGATTTGATACTTGAAATAGCTTATACCTGGTATATACTTGCATTGTGGAACCGGCCCTTCGTAAAATTTCTAAAAGTGCGAACTGTGCACTCCTGTGCTGAATTAGCTTGCAAAAAGCGTTGTTCATTGACTTATACCAGATTTCACAAAGAGTGTTAGCAGTGGCGTAACTTCATTTTAGAGGCCCGTCTTCAAAAACATTTGGGGCCCTTTCCTTATATCAATAATTTTTAAACGATGTTTATCTGTATATGTAGAAAATAGTGTCTTGATTTATTGCTGATTTTGCATTTTGGAATTCATTGGTTCACAGGTTCATTATAAAATTTAGCGTCACTGCATTCGTCAGAATCTAGTTGATTTTCTCGAACTTTAATTGTCATGTAATATTTGTGCCATAACAAAATGTAATAATGTATACTTAAATTTTATTTGTAACTCTTGTGACTTCAGCTATTTGTAACTAGGGGTAGGTAACCCCTGAATTTGTTTGTTATTCAATTGTTTCACTTTAAATGTTATCCTTATTTTGATTTGTTTAATATTACTCATTGATATTGGCCAGTTCCTTCGATGTTTAAACTCGTTTAGTTTGATTAGCGACTTCAATTCTTTGTGTATGAATCTGCCTTTTTTTAAATGTCTATTACTCCGTGCAGAGGTAAATGCTGGAGTCTTAAAATTACTTAGCGGCATTCATCTCGAAATACAACTTCAGTCTAAGGTTACCGTATCCAAGACCTCCAGATACCTTCTGGATTGGAGAAGGTCTCGCTAATTAACAAAGTAGGTATTTCAGGTACTTTATGTAAGAGACTTCGGAATGATATTTAACAAATGGGCAAGGAGATTATCACTATAGTCTCGCGACGCTCGACTGTTTCAACCCCGAAATGCTGTTTCATTATATCATTGAATAACGAATGAAAACAAGATTTTTTCAGTTTATGTAATTGTATTAATTTCCGTTTTTTATTTGAGCCTATAAAAATCGATTGATTGGAAAACCTATAGTTGTTCCAGCTTAATTTTATTTTTATATCAAGTGTAGTATATAGTACCATAGAAGAAATACAATCTATGGTAGTACCTTTTATAGGTGGAAACTCTAAAATTGCTTTTTAAAGTTTGTCTCATGCCACCTTTCAAATTAGGTTCTTTGGTCTAGTAACTTTACGCCATAATAGAATATGCTTACTTTTTATCGGGTCCATTACCTGCCTCGGCTCCCAGATATTTCCTTGTCTTCTGGAGGCAATGGACGATCTCCAGAAAACCATAAGGTTCCAACACCTATACGAGCCATACAACGCGGACACTATACTATTTTACCCAAAAAGTATCACACTTTAAGTTTTTTACGTTAAATAAATGAAATTGTACCTATTTCACTGGTATAGGTACACATAACTTGAGTACAAAAGGCGTAGAATATAACTATACCTAACATTCCACGTTTAATTTTGTATGACCTTACAATCGGCTTTCTCTTATCATCTTCTACGTACCTATTGTTTATGACTCAACCGTATTTTATATTAATATTAGTTCATCCTTAAATATTATGGTTTAAATGAATGATAGATTTGTCCACCGTTTGTTTTAAAATAAAATCGGCGTAAAGTAGCATTACATTTACAAAAGTTAATGTTTCATTTCTTGCCTTGATCTAATAGTTCTTGTATGTATATCCTCCTTGGTGTTTTGCCAGCAAGAACTTTATTCTGTGTCTTGTTCCTTGGTTTAACATGTGGAGATGATTCTTTTGCCTAAATAAGAAGTCAAAATGGCCTGGCGCAATCCTGGAATACAGCACCTTTTTAATGACATGTAGTCCTCCTCTCTGTTATTATTTTACACTTACAGGATAGAGAAAAAAATACAATGGCAATTTAAAAACATACGATAGGCTGTATCTCACAACCAAATTAACGTTTTTATTTAACAACCAATAGTAATTAGGGACATTTCTAATTGATAATAAGGTATTACTATAGCCCTTGGAGATTTTTTTGAACATTTTATCACAAGTAGGGTATGTTTGTTTATTGTTACGCATTTAATTATTGATACATATACTTACCATGTACAATTAATGTTAAGTTTATACTATTGCATTGCATTTTTTTAATTATATACCTATATTATTATTTTTATTAATAAGGTATGAAGAACAAAATTTTGTTTCAGAGAGGGGAGGTGTGCGGCAGTTGCCATAACGTGTCGGTCGTCCGCTAAGATTGCGGTTCACTAAGATTGTACTTGCGGAAGAAGCGCGGTGTAAGAGGCGGAGTCGAGGAATCCCCGCTTTATAGTACGGACCAAACACAACGAGATGCGATGGCACGCTTTGATAAGCATCAATGCATCTCCTAACTCTATTACTCTGAGGCGCAGACAGATTTTCCTTCCTAAAAATTCTGTGGTCGCCAACTCTTAATTACATGCCAAATCCTTTAGTTAGGTATATAGTTCTGTTGTACCGAGAAGACTTTTGAATTGTAAATTACTTGACCTGATTTGTCTCAAACGCCAGTTTTGCTCTTGCTCATCTTATACCTACGCCGTGTTGTTAATACCTTTCTTTGTCTTTGTATGATTGTAGATTTTATGGCAACAGCGCCCTTCTGAGCTCAGTAAGCCTGTGGCTACAGGTCTAATTTAAGATATTGTATTTTCATTGATACTATGCGAGGCAATCGATACGGCCATATTGTGCAAATAACTAGTAGTATGTAGGTAGTAACTAATAGAAAACGGTCAAACTTTCATTAAACTAGTTCAAGCATTTTCCTCAATGTTGAAAGGCAAAAATTAGTATCTTCTTCATTTGCCATCCATTATATTGATAAAACAAGAAAAATGGAAGTGTTTATTCAAGAATCTCATTATTATAGATAAAAATTTGACACAAACAATTTGACAGAAAATATCACATAAAATTTGTGCATTATGGTACATACATAAAATAAAATACAAACAGAAATAGTAAACAATCAATAAATAAAATTCCTAATGCTCGTGCTGCTGAATCAAATACTCTAAAGATTTCGGAACTTGATTCCTGTAACATATCTTGTATTTATTAATAACGGTCGCGCACAAACATTTCAGCGTAATATAATTTAATACGTAAACATCATTTAGCGGATTCAAAGCCAATAATTCAGTCGGTCGCTTTCCCGAGGAATTTGGTTGATCGATATGTGCACCATAGTCTAATAACAATTTAATTAACTGAAAAGAGAATTAGAGTGAACAGTTTGGCACTTGGCAAGTTTTACCCATGAATTAAAATTATATGACGAGGACGCGATATGTAAAGGGGTAGAATTTGATCCGTTTCGTGCGTTGACATCAAAACCACAATCTAGAAGCAGTTCAATTACGTCGCGTTGAGGAAAAATTGGCTGTAAGTATGATATTAAAAAGGGTAAGGGCACCTCGCAAGACTTACAATCGATTCCTCGTCCATGAAGTAATTAGAACGTAATGTGTTTAATTTAGAGACGCACAAGTGTAAAAGAGAATCTTCAGTGGTGATCGTTTTGGGATTAATTCGCCTAATATTCACAACTAGGCGCTGTATAAAAACTTTCTTTTCGTAAGTGTTACCGATTTGTATCATTAAATAAATAAGATGTGTGATACATCTTAAAATTCGATCAAACCCTTCCACTTGCCGCTTGTGAGAGGGTTGAACAATGGCCAACTCTCGCGCCTCTTCGAGATCTTCAACCAGCAGTTCATAGACCGCTATTACATCCTCAAACCTTTGTTCGTCATTACATTCGGCTAACTCGTTATTTTTACATCTTTCATTAAAGTCGACCATCAATTTCACTAACGCTTGTGCGGTAAAGCACGTATCAGAATATAAAATTGTATCCTTTTCTATTCGAATCTCCAAAGCCCTACGCCACAAGTCGATGCAACGTTGAAATCGCAACACGTCAACATACGAAGCGCCACGAAACATCAAACGAAACACTGTATCTTTGTGATATGGTCCAAGAATTCTCTCCGTTACAAGTAAACTTTGTATTCGAATTGAATCTAAATCAGTCATTGCATTATCCAACTCTTCGGAGGATGCAAATTCTTTTTGATAACGAAATGATGCTCTTGGGTGCATAATTGGTGTTTTAGGCAGTAGATCTAAACATTGAAATTATAGTGTAAAGGCTAGAGTATAGTAGGGTTGCCACATTGACCGCATTGAACCAAAATTTGATCGGCGATATTTCGGTCTGAAGACCAACATAATGACCGGACATGCTGTAGGTATATAAAAAATATTTAAATTTACTAAGTAAATCTAGGGGTTTATTTACGAAATAAGCAGAGTTGATTAGTTTCATTTGAATTTGTATCTCAGTGTTGTTAGTACAATAACGGGGGTTCCAGAACTGACGTTTCCAGGAAAAGATTCCCGAGTTTTTTTCTCAACGGTTTCATATGTATTTTGAACCGCTGAATCCGAATTTTCACTTTGCTAACACGTCAGAGGTTAGCTAACTGCGGCAGCCGCAAATAACCGCAAATTATTTGCGGCATTTTTACATTTTCGCCTATAACGAAAAAACGGTACCTACGTTATAAAAGAAAAACTATTCTATACAAAATTGTAGTCCACAAAGTTTTATACATTTAACATGTAACAACCAAATCTGTAGGACCAACCAGACCACCGCCAGCGGCCGTGCCAAAACGCCTACTTTTCGTGCAACTTTTAGAAAATGCAAAAATACTGCTCCGACATATCGATTTAATATAATTTTTCATTTCTTATCAAGTGGTGATATTGGTTTTTCATTTACATGGACTTTTTTGACTTTGAAAAGTCACATGCGCTGACCACAAAAGCCGCAAATGCGGCAAAAGTGAAAAAAAACAACAAACACGTGAGTAGTTGAATTTCACTAAAATTCAACGTACAATCAGAATATCCGATTGAAAATAATCTCATTGGCACCGTTGCCGCAGTTTGGCATTGGGGGCGGAGGTGGGGGTTGAACTGGCTTTATCCTTTATGGTACTCTAATGAAAGGTTTCAACCAAAGGAATTAATTTCTACCAACGATAGTCCTCTTCCTCGACCTCTTATCGTGCTCGGATGTGAATAATTCTTATATCTCAACAACATATTCAATTAGTTTATTTATGTTTTTTTATTGACAGGGGGGGCTCAGGATGACCTTTCGCACCCCGGCGTAGAATATGCCTAAGAGGGTCCTGAGTGAGTAATTTAATTTCGCATAGAATTAGTTGAAAATGTCACACATGAATAAAAAACGTATAAATTGTACACAACTCTTGTGAAGCTAAAGTGCATTTTTTTAAAGTGAAATAGCTTAGTAAATGGTTGGGTTACTTTCTTGGTAGATGATTAATGGGGAGGATGCTCTTTACACCTAAACATTTAAAGACCGCCTGGTATACATTCGAAATCCTCCGACACTCCATTCTGCAAATATTTGCACTGAAAGCTTTGACCTCACCAATAGATATGAGCCCTCCTGACGTTACACGTACCTTGTATGAGTACCCTCTTTCGACACTTCGGTGTCAAGGTATTTGCTTCGACTTCACCAATAGGTATGTCTCGCCCAGTTGATTCATACTTTCCTCCGACAGACCGTTTTCGAGATATTCGCTCTTAAAGTTTTGACATCACCAATAGATGTTTCTTCCAGACGCCTCCCAATCGCCCTTTTTTAATTCTTAATAAAATGCACAACAAATTAACGATTAATTCTTAATTAATTTGATCATTAAATGACTTCTCCTCGGACTTCTCCTTCTCCTGAGATGGTGTTTTTGAAAGTAAAACGTGCGTGTTTTCGAGATCAAAGGTGACGGGGCGTTATCTTTCTTGGAGGTCTCAACGAAAGGAACCGTTTTCCACCCACTACCGTCCTCCTACCATCCACAGACCGCGAACCAGCTTCATCCACAGACCCACAGCCGGGTCCTTATGAAGACCCTCAGACTAGCCCGTCCCGAGTCAAAAGAAGAAAGACGGTGTAGTAAAGTGATGAAAAAGGAGTGTTATTTGGTAAAACGAGGAAAGAGTCGAAGGAAAGATGGGGGAAATAAAAGAGTGGAAATTATTTTAGATGTAGACTTTTTTCAATTTTACTATCATTTCTTAAACAATAAAAAAAGCTTTTGAGCATTTCATTTTATATTTGTGTCTATCAATTCATTTCGTCAACCATTATATACAGGGTGTTTTTTTGGGAGCTTTAGTTAAACGTTTCTGGGAAAGTCAAATAGGTAGGTTTTTGAAAATTTGAACTTAGGAGTTACTCTGAAGGCCGAATCGATGTAAAATATTTCCAAATGGCCGTACTTCCGGAAACACCGGAAGTAGATAGTAACTTCGTTATTTTAAATGGCAACCCCTATTTTTTATTGCATTTTTGGATTCTACGTGAAATTTCAATCCTTTTGATACCCATATGTCGATATCTGCCATTTATGGTTTTTAAGTTATTTTGACTTTAAGAAAAAAAATGGCGGATGCAGACGGTACCTTGATAATTGATTACTTGAAAACGGTTGTAGTCATGGCAACCCATTTTTATCAGTGCATAGAGAATGAATAGGGCTTTCTTTTAGTGTACTTTAAAAAAAGTTGCGTACAACCGCACCTATGGAGATCCAATTTAAGAAACTTTAAAGTCTATAAACTCAGTTTTTTTAAAATGGAATGACCCTGTTCTTATTATTGCATGAGATAGAGAATCGAAATTGGCATATTTTGATATTACATGTTCCTATAGCTATCTTTAACAGTTTCTGATTTATTCCCCTTTCATTGAATTGATCTAGGAATTGATGCGATTTTTTTCGCATTTTCTTTTTAGTAGTTGGCCATGATTTTATAACAATCGAATTTTAAACAAATAAAGGAATGGATTCGTTAATATCATTGATTCTAGTCTAAATAATTCATTAATAAATAAGTTTGTTGTAAGGATATAGGACGGAAAATTTTTGAAAAATCTAGACAGAGTCGTTCAACTGAATTTCTTAAACAACGTATAAGTCTGGAAATTAAGAGAGGTAATGCCATATCTATTCTAGCAACAATTCCATACCAAAAATGTTTCAACGAAGTTTTTTATATTTTGCATTGAATTTATTTTGTTAATCTTGCATTTGCAATTCAATTCATTCTCTTAAATATTCTCTTGTAGAGCTTTGTATCACTTGTGCTTCAACGGTTTGTAGTGCATTTGGGGGTACAACATTTCCAAAATTGATACAATTTCGTTCCAGTGTTCGAATGAATGTACGGCAAGCAAGTGCCGCGATTCTGTCCATTTCACCATAAATAACAATTAAATTCCAAAATAGGTGAAACCACTCCGAGTCATTTTTCGATTTTTGAAAAACCTATGTTCACCTATAACAGTAGGTGACGGATTAGTGTCACTAGATTTGTTTAAAATTCGATTGTTATAAAATCATGGCCGACTACTAAAAAGAAAATCCGAAAAAAATAGGTCAATTCAATAAAATGGGAATAAGTCAGAAACTGTTAAAGATAGCTATAGGAACATGTAATATCAAAATATGCCAATTTCGATTCTCTATCTCATGCAATAGTAAGAACATGGTCATTCCATTTAAAAACTGAGTTTTTAGACTTTAAAGTTTCTTAAATTTGGATCTCCATAGGTGCGGTTGTACGCAACTTAACTTTTTTGTAAGTACACTAAAAGAAAGCCCTATTCATTCTCTATGCACTGATAAAAATGGTTTGTTGTTTTTTCTCACTTTTATGATTTTGACTCATTTGCGGCTTTTGCGGTTAGCACATGTGCCTTTTCAAAGTCAAAAAGTCCGTGTAAATGAAAAACCAATACCACGACTTGAAAAGAAATGAAAAATTATATTAAATAGACATGTCGGAGCACTATTTTTGCATTTTCCAAAAGTTGCACGAAAAGTAACCGTTTTGGCGCGGCCGCTGGCGGCGGTCTGGTTGGTCCTACAGATTTGGTTGTTACATGTTAAATGTATAAAATTTTGTGGACTACAATTTTGTATAGAATAGTTTTTCTTTTAAAACGTACAGTTTTTGAGTTATAGAGGAAAATGTAAAAATGCCACAAATCGGGGTCTCTTATCGGGGTCATAATTTGAGTTCGATTAAACACTAAACCAACCATCTACAGATGAAACAAATTTATTCAACATCAGTCAATCAAATAAGCTGAAAGAAATATAGGCACTCAGGGTCAGATAACACACCACGCCACAAGCGATTACTTAAATTTAAATAAAGTTCTAATAACCGCTATGCGCTTATCAACAAATAGATGGACTAACACATACCGTAAAATACACTTCTTTCACTTCAACGAACAATGCCGTCCATGTGGCAACCATAGAGTAGATATAGCCTTTTTTAACCATTTACTGTTAGTAACCACATTTGTAACTTTCCAATATTCGTAACTGTACATTTTGTATGGCTAAATGTATGAATTGTGTACGTACTTGTGACAATTCTTCAGCGGCTCATTAAATGGCGCAATTGTTAAAGTAAGACATGCATAATGCAAATATTTTGTTTGTAAAAGTGTGAACGTTTTATTATTATTATAAATCGTCTTTATTATCGTTTTGTCTCGTTCAGGTGATTGGCGATTTATTTGAAAATTCATAAAGAAGATTATTTCATGAGTTTCAAAGTGAAAGATCACCACTGCTATTTGTTATGTTTCATATATACACCATAATAAAGCATAAGTACGAGCATAATTATTATAAACAAATATCTTTTGGCATTCCACTTTTGTTAATTATCTTTTTCTCCAACCACCTGAATAAGACGCTATTTTGTGACAGTGTTCGGTACGTAAAATTGACGTTTTGCGGATTAATGGCTTTCACCATGGCAACTGTACAAAAAGTGGATACTTTTGGTCCTAGTACCAAAAAGAAATTGACCTTGAAAGTTGGCCAATTAAAAAATTACAATCACGGAGATATGTCACATTGACATCGTTTTACATTGCAGGTTGTAAGATATTTCTATACATACAAATCAAATATTTTTGCATATTCAATGCAAATAATGATGTTACCTATACGTATGTACGTGTATTGAAAATGATTTACGCTCGCTATTTTTATTTAAACCATGTGTAACGTAATTTACATATTCGATGAACGTAATTTTAATACGTATACATCCCGCCGTCGCGCGTAACGCCATCTACTTCAGACCCATTGCACTATTATCTGTCATTTTGAATTCAAAATTTGAAAAAGTTAATTGCAATTAATTTTAATTCAAAAACTGTTTGGTAAATTTTTTATTTCAATACAAAATATAACAATATTAATTGTGTATACAATAGAAATGACTGAAACTGATAGCGCCATGGATTGCACTCCGCCAGAGATTTTAGAAACGGCAGAACATGCTACCTCAAGATTTGCTCCCTACAAAGTCGCGAGATGTGAGAAGTAAGAACGAATAGGTTATAAGTTAACCTAAAAACTAGAGTGGCATGACACGTGAGGACAAGAAAGCAGAAGTTCTTATACTATAGTAGTGAAACTGTGACTGAATCTAAATTCGAATATAATTTGAAGTAAAGGGGGTTGGAGAAAAAATTTTATGTTTTATTCGTACAAAAAATACGTTTTCGGGACTCGGAAGGTTGCTGGACTCCGTTAACGCGTCGTCCAGCAACTATCTTCCTCATCCCGAAAACTGACATTTTTTGTACTAATGAAACAAATAACTATTAAATGACAAGAAATAAAAATTTGGCACACATGTGTAACTTAATCTGCTCTTTAAGGAGAATAAAAAATTAAAAAAATAGCGATGACGTCATACCGCAAATTTGAGACACCCTGTATAAAACTTTATTCAGAAAGAGCACAGTTTAAAATACTCATCCACATTTTAAAAAAACCTTTGAAGTACTAAATTTATTCCAAGTTAGAGACTCACCCTGTATACCTACCTACAGTATGCAGGTATATCAAGCATATCAGCAAGTGTAAATTGAATTATTAGATGTAAAGTTACGATTAATTAGCATGTGTAGATTTCTAATCAAAAACAGTAAACGCTTAAAAAAAATCCCCCAAGCCATTTGTACATACTTGATTCACTTTCGCGCAGATATATTGCCGTCCTCCAATGGTGCAAAGCACCAACAATGTCATTGTGTTCATGAATAAAAGTCGATCCTAATAACTCGTAAGCATTTACTAGCACCTCAGTTGCATAGTCTATAGTGTTAATGAGATAGTCGAATATTCGTATAGCGCCCTTTAGGCAGGCGGTTCTCAAAGCGTCATCACCAAATCTGGACTTGGCGAAGTAATCAGCTCCGTGCTTTATCAATAATTGAGTTGTTTCCAATCTAAGAGAAAACTGTTAACTACAAATAACTTGTATACTACACACCTACGCCTCCTGCATTACCTATGTTCCTGAATTGCATAGTGTAAAGCAGTTTTACTCTGAATATCTCTCGCATTGACGTTTGCGCCATGATTCAGTAAAAAATTGCACAGCACTACGCTTTGAACAGAATTTATTAGGCAAGTGCCGCCATTGTAATTGGCACGATTGATGTCAGCACCATGTTCGACTAAGTAATGCACAATTTCTAAATGTGTCATAAAACACGCAGATCTAACAGGAGTGGAGCCCGTGTCCGAAACTGAATTAATATCGGCTCCATAATGAACTAGCCGCTGCACAACTGACAGCTTCCCCGAAACCGCTGCACACCATAAGGGCGTAGCGTAGTGAACAGATCTACGATAATATTTAAAAGGTAAGGTCAAAAAGTACACAAAGTTCACCTTTCATCTGGAACTTCATACAACCCCTTTTGTTCAAGATTCGCCTGGCAGACCGTAATTAAATACTCCACCACATCCGTTTGGCCCCTTTTGCATGCAATAAATAGAGGTGCACATCCGCCTTTAACCCGATTTACAATTTCTGCCCTAATTTCCAAGGGAAACTTTTCTAAACGTGTGCGAAGGTTATATGATAATTTTGCACCGGGCGACCCATGTCTGCACTCCTCGATTAATTCGTTAAAGCAGTCTTCTTTCAGGTTTATATCAATTTTATTTGACGTTTTCCACATATTCCGGCCTATAACCACTAAAGAAATAAAAATAAAATGACATAAACATTTAGTCGGACATTTTAAAATATGTAAGGGGTGCCAAATGTGTGCGATGAAACCACCCTATGGAACTTTTTATGTACAGGGCGATTGGCAAAAACAACTCCATGTTTAAATTAAGGCGCGTTATTTAACAGCCTTTGTAAAACAGTTTTAACTAAAGTGAGCTGTTAAGATGTGGCTGGAAGCACTGGCATTGTGAAGATTTGGGCAATTATAGACCTATTACAATTATACTAAAGTTTGTAATCTCGTTTTTTCTAAAATACGCCCCTTGAGCGTCGACACACTTTTGCCAGCTTTTTTCCACAACTCGAAGGCTTCCAGGGAAGCGGATTCTGAAAGGTCCTTAAAGGTACGCGTGCCTCTTTTACGGTACTTAGGGTTCCATGGTGATCTCATTTGAGGAAAGATTTCACATTTAGAAAATCTAGATTGTAGGGCCGTTGGGATGCCGTTTTGTGTCAAATAAACGGCCAATTATGGGGCAGGTGTGGCTGGATTCATTGATGCGTTACCAATTTCCCGCGATGTCCAAATTTCAACGATTTGGACAGTTTATGTATGTACATACTGTACGTCCTATAGACGTTTTATTGCACTGGATTAACAAGTAAAACAGCTACTTTGAAAAGAATATCTATTCAAAAACTGTGTAACAAAAAATGCACACCTTTTCCTTATGCTCTTTTGAGCCGTTCAGATTGCTTTTTCGAAACTGTCTTGGGGAATGTGTTTGAAATGCATCCCATCTTCTAAAACGAAAAATGGTATTAATGAGATCTAATTTACAATAGATACTTACATATGTATGCACCGACCCGGGTTATTGACACACAAATAATTTCTTTTATATTGGGCCAAAACATTACCTGTAATTATTATAAATAGGGCATTTTATAAACTTACGCTAAAGAATACCTATTAAGTACATACTTATAGGTATATTCTCTTCTATTATATATACTTAGATCACATATATATGTATAATATACCACAATCTTAAAGAAAAAGGAAAAGTCAACCGCAGCCAATCAACGGAACGTTAATCACGTAAGTTAGCCATATTCAAAAAATAAAATGCTAATGTTGTCCCACTGCGCAGCCGCGTATATAGATGTATTAGAATTTGCTTGGAACATACGTCCACTAGACGCAAATAGTAATTATTCTATGGACCACCTGTTAAATATTCCATAAGAATCATCGGACGTCCACTGTACGTATAAACTTTTGCTACATGGACGTCGTAACTTAAAGTGGATCAAATATGGACGTCCACTGGAAGAATTGTTGTTATTGTTTTCTGGATGTATTCAAAAACCCAATTTCGTCACCCGTGATTACGTTTTCGAGAAGGCTGGGATGTTCTTCAACGCGTTGCAGAACGTCTTCGCAAAAGCATATACTCGCCCCTACTTTTGGTCGTCCGTCACGACCTTGGGGATATCGCACATATCATCAGTTCTGGATGTTGACGCCCGTCCAGGGCAGGGAACGTCCTCCACACCTTCTCCGCCATCTTTGAAGAACCTGTGACACATAAAAACTGCAGTTTTAAACACCTGGCGAAACATACACCCAATGTTTCTGTACCTGATATTATTATTTTCCTTGTCCAACACTGGTTTACCGCTGTTCAATCGCCCAATGCATTTTCAGCTTGCACAGAGTCACTTGATAGAGGTTCACTAAAAACCTGATCGAGCATTAACAAATGCTTGCGGATGATTGACGGTTGGCGCGTTTTGAATGTCAGACCCCCCCCACCCCCTTTCTTTCGAGGAAATTCCCCTTAGACCATATAGTACATGGACTGCTAATTGTAAGTAAAATATGGTCAAGGACATTGCCTGGGTATGTCCGTTTCAGGGTAAACGAGTCTGTCCGATGTGACACCATTTGAGGCTGTCACCCTATAAATTAACAAACGTCAATTAATTAAATGCCCAGATATGGCAAAAAAAGCAAACCTATTCTTATTTGTGGACGTATAGACGATAACCAAGAGTATTTAGCTTCCCGTACTACGCGGTTACCATAAAAGCTACTCTTTATGCGATCCGAGTGGTGTTCATACGACTTTAGTTTACCCTGAGATTCACATACCCACGACTACAGTGCCCTCTATCGGTGACCACCCATTTTGTATTGAAAGCATAGGGCTAATAGCAGTCCATGTACTATATGGTCTAAGAAATTCCCCTAAAAATGAAACAAAAACATGCCAAAAACTTGTATTCATAAATTTAGTTGTTATAGTAAAATATAACACGCTTGTACAATTATGGCAGTAACAGCTCTGTTAGTTAATTCTGAGAAATTATCTTAGAAATACATTAACTAATTAATACGAAATCAATTTTATTACAATTTACATCTATATAGTTGCCCACAATTTCATACAGTACACAATCACATCAGTATTGCAGTTTAATAAATTTATCTTATTGTACAAATAATTTACTAATCTCAGTAGCGTTTGTATAACATAAAACAATAGAGCGGTTTGAAAATGAAACGACGACAACTGATGTCAAAAATCTATACAGATGCAAAATGCTACAATGGGAGGTAGTTTGGGCAATTCACCCTGTACACAAGTATAGATACAAACAAGCTAAGCTTAAAAATTCCGTGTTCGATGCACTTACAAAATGGGTTTATACCACACAATTTCACCACCCAAACAACCACTCACTAACTGATAATGTCTAGGGTTAAATTTGCAACTAACAACAACGTCAGGATGATAATTATTCATTTCGGCAATAGTATATAATTCTCTAGGTTGATTAGGTACACAGTAACACAGCTCTTGCATTTGATCGTTAAATCCCAACAGTCGAATGCCGGTATCGTATGGAGAACAAATAATCCGCCCGTCGCTCGAAAAGCACAACTCCTTAATGTACCCTTTGCCGACACTTTTCTCTTTAATAAAATGCGTCAAACGAGGCAAATTGAGTATGATGCGATTGCGATCCTCGGGCCTATTGCGAAAATGTCGTTTGAATATGTCCTGACCGATAATGCCGCTATTGATGACGCCCATCGTCGAATGAAAATTCTCTGGGATGTTTAATAACGGCGAATTTCTGTACGCGTTTAGATCGTCGTTGGTGAGGAAGCCCATCCAGATGTCGGTGGGCCGCCTGTTAACATTCTCGGATAACTCCTCCTCGTCTTCTTCGATTGCCGGCTCGTGGATATATCGGTAGGCTTCCTCGTAATCACGCGGATTGCGTGTTTGAATGTCGTGCACCGAAGTCCACTGGAAGTATACAATGAATTTGCAACACTGTCATCCCAAATAAAAAAAAGAATGAGTAAATGCACGAATGGATAATTTCGAAGATAATTTACATTTCCTGTTGTTATAAGCTCTCATGAAACTCTTATAGAGAGATATAGCTCACGTTACATCATTCTCATTTCTGAAACTTACCCTAATATACTTTTGGCTGGCATCTTTTATAATGACCAAAAGATTTTCATTTCGTAAAGTAGTAGACAAAGACATTTTCTTGGGGAGGTAGGATCTCTGACTTATGAGTTTTGGATAGCGCCACAATAGGCAGTACGCGAAATGGTAGAGTGCGACATCGACGAAAAAAAGTTTAAAAAAAAATTATAATACAATTGAGCCCAAGTGTGAATCTAAACAATCCGGAGACACACAGAGACACATAAAAAATTTAACAAAATCCGTCTAGCCGAATAACCAACACGTTTTGTAAACCGTATACATTTAAACTCATTTCACTATAATAGTTCTTCCTTAGATTTGTTTGGCAGTTTGCACTCTCAAAATAAATGACAGCTGTCGCCATCTCTGAGTACATTTTCTAATTAAAATATTATTTTGGAAGTAATTTAACTTATGTTTTTCATATTAAACCATACGATTGTAGACTGGCATCAGGTGTACTGTAACGACCATTCTCTCCTGGCCAGATTGCTAAACAATATTTATGCTACTTATATAAAAAAATCAGTGTTGTGATTTTTTCCACAGAAATAACAAATACAAACAAAACCATAGTAGTAGGTCTGATATGCATACTATCTTATTTCTTATGGACGCCATATTGGGTTTATACAAAATTAAATAAAGAACATATAAAGAAAAATAATGACGTACACTAGGACGTACATATATTTATACATAAATTTAGAAGGAAGATTTCAAAATTTAATCTAGCTACCCGTGAATAAATGTAAAACATTTGATTTTTTAAATTCTCTTGTAAATAACCATATTTATATTGTTGTATCAATGAAACTAATCGAGATATAGACTAATATAACCATATAAATACTGTTAAAACACCATTTTATTAAATCTTCATAATTGAGTATCACAGTATTATCCATAAACGGATGAGATGCGGTTTTCGTATGATTTCTACCAGCTGTAAAGAACACCTGGTACATGGAGAAGCTCAAACGGGCGCTTTTTTATCAGACACTGTAGCTTCCGGACATATATATTTCTTTCCTAGGAGTTGGAAATGGAAGATAAAAAAGTAAGTGCTTTAATTTGCAATTTCCTTTAGCCGCCGATAATGAAAACAAGATGCCGTATTCCGTTCCGTTGGGTCGTGTTTGGTATCGTCGGAAGCGCGCTTAATTAACATGAATTAAGAAACTGTTCTCAGATTTTTATAACAGGGGACCGAGTAATTAATTAAGGAAATTTTAATGGTTTAACGTTATTATACTATTTTACAAACAAAATAAATTCATTAAAATATGAGTAGGCAACACAACCTACATACTATCAGTTTTTCCTGAAGAAAGAAAACTGTATGTAAATTGTATCAACCCTCTATGGCAGATTCACCCTCAAAGACGACTTAAAAATCCATTCAAGCACATACAAACGAGATGTGATTCATGTTTAGGATGACAGAATAGGAATGCTCACCTCCTCGCTCTCGTCAGAGGTAATACTCCGTGACAAAGCGCACCATCCCATTGGATGTATTTGCAAAGAGCTAATAACCTCGGCCTCATTTGGAAAATCGTCGATGAATTCTAGTCGATTTGATTTGCGATCTTGTTTGAAAAGGTGATTGTATATAGTCGCAGATGGAAATGTTTGGTCACTTAACTGCATTAACCTATACAGATGGGGCTAAAATCAAACCGTAACTAAGAAGTTTTGCAAAACAAACACTAGGTACTACCCTAAACGACTTTAGATCATTGCTTAGTGTGGCTAAATTTAAATCGTGAATAATTATAATATATCCGCTAGTTGTACAAATAATCATCTTTGTACCATCAGGCGTCAGCTTAGTCCTCATAAGTCCATTCATTACGAAAACATTATTATAAATTGTACTACTCTCAGAGCAATTCTTTAAATCCCACGCGTAAACATTACCGTCAAACGCTGACGTTATCATAATCTGATCCTTTTCCAAGTATTCAATATTCTTGACCTGAAAAGAACAATGTAACGTGATTCGTACAATCAAAAACTCACCCAGTTAGCATGTCCACGATAGGTTCTCAGTTCTGTTTTTAACTTTCGCGTATCCCATAGTTTTACAGTGTTGTCATCGGAGCACGTGGCGAACGTGTGATCGTCCAGAAACCTACAATTGTAAGAGTAACTGGCAATTTCTACAGGCTTACATACCGGACACAATTCACACAACTGCAATGGGCCTCGCTAACTTTTTTGATTTGCCTCTGATCCGACGCATCAAAGAGTAATACGGATCGTTCTTCGCAAGCGGCCACCAACAGCTTTCTGCAGACAATCTGTTAGTGTACAAAACATGATGTGTCAAACGCTTACCCGTCCAAGCTAAATTCCAAGTTAAAAATTGCTCCCTGATCAGCGGTAAATCGTTGCATGGGTATATTGGATAGGTACGCGTCCATGTTGCTATACACTTTGCGGTAGATATCGTCACTATAGCCTAAGGTAGGCTTTAGACCGAGTTCTCTATTCCTTAACATTTTATAATTGATTATGCTAGGTGAAAAATATTTATAACTTATTCGTGACATTTTTGAAAACGAGGCAATAGTTGAATTGTATTTATTTATAAGGCTGGTTCATTTCGTTTCCATTATCTAATTTGTTGAAGCACTTTGTAGTTTAATTTTGTTATTAGTGGGTTAATAAAATAAACAATGTGTGATAAGCATAAAAAATTCATATGGTGTGTATATGTACTGAATACAAACATACAAAACTTATATTCGGCAATAGTTATACTTTGCGAATATTGTTCATACAACATACAGGGGCGGATTTAAAGTTGCACGTTGGATTGGAAATCAAGTTATGATAATATTGATAATAATAATAAAAATAAGTAATTGAAGCAGTTCAAAGAATCGGATGCGAACAGATGAAAATTCAATAACTTTAGATGCTTTCATAAATAATACCTTAAAATTTAGCGCCATTTGAGCTACATCAGGAATAGGTCATTCTTATTCAAACTCTTCTGCAGTCAGGGGGTGGTCCGAAAACGTGGTATTCCCCCTGCTTAAAGTATGTTGTAACTTAAATTTAATCAGGTTATTCATTTATTATACTCACATATACACAATTTATGACAGCGAAAACTAGTCCTTACTTCGGAGTTAAAATGAAATGGGAACTGACTGTAACTCAGTTCGATTTGCTCATATAGCAAACGCCTCCTCTTTCTCGAAAGATCTCGAACGCTTCCGAACGCATGCGACTATTCTAGAATGTTCTCGAAAAACATGTCATATTTCTCGGAAAGATTATGTCTTCGTTCGTTCTTTATCGCCAATGCGATGTCGGAGGTGGTATACCAGGACACCGGGGTGGAAATATTGGTCTGTTGCTTTAACCCCAGAGGAACCGCTCAAGCCATTCGTAAGACGGTGGATTGTTTTTTCCTCAAGAATGGAAGGGACACGAGGGGGTGGTCGTTCAAGTACCGTCACCGAATTCATGTTACAGAACACGAATTGCCTGGGACTTGGGGCTGTGTCTTCGTAACCCTTCTTTTGTACCAGATAATAAAGAAATCGCCCTTGCTCCTGTAGGAAACACGCATTACCAACCTTGATCTCTCTGTAGCGCCCAAACCGAAACTTGAATTCCACGACAATACCTCGGGATCTTGACATCCTTGGCTACGCAGTGAGCCAAACTCTCCACTGGTGTTTCAAACAAATCTTTGGATTACTCACGGACAACACCAAAGTCGAGCCCAGGGACGGACGGAGCAGTTTCTTAAAGGGGGGGGATATTAAAAATTTTCCAACATTCGAAATGCAAAATGCCAACAGATAATCGTACGCTAAAGAAACGCTACAATATTGATACTGCTTTTAAATTACGTTTATAGTATTAAATTTACCATCTGTCGAAAGTTGCCATCTTCCGTCACCCCTCATTTCCTCTAAACGCCAACCTCTGTTTTCTCGAAGGTTTTGTGATATCTAAAAAAACATTAATTTACGTCTTCAAAGTGTTTTCCCGAGAAATTTTGGTGCAGTCCATTTTTGGAAAAAAAGGAAGGTTATACACTGCCTTTTTTTGCCCCGAAAAAAATTGTCCCAGATCGTCCCGGAAAAAAATGTTTCTTATAGAACGTGGCCTGTAGAATCCATAATTTCAAACAGTTCCAAGATTGGGCTACTAGTTCAAAAGTTACAGCCCTTTGAATTTTCTTTCGAAATTGGTTTTATAATTTTTGATTGAGAAGTATGATCGAAAAAGTACGAATTGTTTTGGATTCTACGCACCAAAATTAATAAGAAAAAGTGTTTTCCCGAGAAATTTTGGTGCAGTCGATTTTTGGAAAAAAGGAAGGTTATACACTGCCTTTTTTTTTGCCCCGAAAAAAAACCTTTTTTTTTGCCCCGAAAAAAAAATTGTCACAGATCGACCCGGAAAAAAATTTTTCTTATAGAACGTGGCATGTAGAATCCATAATTTCAAACAGTTCCAAGATTAGGCTACTAGTTCAAAAGTTGCAGCCCTTTGAATTTTTTTTCGAAATTGGTTTCTAGTCTATAACTTTTGATTGAGAAGTCTGATCGAAAAAGTACGAATTGTTTTGGATTCTACGCACCAAAATAATAAGAAAAAGTGTTTTCCCGAGAAATTTTGGTGCAGTCGATTTTTGGAAAAAAGGAAGGTTATACACTGCCTTTCTTTCACCCCGAAAAAAAATTTGTCTCAGATCGACCCGGAAAAAAATTTTTCTTATAGAACGTGGCCTGTAGAATCCATAATTTCAAACAGTTCCAGTTAAATATTTCATTTTCCTCTTCTACCATAGCATTCCGTTTTTCTTCATTAACTAGCTCCTAGCGAGTTCATGACTTTGGACTTTTTGTCCGTCTGTCCGTCGGTCCGTCTGTGGACATAATAACTTCCAAACGGTTTCGAATTTTCCAATTCTGTTTTCAGTATTTTGTTTATCAACATCCAAGGAGCAACTGATTAAATGTTCAGTGACCCAGGAGCTCGTTTGCTATGTTTGTAACAAGTTTATTAACGAGCGAAAAAAAGCGAGTTTATGATTTTGGACTTTCTGTCCGTCCGTCCATCCGTTCGTCTGTTTTTAGCAATAGGTAGACAATATTGATTAAATTTTGATCAATATTCGTCAACCGGAAGTGACTTTGTCTATATTGGTACAGTTTATTTTTAGTACAGTGCTGTATCCATCAACACTAGAAGAGAAACATAAAGATAGGCATAGGTACCTACTTCATTAGATTTTGTATTTATTTTCCGTCTTTTATTGGCACTTGCAGCGGCTAAAGGGGTCCTTTGGAGCACCTACAGTTTTAATCCTGACATATTGTCCATCGTGGACTTTTCGTTCATGCAATTGCTTGTAATCATGATTTAAAATGCCCCCACACAATGTACACTTCATGACTTCACCTTGTATCGCTTTCCAACAGGTGGGTTCATTTTCTGACAAATAAAAAATGAGCCGTGATTTCCAAATAATGATACGATACTATAAAACGTAATGAATTTTCAAAAACCAATTTCAGTATTTTCAAAAACCCCGAGATAGCAAATTTTGTCGAAATCAGAATTTTTTCGCCCTTTGGTGGTAGGAATTTTGAATAAAATTTTGCAAAATTGGAAAGGGCATAGTCCAAAACACGTGCCACGAGTCTTTTTAACTCTTACCCTTACGGTTACTGTGAAACAAATTAAAGAAAAAATGCAAATTTCACCACTTTCTTGAGAGTGGATCTCAAACGAAACGCGTTTGTTTGTAAAAACTGCTTTTTTTTATCCCCTTTACCATCCAATTTTTTTTACATAGCTATATGTAACACCCTGTACAACAGCAGTTTATTTCAAAAGTGTTTCTCGGATTGAAAAAAGCATATAAATTCGTATGCCGAGGAGGCACATAGGATTTTGAAGGTGCTATAAGAGGACTACTATGCGAACGTATGCCTTGTTGACAATGCCTTGTTTCAGTTTTACAGTAGAAACATCATCACGTTATTTTAGTAGAGGTAATTTTTTGCATTTGGCTTTGACGTTCAGGGAGCACAAACGAATTTAAATGAAGACCATTACATGAACATATGTCTGTCATTGTTATAAGACAAATAAGTATTTAGTTTAATTCTGTAGAAGAAAAAAAAATCGATCACAATTTCAAGAAAATTTCTGCCGGAACAAAGATAACTGCTATAGAACCAAGAGCCATTTCTAGTAACAAAAAATAATTTGTAAGCTCAAATCCTAGCATGTGGAACTTATAAAATTTGAAACTCATTTGGATAAATATGGTGCTAAGGTATTGTAAAACGGTGTTTCAACATTTTTGTAGAACAGAAAACGTTTTTTGAATGCACTTAGGTGGTAATATGATTGAGGTATTGTCCTTTACTTTTCTTATTCTAGTAACACAAATTTTTACCACATTGCTTATTTGCTTCTTTCCAAACTTAACTTGGTAACAGTATCATCAACGATTTCCTTTGATTCTCTGTAAAAGTCTCTATTATTCATCTTCAAATGTGCCTCAAAATCAAAACCGCCTTTGTCTTTCAGTGAAATATCTGCACCATTACGTATCAATATCGACAGTATGTCATCGGAACAGTCTAGAACAACAGCTCTCAGTAACGGGGTCCAACCTTTGTTATCAACCGCATTGATATTAAACTTGTGCTGCAAGCATAATTCAACATAATCAGCGATATTAGAATCTACAGCGTAATGGAGCCCCGTTAAGAGGTTACAGTCGACTGAAGACACGCTGGCACCTTTGCTCAGTAAAAGTTTACATATGCCCATATTTGGGAGAAAAAGTGCAACCATTAATGGTGTTCTTTTTGTGATTAGAGTTGGATTGTTAACGTTAGCTCCGATGTTTAGCAAGAAAGTGACTAATTGCAAATCGTCCTGCTCTATAGCTTGAATTAGTGGAGTTTTGTCTTCTTTATTAACAGTTTCTAGTAATATCGGCCTGGAAAGAATTCGCCAGTTTTATGAAACATTAAAGTAAGTGGTCACCTATTGGTAATAATTTTACGAATAACAGACGTTTTGGAAAACTTAATCGCTCTAGTTACGTGCATAACAAAGTACTGAAGCGTTTCTGTTGCACTTCTAAAGTGTAACCAGTCCGATTCCAATTCTCTACCAAACCATTTTATACGGAAGTTGTAACACGTACAAGGTGCCAAGTTCTTGACCTGACAATGCGTTTTACTACCCCTAAAATATGCGAAAAATGGACATCGTTTATTTATTTTAATGTTTAACGTTACCAATACACGCAGATCCAACGTCCAACTTCATTTTGAATTTGTAGGCTGTAGGTGACTGTGTCTTTGAAGGTATTGAACGTGTTTTCCCACGACAAGGAAATGTTGTTTAACGTGTTTGATAGTGTGATCGGCTTGTCTTGGGTTGTCGCCATTTTATTGATCAAACAAGAGAATGGAAAGTTAGATAGTTATATGCGCTCAATATCGTAAACGGATTGAGTGAAATTCTTCCCCCAAATGGTCGCCTCAGTTAAATGCGCTCCAGGAATTTTCATCTCAGAAATTCGCGCCCCTAAGAAAACTAAAAAAAAACTTCCCGGAAAATTCATTCAAGGGAATTCGACTTAGGACAAAACTAACAGCAGATACACTCGAAACAAGAAGGCGCCTGTAAGAACCCAAGAACGAACGGCTTGAGGTGTGTGGTGGCGGATGCTTAGGGCAAGCGTTGTGTATTCAGAGCAATTTTTAAATTTGTATTATAAACAGTCTACAGGCCGATCGGTTAATAAACAGCAAAGGTGTAAAATTATGGTACCTATAGGTATGAAAAAATTTATTTTTTACTATAACTTTTTTTAGTAATAAACGCAGAACACATTTCTTGCTTGGTCGCCATAACGAACCAAATAGCGAAAAAAGTAGAACAATAGCTCATCTAGTAGCGACCGGGCGGACGGACGGACAGACGGGCGGACAGACAAAGTGGTCACAATAGGGAATTTTCTTATTTTTATGGATATGCGCTAAAAATGTTGAAAGTCAAATGTCATTTAATTAAAACCAGTGGCAGAACAATATAATGGGCAACTAAAAATAATTGCAATTAATTAATTAAAGAACAAGAACACCTTTTCTAAGCTCGCATTTTGAAGTTCTTCTGTAAGCGATTTCGAAAAATGTTACTCTTTAATGTGTCATCATGAACTTGATGAATTTTGTGGAGGCTAATTTTCTCGTCGAGGGAGGAAAACTTAGGCATGCCGTATGTTCATGTCATTCAATAAATCATTTACGTAAATGAAAGTCAACTTAAAGATTAGGGAGCTACGTCAATTCGTCCGTGGGATTTAGAATTAAGTTTGTGCGAGAGTGGAAGTGATTTCCCTTAATTTATAGTAAGAAGTATCAACAGTTGATAGTGAATACACCCTTTCATTAAGTGACTGTTTCTTTCGAGTTTTAGACACTGTAGACTAATGTTGCTGTTTAAGAACTAAGTAACTACTGTAGGTACTGTACTTTGCTGATGAAATAAATAATAAAATTTGAGAGTAGGGTAAACGTTACAGATCCTATGAAGTGAGCGCTACAGGAGTATTATTCAAAATCTGCTAAAAGACTTTCAATATATACGAAGCAACATAAACAATTGAAATCAATATCCCTAAGGGCAAACTAGTTTCTGGAGAGCAAACCTTCCAGGACCCCAATGCCTGTGAATAATTCGGGGGCAAGAGCTTACTATGTCATGTGAATAGGGACATGGAGATTCTACAAAGATTAAAACAAGAACAAGTTTTCCTTTAAATTTTCCATAGGGGCGTTATTATTGGTGGCAAATATTCTCGTGGTAATTTTCAAGGAGGAAAATATTCCGGGTGACACAGTTTCCGGGAGTGCGAGAATCTTCTGGAGGCGAATTAATCTAGATCCAGAGCTGGGCAGTATTCAATTTTGTAAATACTTTTTAGTATTCAAATCCTTTAAAGTATTCAAATACTTTGTAATTAAATACTTTTATGGAAGCAGCATTTGTAGGTATTTGTAACTCAAATACTTTCACAAATATTTAGTAGGTATTCGAATACTTCGCAAAGTATTAAGAAACTTCGTAAAGTATTCGAAGGTATTTGAATACTTTGAGATGAAGTATTCGGGAAAACATTTTCTTATTAATTTTGGCGCGTATAATCCAAAACGATTCGTACTTTTTCGATTAGACCTCTCAATAAAAAGTTATTGACAAAAAACCAATTTCAAAAGAAAATTCAAAGGGCTGTAACTTTTGAACTAGTAGCCCACTCTTGGAACTGTTTGAAATTATGGATTCTACGGGCCAAATTCTATAAGAAAATGTTTTTTCCGGGTCGATCTCAGACAATTTTTTTTTTCGAGCCTCAAAGAAAGGCACCAGGAGTGAAACTTTTTGACTCGGTAGTCTGCCTAACTTAAAAACAATAGGGACCTTTCTTATATCCTTAAGACCATGTGTACCAATTTTCAAAGCGATCGCACGTTTCTAAACAAACTATCATGCACACTGACAAACGGATGGTCAAAAATGGATATGTTCCAAAAGCGCTAGGATTAATTTCAGAAAGGCGTACGTATCATGTGCACGACGTACGATTGCTTTGAAAAGTGGTACGCGTATTCTTAAGGATATAACTGGTATAAGAAAGGTCCTGGTAGTGTTACCTCCTATATAATAATATAATAATAATAATACGCTTTTACTCCCCTTAAATTTGTATTTTCAATAGAAATATAAAAAAAGCTAACCCCATACAAAGTATAACTTGATTTTTTAAGTAGTATTAAGCCTTTTATCTAGTATACTATTATAAATTTTTAATGTATTTGAGTGACAAATATTCGAATACTTTTCAAAGTAAGATAATGAAATACTTTTCAAAGTATTCGAATACTTTCGAATACCTTTGATAGTATTAGAATACTTTTGAAAGTATTCGAATACATTCTAAAGTATTTGAATACTTATTTTTTTAAGTATTGAATACTTTTCAATGTATCTGTATCTAGTATTCGCTTGTGCTGGACGTAAAAGTATTTAGTATTCAAATACCTTTGATTTGTGTAAAGTATTTACTATTTAGTATTCAAATACTTTTTGAAAGTATTCTGCCCAGCTCTGTCTAGATCCTTGCAGGTGTGTTTTTTTGAGGCGAATTTTCTTCCGGGGCATGCGCTTATTCGGTTGGTAATATTCCGGGGGTGGGGTAAGTAGATGAAATTAATTATATGAATGGTTTAAATAGGACAATACTAAGTTGGAAATATTTCGCCCTTTGGTTACAGGGACTGTTTCCTTCCGGTTTCAAACATTCTAATTGGTTTGAATAGGTGTGGACTGAATCAAAATTTCAGAAAATTACATCTTATGAGAAGGCCATTTTGCATATTTTCCAAAAATCCTGAAAATACCAGGTGACATTTCTCACAACCAACCGTTCTGTTTAATTTACCGCTAAGATTACCTACCGTTAACGATCCAAGAAGGAAATTTTAATGACAACCATTAATGAATGAAATTCGAATTAGTAATCACTTAATCACACTAATCCTCGTGTACATTCGATTACAAGAGGTGGAGTTACACCGATATTTGAACTTAACCGGTTTACAGCTCACCTACAATTTACAGTTCACCTTGCGCGGTGTCTTTAGAAAGTTTAGTGGCACGGGAAATGTGTAATTCGAAGGAAAAAAAGTTTTTAGAATTGTAGTGCACATATGGGATATAGTTACGCGGAATAATGAACGTACGATGACGCTAATTTTTTTATTTTTTCTTTATAGCTTTGGAAATTTGTTAGGTGAGTACGTTTCATGTACGGACACTCGTAGTTCAAAGAACTTTCTTTAATTTTCCTTATTGTTTTATTAATACCTTTTGCAATGGCCTGATTGTCAGATCATGCGGTCTGACCTAACGTTGAAATCACCGGAATTTTTACTGTAGGTACTGTAAATGAAATAGGGAATGCGGTTTATATAAATATTCATACACATTACTCCTGAATTTTGAGTTATATCGCAAAAAGGAACGTTCAAACAATTATTATAATAACAAAATATTTTGCACATACATAAATTATAAGTATTAATTGCGACATATCTGATACTCCTACTTATATAAAGTGTAATGCATTAAATAATTGACACTTTGGTTAATAATCAATTACAATTTTTTATCTTATAAACAATTGACTAAAGAAAACGAGGAATTCCCCGCGGACAATTGCCACGATGTAACATAATTTGCAGTTCGTCTCAGGACAGGGTTGCTTCTTTCTTGCGCTCCACCATGACTTTGAATATTTATATTCAAAGACCATGATCATCTCGGTGGTCTGAAGAGGTACGATCTAGATTAAATTGAGGAAAAGTCGAAATATAAAAGGGGTCAACCCTTTTACTTTTCATAAAAAATGAATATTTTTCTGTTTATACTTCTGGAACAGCAGAAGAATTTGAAGATTGTCTTGATCTTAAGGCTCTTTTATGGAGTATGGGGTAGATGGACCCATAGAAAAATATAGGGAACTTATGTAGGCTGTTAAAGGCCACCCGATATTGGAAATTGTTCATAGATTAAGTAAATCTGTAGGAAGGGATGTTTTTTAGCCATAGATAAACCCTTGGTCAATTATGATTACGCGATAACTAATTGAAATATTACCATTTTTGATGCGTTCAAGAACGCAACTGTATATCTGCAGGAACTGACATTTTTACGAACACGTGTGTTTTTTCATAATTATTAACGATCGACAAAAGGCGAGTGTATGCTTTTGGACTTTCTGTCCGTCCGCCCGTGCGTCTGTGGACATGATAACTCACTAACGGTTTCGAATTTTCCAATTCTGTTTTTAGCAATTAATAGGTAGGCAATGGTCAAGGGACTAATTGAGTAAGTTTTGGTCAATATTCTTTAACCGGAGGTGACTTCCATTGTCTCTCGCTCTCATACGCATAGGAAGTTCGCAATAAAGGCTATGAGAAAGTTGCCCGAAAGATTGAGGTCCAAATTGTTTCACAGGCATTTTCTATATCCAATTACAATTGAGGTCAGAGCGAATTTGGTTAAAAATGACATAGAATTGAAACGGATTTAATGTTTGAGTTACTATATAGGATAATGGAATCCTATACCGGTGTCAAGTGTTAGCCCCCCACTTTTTGAATTTTAAAAATATTTTTACGAGTATTTTTATGCCAATCGTTTGTTAGTCGTTTGTTAGTTACATTTAGACGTTTGTTGGTTGACCGTTATTTAATTATTAAAATTTCAAAATTTGAGCGTATAGTTAGCCCCCCACTTTTGGAATTTTCAGAATATTTTTATTTCAATCGTTTGTTGGTCGTTTGTTGTGTGTTTGTTAGTCACTGCATTTGTGAGGAGCCTCCCCAAATGATTATACCATATTTAAGTATTGATACAAAATTTGAGTAGTAGGTATATGCGTATCCTAACTTGCGTAACAAACATGAAAATGTAACTAACAAACACCAACAAACGATTGCCATAAAAATATTTTGAAAATTTTAAAAGTGGGGGGCTAACTATACGCCCAAATTTTTGAATTTTGAATAATTAAATAGCAATCAACCAACAAACGTGAAAATGTAACTAACAAACACCAACAAACGACCAACAAACGATTGAAATAAAAATATTCTGAAAATTCCAAAAGTGGGGGACTAACTATACGCCCAAATTTTTGAATTTTGAATAATTAAATAACGGTCAACCAACAAACGTGGACCGTACAGAGTGGGAGCAGCGAGCGTCGCGTCGATCGTAAAATAATCTAATGTAAGCAAACGCATGGTTCTGGGTGGGAGCGACCAACGCCGCGTTAAATCGTACCTACTATGAAACGTCAGTCGCGACGCGACGCCCGCCGCTTCCACTCTGAACAGTCCTTTACTTGTAGGTCCTTTAAACATAGTCCATTAAAGAAACAAAAACTTTGATGGACACCAGAAATAACAACCGTCGCAATCGAAAATTGCTATGCAGGTGAAAGCGAAACCTTAAAACAGGAAGAGTGCCTTTGGAAAGCAAATGGGACAAACCCGCTATTTTCACAATTTTTTAAAATAATGCCTAGGTCTTAGTATGTTCAAAAAATGTATACAGGGTGCTCAGGAAATCAAATTTTGCAGTGTTGAAACTAATTTTTTTTATTCAATATTATATCCCTCTTTTTAGGGGAATCTTTCAAAAGAAATTCCTCTTATGCGATGTTTTTGCCCGTCTGTCTGTTCTTCGTCTAACTCGATAACGGAGAGAGAAAGCGATGCCAAACTTTCGCCGATCGATTTCTATGAGTTCAAGAATCAGCCGGATTCCAAGACGTGTTTCCGAATGCTAGCTGAGTGTCAAAAAATTCCCCTACTTTAAATCGTATGCGATTCTTCGTATCTTGTTTTCTTTTACGTTGACGAATGAAGACAGTTTGTAATATGAGCAATCGTTTCGGTATTCCGCACTTCCGAGGGTTGCTTTTTGATCATGATTAAATATGGAATTTAATTATGTTTTTTTTTTTTGGGTCTGTTAATTCACAGCCAGCTAATCGTTAAAAATGTAACAGATATGAAACAAATTCTAGTTTCCTTCTACAAAATTCAAACTACCCTTATATTTTAGTACAGAATCTATTCAGAAAAAAGTGGGGCTGCGTTAAAAAATAATCAAAATCAAATTCAAAACTGGTACAAATTTCTAAATACTATACACATTTTTTGAATGGTTTTGACATACTCGTACATTAGGCAAGGGAAATAATGGTTTTGCCTTGTTACTCGTACAAAAGAGAATTTACTTTGTGCAGTAGTGCATTTTCCCAAAATTTCAAAAACAATAAATTAATTAAAAAACCGATAGATTTAAGTTTATAGTAGGTATCTTACTCCAAACTTACGCTAAATGTTACGTAAATTTAAAAAATGAATAAACTTTCCTATTTAATATAGTGGCGTGTAAAAAAATTAGCCATAAAAGTGCCTTTTTGAGTAACATTATTGACTATTAAGCGGTAGAGCAAAGCGATCGAAGCTTTATCGGGAAGTCGACGGTGTCCTTCTGTCCGTCTTGTCCTTTTCTAACTTATGTGTATCATTCTCACCTTAAATTTTGTGCATTTCAGAACGCCCCTAGCAATTCTCCGGTAAATTGAGATATAATGAGATTTGTACCATACACTTTACAAGGAAGAATTCCTAATTACAAACCGCCAAAGCTACAGCGAAAATACTATAAATGCTATAATAAATAAAAAAGTTGGGTTGCACATGCGCAATTTTTTACTAACACAGAAAACAGACATTCATATGTTCTTTGTAATAAGAAGTACAAAAGAATTCTGGAGGCTGAGGCAGTTTTTGGCTTGTAACTTATGTAATATGTAGCTCAACAATAGCGAAAACATGTGTGCCAATTTTCGAACCGATCGAACGTACATACGGACAGACCATATTTCATTCCAATATTTCGCATGCTGATATTCAAAACCCAAATCTCATCCTAGGTACAATATGACTGCATCAGAAAAATGTTCTGCCGGGAATTTGAAAACTATCATATGGAAATACCGGAGGAAATACCTCTTAAAAATTGTATTATAATAATGCCATAAAGATACCGCTTATTTCTTTTCTTGTAAAATAGAAAATTTGACCAATTCAAAATTATTAAACCAAATTAGCCTTAATGTCGTTTCATTTTAAGATTCTTCATTAAATGTAGCAACTTTCACTCCGAATTTTTTTCTGATATTTGTTAAATTGACAAACAGTATTGATCAAACTTGCATTGCAACGATTAAAAACTATAGTATTATAATACAGAGTGGCTCTAGGGGATTTGATCTGAGTGAAAAATTTCGTTATTTAATGACTGGACGCATGAAATAATTCTGTTCTCTTTGTTTAAAATATGACTATGTAAAAATATTTATACTTTTTTAGGTGAGAACAATAAAACTTAAATCAAACAATAATAAATTTATAAAAGGTAAAACATTTCCTCCATAGGCACCGAAGGAGGTAAAGTGCCCATAATGGAGGCGGCGTTCCCTCGCTGAATAGCAATAAATAAAAAATGTTATTGAATAAGTGTCAAAAACAATGTTACATTAACTTTTTGAGCAACAAATTGTAGACATCAAATACTTATGGCTTTCATAAATGCTTGCATTCATCCATTTTTATTGTTTATCGTTATATATTGTTATCAAATAGAATATAGAATTATTTTACGTAATAACTATGGGAGCAAACATTGCTTAGTGTACCTATATCTACAGTTGGTGAACGCGTGTATTCTTTGCCCGTTTTTTTAAATTGTTAATTGTTAAGAAATAAATTCGCTTATGAAATTATTATCAATTATAGTTTAACGAACAAAATTACGTAACAATCATTTATTTGAGCAACAGATTGTTTATACACATAAATTCAATTAATAAATTGAAATAAATTCAACACGTAAGATTCATCCTTGTTTCGTTCTGTAATCTTTAATTCGCAAATACACTGCTGCTATAAGTAATAGCAACACATTTTTGAATGCTGTAACAAGTTTGCAGAATCTTTTTCTGATGCTGGTGGGATTATTCTTTAGTCTTAACTTAACCGATCACTTGTACCAGTTGTTTCATTTTAGTTTATGCCCAAGATGATGAGGGTCCATACAAAGGAAAATTTATCGGAAAATTTAACAATTACCATCATCAAATTTCGGGGGATGTGTACGCGGTGGACGAATACACGTTGCTTTTGACGAAATTTAACTACGATGGGCAAGGAGCGGATACATTCTTCTGGGCCGGAGCGGCTAGTAGACCCGGACCGCAAGGTTTCATTGTCCCCGATGAATACGGAAAGTGAGTTACTATAAGCACCGCGAACTATTCACCAATGTTTCTCTAGGACTGACGTGTTACGGTTATACTTCAACAAGGATTTCACACTAACCCTTCCGGACAATAAAAAAATTACCGATATAAAATGGTTTGCAATCTACGATTTGTGGAGTCAAAACACCTTTGGCGACATCTATATACCGGAGGAGTTCGAGCCACCCTCAATACAGAAGATAACGCAACTGTCGGGAAAAATTAACAAAGTCACTTCTGGCACGATCGAAATGGTCGACGCCAAAACTATTCGCATACCCGACTTTGTGTTTGATGGCATCGCGCGCGAGCCGTATTTTTGGGTGGGCATCGGCGCCCAACCTGACTCTAAGGGTACGAAAGTTCCTGATGAATACGGATAGTAAGTAGATCGAATACGAAGTTTTTTTCTCATTTTATCACAGTCTAGATCCATTAAGAACGTATGATGGTGTCACGATATCATTAGAATTACCAGGAGACCTCACCATTTTCAACATAGACTGGTTCAGCATTTACGATTATGAGGCCAAGAGAAGTCTTGCATCTATTATAATACCAAATGGGCTCAACGTACCTCCATCTCTCGTAAAAATTTTGGTAACAAGTTCTTCAAGTTTTACAGGAACTATAACATCCAGTTGTAGCCACACAAAAGCGATCTAACAAACTGCTTACAACTGCACAAAAAGTTGCAAGTTTCTTGGGACATATTCGGCCCGCAAATCACCATTCAACTTGCTGGTCAGGTTGAGGATAATGAATACATGTCATTCGGTCTGTCCGGGTCTAGGACAAAGAGTCAAATGTTGGGATCGGACGTGGCAATTGCCCACATTCACGAAACGCAAGTTTACGCAACAGACTACAACATCACCGCTCTTACACCGGTAAAACCCACCACTAATACTCTTTCAATATAATTATTACGAAAGGCTTTCAGTGTGTAAAAGTGCTCGGGCAATACAAAGGAGTCTGCAAAGACGATTTACTTGGCGGTCAAGACAACAATCAAGTTCACACTGGAGTACGCGAGCATGGCATCAGCATCATCACATTCCGCCGATTTCTGATTTCACGTAAGTAGTTTGCTGGAGTGTTCAATATCTAGTAACCCACCATTTGTAGCGGATAGTGGAGATTTGGAATACCCAGAGGATGGTTCAGATTATATAATCTGGGCAATCGGAAGATTGGACAAAAACCAGGAACCCACGTTTCACGACTACTATCCCAAGACCAATATTAAAGTGGAATTCAAGAGCAAAGACCCCATTATGACCTGCTACCCATTTACAACGACCGATCGTCAACTGCTAGAGCCGTGGGAGAAAGGCCAAATTTATGATAGGAACGTTAGACTTTTCCGCGCACAGTTGGGACCATCAGGTGGCAAGCGGGGATACCAAGGCCTGACAAGTAGGTTTTATTTTCGTAGGGCTTTATCCAAAGGCAATCTTTCAGAGCAAACTTCCACAACTCTAGCATGGTATATCAACGGTCTACTAGTTCCAGAAATATGGATGAGACGAGGACTAACTTACTCGTTTAAAGTGCACGGAGGCAATAATCCCCATAGTGCGGAGTTGTACCATCCCCTAATCATAACCGATGAACCACACGGCGGCTTTGATAGGCTCTCCGATGAAGCGCAATCGAAAGTTCGCGTGCTCGCAGGTGTTGAGTATTCCAGAAGAGGGCGACCCAGGCCCACTGCAGGTACGCGTTTATAATCATCAATTTTGTATGTAATTGCCAACATTTCAGCCGGTTCGCTGTGCATTGCCGCCCACAAGCCGGAACAAGACCGGAGGCTGGACGATGATTTCCTCACGTTTAAAAAATTCAATCGTACCCTAAATTACACGTGTGATCCCGAGAACAGCCCCGCAACTTTGGAAGTCACCCCAAATTCAACGTGGCCCGATATTGTGTACTACAATTCTTTCACCCAACCAAATATGGGTTGGAAAATACACATTGTTGATAGTTATAAGTCGGGTTTTGGTAGTTTGAGAGGAAACATTTTTGGACTATCTATGATTTTATGCTTGTTAAGCAATTTTGAGCGATTGTTTATTTAAGCAAATTTGTTTTGTCATTTTGATAATGTGGCTAAGGCTCTATTTTTAATTTAAAAATATCACCCTTAGATTTGGAAACAGCACACCTTTCATACACTTCTGTTTTACTGGGAGAAGACGTGGACATTTCCTGTTGTTTTTCTTTGAAAGAACAATAAATAAAAAATTGTAAAATCGTACGAGTTATTATTTCAGTGAACTACAATTATTAAACTCTAAAGTTGCGGCAGCGTTTTCTTATCTCAAAAGTAGCATTTTCATTCGTGCGCGATGTATTTAACTGAAGAAAAACTTCATATTGTCAATTGGTATAGTGCCGGTAATAGTTTTATTTTCTGTGTTGATCATTTTAAAATTAGCGCTTATTTAAATGTGATCCACGTAAGACACCGTACACGGTAACGGAGGATATGAAACTGAATGTTTTAATTTTTGTGGAAAAGAATCCGATAAGATACTTGAGAGAAATAGCGGCCGAATTTAATATCTCTTCATCATAACCTAAAAGCATACTATTTACAGTCGTTTTTATTAAAATCTAGAATGACAATGCAAAATGCGTGCGCATGTTATTTCGGTTGCATAAGATCAGGCGTCTTTCATTTAAAACTAGATATAGGAAATCCCTATGTCTATTTCTAAATGAATAGCACTGTATATCAAGTTGGTTTTGGTGGACATCGAGTGGCATTAAAATTTAGACTCGAATCTGAAAATTCTTAACATATTAACGTATTGCAGTTCGCTTTATTTTTATTGTACAGAATGTATAACATTTTCTTTAGCGCCTGACCCTACTCATTATACAATGAATTTACTTCATTTGTTGACTGACAGAACATGAGAACACCAATTTAATACATATATAGGAAATATAGGAAGATTAACCAGAGGTAGGATGGAGGAGAATAAGTTGTGACATAATAAGGTAATAATAAGGTATATCCTTAGGAAAATCTACACAACATATCATCGTTGTACATGAAAGGCCGCTCAATATTAGTAATTGTTCATAGGCTAACTACATCTGTAGGAAGGTCTCGGCATCTCTTTCTTTATAAACTCAAATGTTGTTGCTAGCCTTATTTCCGTCAAAAAGTCGTATAATTCTCGATAAGTTTTAACAAATAAGGTAGAAGATAAACTGAGTTTTTAAAATGAAGCGCAGTTAGAAGCTGACACCGCATTTCTTATACCGGAACTATTTCAAATAAATATACGGAATAACGTCTAAAATGTAATTACGAATTATTATGGGTGCAAATTGAAATTTTTGAATTTGGAAATTGGTTTAAAAAAATCTCTATCAAATGAGCCTAATGAAAAGGCGCACTGCCATTTAGAAAAATTTAATTCTTTTTGTTACTCGTTTGTTTTCTGAAATAAAATGTTAAATAACTTTTATATAGAAAAATGTTGTATACATTCGATATTTACCGAAATATATACTACATTCCATACATAATGGGCACCCTGTATATTTCTGACCCTTTTTTGGTTGCATTTTTATTGCAAACGGTACAAGTAGCAGGAGCGTTTACGCCCTGATCTCCACCGTCCGCCATGACTGATGCGAGCTAAGCTAATTGCTTCATCTTGGTGGTACCGATGTAGGTAGCGTGCAATTCTTAGAAAATTTTATCTTGAAAGTGTAGTATTTGGAACCACACGGTTATTTAAAAAAAGTACACCATGGTCCATTGTGGAAGGGCAAGCCCATGGCCGAATTTAGAAGATTTTGATTTCATGAAGTTCGTCACTCGGGTAAATTATATTTTTGCGATCTAGCTAAACAAGCGTCTAAGCACATGAGACATTCTTCCTTGGAAGAGTCGTGTACATTTGTACCATTGCGTCGTGGAAATACTTTTTAACGTTGGTTAATCCGTGTAGAATCTTATCGAAAACTGTGTTGAATTCAACAGGACCATTTTTAATTCCAAAACTGAGTCTATTTACTGCATCTTTTTTTATCCCTGTTGCAGTATCGGTTAACCCGTTGATTCCAAAAAGTTGGATTTTCTCTGATGAGATCGATTAAAAGCGACTTGTCCATTGTTTCACAAGTCAATTTACGGTCGTAATCTAAAAAAATAAACACATTGATTCGTATCGACCATCGGAAAGTACACGTACTTATATGTCTAGTGAAAAAGTGCGTCTGTCGCGGTCTGAAGGGATAACTGTAACCACTTACCTGGTGTAAGCTGGTCTGACCTCGTCTACACCGCCGCTTAGCCATACTTAGTCAGTTTTTAGATATAGGTGTACTTACCGTTGTTGAGGATAAAGGTATCAAACACAAACTGAGGTTTTCTGTTATATAAGGTTGTAACAATTGATTCAGAAAGACTAAATAACTGTTCCCACATGCTTATTAAGTACCTATATACAAATTTGTAGTATTTCAAAACTTAACATTACAACTATCACTAAATTGCAAAAATAAGTAGTACTATCAGGAATTTGGTCATCTACATTAATTTAACTTAACTTCTTATTCTCTAACTCAACATTATCTACACCATCCGACTGCCTGACTAGTACCAACTTGGTTGGCTCTTGTGGAGCGGGCGTTTCCAAATCACGACTCAGTACTCGTGGAATTTGAAAAAGCGTTGCACTCTTCTTTATAAAATTGGGATCTAATGGTGGAAGTTCACCTCGAAATGGTCCGTACTGTGGACCGGTTTTGATAATTTCCGCCGCTTTCGACGATCTGTTGTCGAAAATACTGCCGCCATTGGGATATTTGGCCGTTAAGCTTGCACCCGATACTCTTTTACCGTCGTAACTGACGACAGTTCCGGGTGCAACGTCGATGTTTGAGGGTTTCATGATGTTTACCACAGGTTTGGTGCGCTGGTTATCGGGCGGTAAGTAGTAGGAGTCGACACGTTCGTCTGCATCGGCGATTTCATCGTCGTATGCATCCCCTCTTCCTCTCCGACTCTCTTTTATTACAAGCATGGGCCCTTTGTTCCTCAAATTCAATTTCAGGTTTAGGGGTTTTCCATTTTTGAAAAATGGCGTATCTGCAGGTGTACTTTTATCCATGTTAACATCTATAATGCCGATTTCACTCTCATATTCGAGTTGAGGCCCCTCCACTTTCGAATACCGATTTTCCTTACTTACAATGGGCTTAAAGCCTCCTTCTATGACAATCGTTTCTGGTTTAAACCCCGTGTTAACTGCGATCGGCATATTTTCGCTGTAATGCATTTTGCTGGGCGCAACGTTAATTATTTGCCGGAATGTGCTTTCAGTCGTAGTTCGCGGTTCCTTCTCGGTCGAAGCTTGTTCCGGGGATACCTCGACGCGTACGTTATTTCCAGATCTTTCCATGAAAGTTACCGGTATTACTTTTTTATACATCTGCGGCATAGGTTTTTTGTGTTGTGGAAATATTTGGGACGGTATCGACAGCTGATCTTCAAATTTGTACGGAAACTGTTTTAAAATCATTGGATTCTTCATCATTGGTCTGTAATATGGCTTTTTTATTAACAGTTGGGGTGCTAGTGGTTTGTAGGGCGGCCGAGAACTAAATATTGGAGGCACCATTGGAGGTGCAAGCATTTTGGTCATTGAGATCGGTACGTCTTCGAATTGCACTACTGGCAGTTCCGTTATTTGAGGCGTTACTGATTCATTTTGTTTGTTTTCCATCTGCGTTGCAAACACTGTAAAGACTTTTTCTTCGTTTAATTTATCAGTAGATGTGCTCGAATTAACCATGGGTCTGGGAGGTAATTCTGTCATACCCTTGGAATCGCCATTAATTAACGTATTAGGTGCTTTCACTCTTGTTTCGAAAAGTATGGATGGGCTTCCCTCAAGCTCGTCTTCGGATTCTTTGAAATTGTCAATTTTGGCACCGGAATCAGGATGAACAACGGATTCTTTAACGTGACTCGGAGCACCCTCTACATCACAAGAATCTAAGACGTTGATCTTCCATCCCAAATAACGGTGCGTAAAGCACTAAAAAAGCAATTATATAGTTATCAATTAAGGGAGCTATTACACTTACGTGATAATAAACGGTATCTGGCGTGTTGCGGTTGGGCGTAAATTGTATAACACCAGGTTCGCCTTGATCGCATTTTAGCTCTAACGTCCGTTGGTAGGCGCCGAATGATTCAAAGTCGTCAGCTTCCCTGTCACCTTGTGGAGTCCAATTGCACAATCTACCCACTCCTGTAGGGTGTACAACTCCGTCGCGATCCACTCGTGCTCCGGCAAAAATTCTGATTTTCTAAAAAGAGATCGTAAGACAACGTTATTTACTGCCGAAACCGACATACCGCTCTCTCTTCCGGCGTTTTATGTTCGTATCCGCCGATGGGGTCGTCGGTTATATAGAATGGATGGTACTTCGCAGGAACCTCCGGGTCTAAACCTCCCTCCACAACGAAAGTATACGTTTGACCTCTCACCACGTTGATCTCCGGTATTAGTAGCCCGTTGATATACCAGGAAATTCCCCAACCCACGTGTCCGGTAATAGCAGGATAGCCACGCTTACCGCCGGTTGGCCCCATCTGCGCATAGAAGACGCCGTCTTCGGGTTCATAGCATTGTATCGGAGGAATGTCCCAGGGCGCTATTTTTGCAACCGGCGCTGGAGTGGGTACTGGTTTCGGTTTCTCCACAGAATTAGAAGTGGTTTGGCCTCTTCGTACATTTTGGCGCGTTTTGGACGTGCTGCGTTCAGAATCCTTTGCAACGCTATCACTGCCTCTAGTCGATTCACCTCTTCGGCGCTGTTGTGGTTTTCTAGTACGACTAGGAGGCGCTTCAGTGTAATCCTCGGGCGGGTTAGTCACGTCTTGGTACTTTGGGGTTTGGTGCAGGGGGGTAACGATCTTCATTGGCGGTTGATCCGTTTCAGGCATGGGACAATTCCACTTTGCAGGTCTCCCAAAGTCTATAAAGTGATCTTTCTTGGTCCAGCGACTGTGGAACGAGACTTCATCACGTTGATTTAGCGGGCCGATTGCCCAAATGATTGGTTGCGATCGATTGGTGTAAATTGTTTTGTCGTAAGGATCGCTTGCTCGTAATGGGCGCTGGTATGTTACAATGGAGTAGCCGTTCACCATTGCTGCGTTGAGTGGATGAATGTCGTTTGTATTATCCTAAAATGTTGGTTATTATGGTATTAAGAAATGTTTAACGGTGATACCTCTAAACGAGTGTCAGGGCATGATCCAGTTCGTCCGGAGCATTGAGACTTTGCGTCTAGGTAGTAGTCTTCAGCGTAACCTTTTAGTGTTTCTTTGTCAACCCAAGCTACCGCAACGTCTCCGCCGACCATAGCGGTTTGTGAGTCATCGCCAGAGAGACCAAACGACATATATTCTCTGTCCTCTAAAAAATAATAGTAATCCAGTTAAATCTAAGTATATCAGTGTATTTAGACTAGGGCAGGGTACGTTTGCTAATGCCACATGTCAAGCATTGTGTTTGAATCGGGTGGCCAAGAAACATTTTTCAATATTTTGATATACTTCTTGCATCTATTTAACCGTTCAGTTTAACATTTTTGGTTGCTTGTTGTGTAAATGTTAATGATGCCTATACACTGTGTCCAAGATAAGGATGTCTATCATGGGGATCTCTGAAACCAAAGAATACGCGACGATGGTCAAATTAGAGAAAGTGTGCGTAGTTAAAGAGTTATCAATGCTTTAAAAAAACCCAGAAAATTCCGATCACTTCCGAAGATATGCTAGAAAAACCAACATTTGCCGATTTCGTTTTTATTTTTTTCTTATGTTATTTGAACAAATTAAAAAAAACACTCTCGGCACAAAAAAAAACAAAAGTTGAAAACTGTTGGTTTCAACAGGGTGGTGTACCTGCGCACAACGCCCTCATCGTGCGAGAATACCTGTCGGACATATTTTCCATTGAAGTGGGAACCAGAGTACAAGAATCTATAAGCACGGAAGAGCTGGAAGATTCAGAGCCTCCATCATAAGTTTTGAGCCTAAGGAGGCCAAATTGACTTGGGAATCAAACATATTCTGATTCAGCAGGGTCTTTTTAGATCAAAACCTTTTGTTGCTAAAATGTCACAAAAACTCCGGTAGAATCCAGTCCAGTCCATAAAACTACATTACGCACCGTATACCGTGTATAGCTATAGATATCCTATTTTATGTGATTTCAGGACCAATCTGGGATAAAAAACCCATTGCAATAAAAATTTTAGTAACTTGTAACCTATGCTATGTAGCCCAAAGTAGGCCAAATCTTAAATGTTACATAAGATATTATTAGTACGTACAATTAATCTTATATTGTTGACATAATCGTGTAGGAATACCCAATTGAAGAATAATGACCCGAAGTGAAAGTACCTATAGGTAATTTACTTTCGTCCCATAATCCGAATTCAAGCTCTGACCTTTAAGTCCGCTTCCGTCCATAATACTAAAAAAATAAATTGTAATTTCCTAAGTAGTCGCTACGGTTAGATTAAAACATTAAACTTTATTAAAAGCTCGTTTAACTAACCGTAAAAGAGTAAGCGTCTCCTAAAAATGTCTCAATCCCTTTTTCGAATCGCAAGTTTTTACGTTTTTATCGTTCACTTTCCAGTAATAAATAGATTTTTATTAAACTGACACTGACACTTTCCGTTCTGTAATTGTAACTTATAATTTCACGGAGAAGTGCCTTTACGTTTTGATTTATATTCAGCGTAACAGACGTAGACGCGAAGACGATGGAACGAAACAAAAAATAAAATTTATTGTAACATAAATTTGAAAAAAATGCCTGTTATCTGTTCACATAATAAAAGCGAAGCTCTTTGTCTCCTTACATTTTCAAAGTGAAAGACAGCGTCGCCTGAATTTGCTATTATGACGGCGTGTAATTGAAATTATTTAGTTGTTTTTGCGCGGGGGAAGTTCACTCAATGAAGTAGCTTTTTATGTAGGCAAGGTAGCTGATAATGGGAGATGCGGATTCTTCAAAGGACGCCTTCCTCCGCGTTTCGTATAATACGCAAAGGCATTATATGTATTAAAGTTATTGATTGAGGAGGATCGTTTTCAATTTCCAAAATGAGATTAATTACGAAATTAGTAATACCGTTTTATGAGCGACTTATTAAAATAATGAATTTTGTACGATGTAGCTGCTATTAATTTTCTACGGAATTACTTTAAAGTTAATTTCATTTTAGCCAAACAAGTGACATCTAAAAGTTAATTAAAACTCGGGTCGTTCTATACGGCATACATGTCACATACCGGAATTGTGCCTAAGAATGTTTTCTTGTAGGTTTCGCCCTTGTCATTGTGTTTTTTCTTGATGGAGTTTGCTCCCGGTTTAGTAGAAAGTGGAATGCAAAATCCAAGCATAGTTCATGAACCCATTTGCCCTTCGTCATTATTCATCCTGCTTTTTCTCATTGCTACAAAATATCCTTACCAATCACAGAATTAAAGCCCATTTGGTGTCGTTCACTCAAAAACAAGAGTATATGCGAAGAAACAACAGTAAAATCGCCATTTAAGCACTAAAGAGGATTTAAAAGTGTGCTAACTGGTAACTATTACTCCTGCTTATTTGATTACGCTGTCGAAATCCTGATAAAAGGAACATCCTGAGGAAAAGCACTGGACGATGCTTACCTAAAGGGTGGTTTCGTGTGGGACAAAGAATTGCAGCCTAGAGATTAAAACATTCATTTTAGAGACTCCCTTGATGATATCCTACCTATTTATAAAATACCTAAAATCTGGTATAACGGTTTAGTTATATTTACAAGGGTTGAAGACGCCACTTGCATTAAATAAAATTGAAACTCTACGGCACTGGCAAAAATTTCACTGTAACAGTCCATTTTTTATATCATCAACGGCAAAATTTTGTTTATAGCATGTAACTTTATATTAAGAAATAAGAATATAATAAGAAATATTAAGAAAATAAAGGCGACCCAATTCCATTTCTCTTTACAAGTTCCTCGATTTAAAATATATGTATGGTTCATAAAAAGAAATACAAAAAAGCAATTCCTGTCTTGTAATCACATATCAATGCTAAATTTGATCCTTATCTAAACCTTCATTCATTTTTATAATCATAAATTGCTGAAACATTCTCCTATTCAATATATACACACCTCTGAACGGTAAACACAAATTTAATCTAAATAAAGAATGGTATCACTGAAACTGAATGCAAAGAAACAAAATAATCCTCTGTTGGGATCCAATTGTTTGTCAATGAAATGCAATAAAAATCTGATTCATGCGGGCCGGTTCCTTTAGGAAGATTAAAATTACGTTAAAACATTTTTAGGCAAATTCCTAAAAATAATCGATAAAATTTATACAAATCAAAAATTTCAAGTATAGCTATTGATGAGGCTTTCTTCAGGTTACGTTTGATACCATCTTTCCTTGTAAAAGGTACTTTCAACATAGAAATATGTATGTAAAACAGATCGCTTCGTTAGCTTCTTGTTCAATGGACATTTGAGTATATAGTTGTCCGTATTTATTGTGAACACAAGCAAATCGGCATCAAATTATTTAGAGGATTTGGTTCGTGAACTAGTTCATGCACAGGAATAAAAAGCCAATTCCTTACTGTACTGAATATTAATTTTGCCCATTTATTAATTTTTTATTATTTTTTAAAATTGTGAACGCATGTCGCTGATGGCAAAGTTTTATTTCTACAACAATGCATTAGGGACGAGGTCAGTAAAGGTTTAGTGAAACTTTAAAACAGCCGTTACAATCAAAGATTAGAAAAAAAAGAATCTTTATTTATAACGATGTGTTTCAATGTCAACTGATTTAATATCGTCCCGATGTGTAAAACATGACATCTAAATGGATTGGCGTGAACACGAAGATTCATAAAAGATGTTTTGAACTCGCGTAAATTAGATACAGCAAATGTATTTGGACCTGCTATAATACAAGCTTTCAAAAAATTGTATTTTGTCCGGAAATTGAGGGCATTTTACCCCGGTATTTTATTACAGCGCTCGGGCCAATTAGACAATTAAGGTTAAATCAACGCACCAATACACGTTCGAAAACAAACTACGAAATCGCTCACAGTTACGCGATGAATTTTATGCAAGTTGTACGTGCGTTCTCTCGAAGCCAAGCTAATAATGCCGGCTCTCCCGTTGCCTTAGCTATTTCTATTTCGCCTGCTAGAAAAACCAAAATGCCTCGCTCTTGGAGCCAACGAGTGCACTGTTTTTTATTTGTTTTACCTTCTTGTGCGTCGCGGCGGTTTTTAGAACCGGCAACACGGTCGAGAATTGCGTTTATCTATCAACACAGCCTGCATTTTACTCGCAACCCGCACCTTTATCTTCTTATCTGTAGACATACTTTTGTTCACGTGTACTATGAAGCGGAATGTAAATTTCCCTACTGAGAACGAAATACAAATTTAATTTTGGAGACCGGATTTTGATTAAAACATGTCAAAATCGTTGGGAAAAAGACCAAGAGCATTATCTCATTGACCAAAACATGAATTTGATGCATTTTTGACGACCACAAGGTTTTAATCAAAACATGTCAAAGTCGTTATTCTTTCACTGGGATCGTTGAGAAAAAGACCAAGAATTTGATGCATTTTTTTTGATGAAAACATGTCAAAATGGTTATTCATGCAGCAAGATCATTGGGAACAAGATTAAGAGCTATATTTTAATCCTAAAGACATGAATTTGATGCATTTTTGTTAACTATAAAATGTATCTTGTAAGATTAAAATAAATTGTCGTTAAAAGTTATTGTAATACTTGGGATCCTTCGATATTTCGTTGTATCAGTTTATTCCACATCAGTTTTAAAGACATAATTATGAGTGTTGAGCAAATAACCATTGTCATTAGTGGTTTTTTTAATCGATCATGAAATGGCTGAAAATTTTAATATTTCGAGGTTTCATTTGGCGAATATGCCAAAGAGAATTTTTGGAGGCGAATATTTCGGAGGGTAACTTTCGTGAAGCTTCTCCCACATATTTCGCATTCGAAGTTGCGCTGCATAAGAGCCAACTTTTTCTCCAAGGGTGAATACATAATATTTTCTGCCAGGTGTTTTAAATCGCAATGACGGTAGCTAATTTATAAAAGCCTTATATATCTCAGTCTCTTTGAGGGTAATGTTCGGGGAGTCGAATTTTCCCGAACGCCAATATTCTTGGTAAACATTTTCTCGGAGGTGAATACTAGGACAGGGGTGAGGCGAGTTATGACTAAACACATACTGCCGGGCAACGTTTTTGAAGACAAATTATGAAGTTTAATGTTTCGCGGTGAATATTCCGAGTGCGAATTTCTGGGGGCAAATATTCAGCGGGGGCACGATTTTCCCACCTAGAGACAATTTCCGGCGCGAATCTTCCCACAATGGTTGATGCAATATCCTAGGGTGTGGGGACTCCTTGTTAATGTATCTTGCTAAGCGTTTTTCCCTGGTTTCAATGGTTCAATGGTGCTTGAGAAAACAGTCCGAGTGCGAATTTACGTAGGGGAGAATTTCTCAAGGGACAAATATTTCAGTGGAGAAATACCCGGGGCGAATGTTCCGGTGCGAATCCTCACATTCATATAATCTCGCCTCTATACATATGCTTGTAAATATTTGTAAGTGGAATAGTCCTCAGGCAAATATCCGAGACGAAATTCTGGGGCAAAAATTTTGAAGCCAAATCTTACTGGAGATACATAAGCTGGATGAGAAGGGATTTTGTGAAGTAAACTTTGAGAGGCTAAATCAGAGTTGGGCCTTTTTCTAAAATTTTCGTTTGGACTCGAATTTTGCTTACATTAGTTGCTGTGCCACTAAAGAGAAGTAAAAAAAGATTGTTAAGGTCAGGTGCCCCACCAAAGCTTACCAATTGTCTAAGATTTAAAAAAATATCGTTTTCGCCACTATATCATCATTTAAATGTATTTTTTTGTAATTTCGTTATGAAATACTTAAATTTAGTTGGCTGCGCTCATTGGACAAGTACACGTCTAGTGCGCCAAAGACAGTCAATGTGCAACTTGTTACATAAATAGCTAAATTGAACTTTAGAAGTTACGTATGGTTTTATGAAATAAGGATTTAACATGCCCCTTATTACAACGGCGACCTTCCTTAAGTTTTGAGAGCAATTTCCTGAAAGTGAATTTTCTTGGGATAGGGTTCTTAGCGGCCAATATACCGACGAAGACAAATTTTCATTTGGGTCGAATATTTTTGAAAGATTACGATCTGTATATGATTTTCTGGATGGGACCACTTTTTGGGGGAATATTTCGGAAAACCAATATTTGAGGAGAGAGATTTGCCGCTAGACGGCGGCGGCGGTTCATGGTTAAATAGAAAAATAATTTTTTTTAATATACTCAGGAAACCTCCACAAAAAATACATTCATCGCAAACTTGTATGAATTTTGCCTCATTTTCATGCAGTAGTTTTTTTAAAGTATATGTTGAAAATTTCAAATGAAACGATATAATTATTATATGACATGATAAAAACCCTCCATAAAATACTACTCACTTTTTGGAACACTTCTCGCATAACTCGAGCTTCTATTGGCGACACAAGAAAGAAAAGCCGTCATTTGAACTTTAAGAAACACGCCGGACTATGCTTATTCTACAGCAACCAGACCACATTTCATGGTCTATTAGGCACTTACTAGCTTGGTACTGAAAAGTATAGACTTCTCTGGTGATGACAAAGCAACGCTGAAAATTCTAGTAACACACTTAGAAGGAGTTTTTATACTAGCGACCCACGGAACTGAAAAATTTCAGCAGGTAGAGAGAAAGTTCCTTGCGGTACTGCACAATTTGAAAAGAAATGGACCCACTGCAGGGCTATGGATACAGTACATGGTAGCATTAATTAAACAATTCATCTAAGCAGAGAGAATGGAAAATTGCCCCTTCACCTTGAACCTATCAAGAAAATGATCCCATTCCCACTCACCTTTATCTTCAAGATATGTGCGAATTGAAAAGGAAACTGACCCCCGAAGAATAGAAGAATAGGTATCACCGATTTACAACTAAAAGTTATTTCACCATTAGAAGAGCGAATAAATTTTGGTCTTGCGTATGGACCGGTATGACAAACAATGATGAAAAATATAAAATATGGGTTATATTTTCGAAAACAATCAGAGTTGGAGATTGTTGATCCACTCACAATATTCCACCTTGGCCGCTACTAGAGGCGGATGTAAAAGAGCTTCCTTCAAATCGTACAGTGGTAGTGTGGACGGCAGGTTTTTTCTCCACAAAGTTGTTTGGAGTAGTAGTTTCTATGAAAGTTGTTTGGAGTAGTAGTTTCTATGAAAGTTGTGCAAGATATAGTCCAGTCAAACGGTAGTAGAGGGACTCGAAAGTTTTGGTGTAATTATTTTTAGAGGTTTATTTTGTGTTTTTTGTTGTGCTGAACACGAATCTGATGTTGTCCAACAAAAATTTTCCTCGTAACTATGGGAAGTCATAAAAAAAACCACTAAAAATAAGTTTTTGGTTTCCAACTTATAAAAGAGGAGAAAGTACCTAAAATTCATGGATTTTGATGGCTATCTAATTCTGTTAGTGGCACTAAAACTGCTGAAAGGTCCAGAAGAAGAAATGCGACTATTCCAGCTGATTTCGTTTTCGATCTATCAGCAATCAGACAATAGAAAAGTTCTTATCCAATGAAAATAACAAACGCAACGACTGCAACGACACAATGTGAATCTGCTGAGATTATCGGAAAGGACATTGACCTACTAGTTATCATGATAAGTTTGGCTTAAAATCGTCCTATTTACTTCCGCAAGCCTGGAAGGACTGGTGCACCTGACAAAGTGTTTTCTACATCATGATATAACTACACGAAAATTTGATCGTGTTTCATGCTCTAAATGATTGCGACAGACCGTCGGCTCCCTTCGGATTTAGAAAGATTAAGCGAAAGCGTCGAAGGTGGGTACCCACAACGGAGAAATTGTAGGTCTAGTTGAGACGCATCTAGTAGTATCCGTTTCAACTGGCCCATGCGTCACTGAGATCTCCTAACATTCGAGAACGGAGCGTCGCGGAAGTGTGTGTCCACAAAGGGAAAGTGATCGATATAGACGAGACGTCTCCGTCGGAAGGGTCAACGCGAATATCTTCTTAACGGATAATTCTAGCATTGCTAGACCTATCCAAGCGAAGTTCGAGCTTATTTCGTATTACGGACTTTGCCTGATTAAATCCCGCAATCTGGGTTTGCCAGATGTGGCTTAGGTAATGTTCGAAATCCTTTTATGTAGGTATTTAAAATTAGAGATACAGGACGTCCCAGTTGAAATTGACACAGTTTAACCGTAAACAAAATAAGATAGAAAATTGCGGTTACAACTAGTGAGCTTTATTTGCAAAAAATTGTTCCCAAAATATAAATGGTGTTCTATTTAAAAAGTAATATTTAGTTGAAATTACGTAATTTTTTCCCTCGCCCAGTATAACTGGGACCAGCACAGCTACACGTTCACAATACAACTGAATCAGTAAAAATGGTTACGTAGCTTGTGCTGAAGCGTTTTATGCCGGTTCTTACCGGCTTCTAACACTTACGATGGCCGTATTACACAGCATATAAAGTCCGTAATACGAAATAACTTCGAACTTTACTTGACTTAAGGTCCGGCAATACTGAAATTACCTAGGCAAACCTAAGTCTAGCGAGGTAGCGAGCTTTGCCGCTAACATATCCACAAAGTGAAAGTAATAGATCTCTACGAGACGTTTCCACCGGAAGGGTCACCCACTGATCTTGAAAAGGAGGCGCGCAGGAAAGTTATAGTTTGTACAATTCAATTCATTTCGAAGAGACCTTTCATTAGAATACCATGAAGGGTAGAACGTAGGTTGTCACATAAATGTTATGCATATTTTACTTTCAGAAATAGTATATCGGGAAATCAGGAGTGACGTCTCTTAAAACAACAACATTTGAATGTCATCTAGCATATCTTCTAGGTATATCGGCTACATATTGCAAAAAATTGCAGGATCCTATGATGTGGGTCCGGAGGAACGCACAGATGGACAGACGAACGGAAAAAATGCAAACAAGGCCAAATGCACTAAAAATAAGTTGTGTGCTAGGGATCATGCCGTCAAGTGGGAACATACATCCAAATTCTCCTTAATTCTAGTATCATGGCGTAAATTAAAACAAAAAATAGAATTACTTTATATTAGCCAAGTGTAACGTGTCCAAAGCCGTTACGAATCACTTTTATTTGGAACATGTTGGATTGACCGAAAAATCTGTTTTGATAAAACCCTTCCATAGAATCTTTATTACAGTTGCGGTACTTTTTCTTTAGTTAAGGGAATAGTGATCCTTGCTATATAAAAAGTAGGTGTAATTTTAATGATAACTTGGATACCCTTAAAAATTGAAGATTCTATTCAAGAAACCCCGTACACATATCCTGAAGAAAGCCAATTTCTCTGCCAGATACCTATCCATTTTAGTAACAGTAAAGCGACTCGACTGCCATGTAATTACTCATATTTGGGACAGCATTGTGTCTAGATCAAGAGATTGCCTACTCGCTTACGTAAACTGATCGTTCTGATTAAATCATTAACGGCCATTATTAGAAATCGTGCCAAAAGTGTGACACGGCTGCTCTAATGTTTATTAAATTGCAACACTAGCTCCAGAACGTTGTGTAACCGCGTTAAAGGTTGACGAAGAATCAAAATTTGAAATTTTAATTTTATAAATTATTTATTGAGGCAATGTGAAAGTATGACACGTTTGCCGGCACTTCTGTTTCCCTAAATTGAAAATGATGTTAGAAACCTTCGCGTACACATATTTTCGGCCACTTTTAACAGTTACTTAAACAATGTTGTGAACACCTAAAACAATCAACTTTCAAAGCTAAAAGGTCATCACTCATACATTCCGCATTATAATTAATTATGCATTGTATGACTTATTGTTTAACTTCCAATTACTTTTTATTATACCTATAACAATGGATTTTAATTGATTATAAAGCACGCAGCGGAATTTACTTTCCATGCATATTTTAATAGGCGTAGGGGGAGTTTCACCTCGCTCTTCGGCCCAAGTTTCAACGTACCAAGGGGACACATACAAGTCAAGCTTGATAATTGTAATGACTTACCTAATTTCGAAACGAGCTGTAAAACAATGCTATCTCCGGCGACGGCCCATCGGACTTCAAATGCGAGATCATCGTATAACACTTCGCAATTCAATTTCGACTGAAATAAATAAGAGTGCAGTAACTGATACTTTTCTTTATTTAATCTAAGTACAAGCGAAAATGCTACAAACTGGCCATAGTATAAAAGTATAAAAAATAAGTTAAATAATTTCAATAAATAAAAGCACCAGAATAAAGATCACCGCAATTTTTAGGGTATACGAAAATTAAAGCTTTTAGTACCGGAGTCTTTTCAGTCCACTGGGGTTTTGATGTGAATGAACACTAACCAATGGGCGAGTAATTATTTGGTATATCGAATCTGTTGTACTGTGAGCCCAGTTGCTGTCTTAGGCGCTGTTCTTCTTGAAGGCGTTGCGATTGCAGTAACTGGTCGTTGTACAGCTTTGCTCGCAGCAGCTGATGCTGTTGTTGCAAGGGAATTGGTTGTTGTGGGGTGTGTATGTATCTTTGATGTTGTTGTAAAAAGTCTTGCTGTTGTGTCAATTGCTGCAGGTGTGTTGGCTGATTCGTGTATAATTGTGGTGAGTGATTTGTTTGAAGGTGATTGTTTACAAACTGAGGTTGGTTGATTAGGTTAACATCGTTCAAACCAACATCGCTGCGGTGTATAATGATCGGTAGCTGAACTAGTTGCCGAGTGAATTGTGCCGGACGAAAAGTAGTGGCCTCTACATGTCCCCCCACTAGTTGTCGAACCTGGGGCTTCGAAACTTCCGTATAATCGAAGCTTCGAGGGCGCTTCTGTAACAACAGAAACAGGAACGTATTAAACTAGTGGGGGAACTCGAAGCGACCATTTGGTTATCGTCACCTCCACCATTAAAACAAAAAGACACTCACCTGTGGGCTAACCCCTAGCATTCTTAGCGAGGGCGGGACGTTTAGGTTGCCGGGAATCTGAATGTGTCCGAAATCGACTGTGAACGCTTCACACCAAACGCCAAAATGGCCGATGTCGAAAACGGTCAAATCTCCTGGAAGTGTCAGCACTACCGTTTTGCGATCGTACCTTCTCAAAGGTTCCTCCTTTCCGTTTTCATCGGGAACCCTTACACCTTGAGGCGAAGGCTTCGGTCCACGGCCAACCCAAAATTTGGCATCTGCAAAAATAAAAAATTAAAATGCATCTCTTGAAGTGTGACATGGTCCTTGAAGTAATTAATATCCCTAACGATAATTGTAACACAAACCGCAAGGGCAAGAAAATACATTTGAAATAGTGAAAGGTTTGCATGCGTGTAGGATTCGAATATCACATTCTTATGACTCATTCGTTCAAACGTGAGTTGCTATAGAAAAATTGATTATGAGGTCATTTTGGCTAAACTTTTTAATGTCATTGTAATCTAATGTAATGTAATTTTGTAATTGTACTGCTCATCAAATGGCTTTCCTCTGGTCTTCATTTAGCAATACCATTATGATACGTTCTCATCTTTCATAAAAAAGGTCAACTCCATCGAATCAGTCGTATTCTTTGTTCTTTGCTTTTTCCGTTCCATAGATGCAATTGATACAAAGACTGCGAGCGTTGATATTACGAAAAAACAATTACAATGATTTTTTTTAAATTTTTCCTTTACGCGTAATAATGTCCACCTTGTTAGTAAAAGATCGCCACATAGACAACCTGTTATTAAAAATACTGAAACATTTTTTTGTAATTGGCCAATAGAAGTCGTTGATGTAATGGGTATCCTATCAACAATGCAGCACTGTCTGCAATCCTGCCTACATACGATTGCATGATGCTATGTAAACATACTTAGTGATGGCACCATAATACACCGATAATATACGCGCGCAAACTAAAGAAAATCACCAGAAAGCCCCCCCCCCCTTCCTCCGAATTTTACCACGGTTGGTATCGCCCACAGAAACTGGCAGTGACAATATACCCATAGTATATTCTTCGTATATTGTCAGTATTCCAGAATTCGGGACATAGGGCAAGGTTTGAGACTGTACAGCACAAACTTTGAAGAAAACATCTTCCGGAGGTCCATGGGCGATTGGGTTTGCGCTGTCGAAAAATCAGAAGTATCAAGATCTCAATAATGAGCATTAGAAAAAAACCTTTTATCTCATACAAACGAAATTTAAAATGTACAGGTGACAGCTCTACACGCCAGAGTCGCCAGAGCCAGAAAAAGAAGTACGATGAGGTTTATATTAGTATGGAAGTTTAACGTGGCAATAGAGTATTCCAATAGGGAATTTTCTGGCGGAGAGAGTTCTATTCTTTATAATTGGGTACACATAATTAATTTGTCAGTATAATTTTCTTAAGGGTTATCCCTGGGAGTCGAGTCTAACATGAATTTCCATTGGAGTAAGCTCGTGATCACCCGGTATGCCGACGGGAGTGAATTCTTCTTTCAGTAGGAGGTTCGGGGGGGGGGTGTGAATTCTTACATTTGTCTGATTTATGTTACATTCGACTATATCAGTGTCGAGCCATTTGAAAGAAAGTTCAGCTCAAAGAACGAACCCCCCACACAATCCTCCCCACCGGGGGAGTGTATTGCAACCACATATTTATTATGTTCCACCCCGCTGTTAAAAAATTTGATTCCTTAGCAATTGTTCGAAAAAAAGCCTGCACCAAGATTTATCTTATTCAAGTTCGATTATTGACACGCGCGTAACAAAATTGTCATCTTGTCGTAGAAGTGTGTAAATACACGCTCTGAATGGAAAAGGTGCTCCCAATGTACAAAAGATGCGACGCTTGCGTACGCCTATATCAATTTCTCTTTAGAAATTTTGATAAGGACAAATAATTTTCCGCTTGAAGCTTAAAATTCAATTTCAGGTGCTGTCAAGTTTGATTGAAGTCTTCTTTGCAACCGTCTTTTTAATTACGCCGAAGCTGAGTACGTTCAATTTAAAATTAATGGACGAAAATCAAATTGTCGAATTTTTAGTGACGTATTAAATAGACGATATGGAACTGGCGGATGCATATAGACATACGAGGCTAATAAAATGGGGAATATCCGGACCCGCGTGATCGAGAGCAATAAAAGTTAAAAAGCTGTAAAATTACACACCTGGGGCTTCTCCGTCGTAAGATAGGTTCGGAACCAGGAGAGTTTGCGCGTCCACGATTACAATATTATCGGAGGAGACTCCATGTACGCCCCTCAAAGCATCTATCTTCCGGGGTCTTGGGTAGTCGAAGTTGCGTGGTATCTTTACATCTCCAAAGTTCACCTGCAAAAAGACGCATATTTTTACATGACTCAAGTGCGATTTCGAGCAGAGCTTTTTTGGATCTCCGCTTAAATTGGATAAAAACTTTCGCGATAAATTAATATTGCCGAGCTTTCGTGGAAGTTTTAAAGTGCCAAAAAGAGATTTAAAAATAGTTGTTGAACTAACGACAATTTTTGTAAGAGTGGTAAATTGCACTTAGTCAACTCCACTTCGTTTTATGCTATACCTCAACAACCCTTACAGTGAAAATGATTCAAAGTTACACTTCTAATTTGCCATAAATTTCACATTGCGCTGTATACGATTTAATTGAAATTTTAATAGCAAATAAAAGGTTGAACCCAATGCTTTTATTCATGCCAACCCGAAACTACGAACCAGTATAACAAAAGTTCTGGTGGTGGATATCATAACAATTTTTCCAATTCTAATTGCAAAATTTATAACAATTCTTAGTATAATTTGACATCACGTTAGACAGAACTCTAAAGTCCTATCAAAAGTAACAACGGCAAAAGTTTAATGAACAATTTCAGGTAGTTTCTTGGGTGCATTGTTTTATCACAAACACAATTAAAGAAACTTTTAAAAAGTCACACAACCAGAACTACACCAGGAAATGTTCCCAGATATGGACCTTCCTAGCCACTGAGGCTTGGAATATTACTAGCTCATTATATTTCTTACTAAAAAAACTTCATTAAAAAAAGTGTTACTATTAAAATGGGTGCCCAGGACTCGTAATTTCCGACATTTCTCAGTCTCAAATGTAAGATCCACCCATTAGTTTCCCTATCCCTATCATTAGATTTGAAGTTTTTAGGGGATATCCAGCATGTTAGCATGCAAAATTATACCAAAATGTTTTGAGATGAATGTTTTTTTTAAATTATAAGGTTTAATAATTCACTTTCAAATAGGGGAAAGCTTTTAGTAAAAATTAAAAGTTTCTAGCTATTGTAATTGCTGAGATCTCAGCCAGACAGCCAAAAATTTCCAACGCGCTCGAGAATGTGCATGTAACATTTTTTTGCAAGTTTGTGGCCTAACCACTCTCTCACGTCACGCTCAAATCGTCAGAATATAGCAATGCACACTTTTCAACACGTAGTCAACCCACCTTTAATCTGACGTGCACGAGTACATCCCAAAATCCCCTATTGGATTCCCCTATTATATCCTGTAAGTATTGTTGTGTAATTTACGTGGTTTAGTCGATGTTTGGTTTTTTGTTTGTAAGAAATTACCCACGTGTTACAAGAATGTTATATTTGTAAAAGATTATCTCATGTTTTTCTCCAGTCGTAAATAAGTAAGGTTTGTTATCGCTATGAAATTAATTAATATTGTAAACAGATGTCGCAAATGCTTAATAAGAAATTGCGCGTGGTTTAAAAAAAAGAAGAAAGTGTAATTGAAAGAGGAGAAGGGAGGGAATTGTGTGAGTGTAATTTTTATTTGAGTTAACTGGACAGCTGTTTTGTGGGTGGCGTAGTGACCGTTTGCTATTGCACACAGCAGTATGTATAGGACACCAAAAAAACATTTTTTTCCAAATAAACCAATGATCCAAACTGTTTAGGTTGGGAACGAAATACTCCAAAAGCCCCAAAATTTGCGTTCCCTCTTTATTTTTTTCCAGCAGCTATAAGAGATAAACCCGTTCCGAGTGGCGCAGTTGAGTTGAAGCTCGGCTGCGACATTAAGGGTCCCTGGTTCGTATCCTAGTGGGAGCATAGATATTTGTAAATGTATAGTGAGTTGAGTGGATAGAGCAGCCTTGCTTGAAACCCCGCCCACTTAAAAATAAAGGTAAAAAAAATAAATAAATTGAACTAACGGTGTTACCTAGGTTTGTGGGACACCTAATAATTTTTAAATACTTATACCACAGATATTTTATCTGTGATTATACGTTACACCCTGTAAAATACATTCTTTAATTATCAACAATTTTACAAGGTAACGTTAGGTCTCTTACGAATTCTGAGCAGTTTTTGAATGCCCTGAGTCCCTGAAAACTATTCAGGTTCAGTAAAAAACGAATAAAAGCCCTTGTAAACTGTTGGAGATCTAATACTTCCTTGAAAAACTTCAATCATTGTTAAAAACTTTTGAAGCTTCCAAAAATCCTCTAGCGGCTCTTACAGATTCATAAAAATAGCTCTTAAAGCCTAATAAGGGTTTTATTATCCCAAAATACTCTTGAATGCTTGTTGCAGGCGGTCAAAGGCTAACCTAAAAATCCCTTAAAAGCTTTTAAAAACTCCCTTAGGAACCCTTCAACAGCTTCTTAGTTTCTAAGCCTCTTCAAGCTCTAATTTTGCAGACTAAGATCCTTAAATACCTTTTACAGGCTATAAACATCACAAACGGTTGTGGAGTTAAAGAAAGAAAAGCATATTACAGACCTTTAAACGCCTTTAATAACTAGGAAAATCTCTGTATGCCGCTAGAAGGTTCAAAGAAACTCCTTTCGAAAGCTTGAATATCCTTAGACATTCTTAAATGCTCCAGAAGACTGTGGTAACCTCTAGAAAGGCCTCGAATACTTTTAAAAGCTGAAAAACGCGATTGTTTTCAAAGGCCTCTACGAAGATCTTACATGGTCGTTGAGACTCTTGACACATTTGAAAATTTCCTAACTCCTGGATATTTTTATAGGCCCCATAAGGTTCTCACGCTCTTAAAGGATACCTACTGCCATAGTTTCTTAAGAATTGATAAGAAGACCCTTTAAGTGCTCTTAAAGATTTTCTTGGCTGCAGTCCTAGAGTAAATTGCGTATGACTACGAGAAATTTGAACAGTACGCCTAAAGTGAACGCGTGAACTAAAGTTTGGTGGCCTTCAAGTTCAAACGATATTTCGCGAAGGAATTATTACGATAAAGACGAAAAGTGGCGTAATTTTTTTATGTGTGGAGGTAAATCATTGTAATATTTTTAAGGCGAATGGACTAAAAATAATACTATATGACGTAATCTTCCGCCCTGTGCAGATAGACTGTGCGCAAATCTTTTTATTGACATTGACGCTTACCGTCGGATTGGTTAACAATTTTTTTTGTGATGAATTTCCAATCAAAGCAGCCATTCATTTAGAGCTTAAATTTTAGGCAGTCCATTACAATATGTAAATATTTGGACACTAAAAATACCAGCTCCTACGCGCGTTTATGACGATCAGTATTAGTATGGCAAAACGTATCAATTATAAATAATATACAAAATTAAAACAATTATGCATCGACCGGGAATCGAACCCGGACCGCCTGGTTGGAAGTTATACCGATTAAACGAACGACGACAACGACATGTAGCATCTTAATAGATATAGATGGGATCATGTGTCTCGACAACTTTTTTGGGTCTGAAAAATTTCCCCTAAATATTCCAAATCTATCTAAAGATAAGTGATCGCATTTCCTTTAGTTCCTCTTTTTCATAAGTGGGATATTCCTAACCTGGTCGCTCCTTGCGTATTTTTTTAAGAAATTTGCGGAACAATGTTTTAGTATGGTCTTACATTCTCTAATTCACTAGAATGAAAGTCGGAAAGTACAATATTGTCATTACCCTATCAATGCATTTTGGAATTATGAGTATTTCACGATTTCTTTGTAATTGTCTTCCATCACATATTATTTTCACCTCTCAAGCACCATTTTTCATTTTTATTGGTAGCATTTTCCTCCAAAGGTACTGACACTATAGGGCGATAAAGTCAATTTTGCAATCGTTGAAGAAAAATTGTCGCAGGGTTCGCAGTCATTTCTATAACGAAATTTCTGTCATTCATGCTACTTCCCTGATACTTTTTTTTTCATAAAATAAAAATAGCACATTAGATATTGATTTAAATTACCCAATGACAGTTAATCAAAACGACCCTAACGCCTTAAAGAAATGAATTTAACAAAATAATATTATGTTTCAATTAAAGAGGTCAAAGAAATGTATTAAGAAAATCAGAGAAGTTAAAAGGGCGATATCTTAGTCAAAAAGAGACAGCACCGAGAAAAATAACATCTCATGATGAAGTGCTCATCTCAATGAATGTGCCCGTATATACGTGTAACATTTAAGAAAAGTGTTATACATGCAGGGTGCTCGTTCTAATGTAATACTTCTACTTTTTCGTATTTGATGTACACTTTCGTCTGATGTAATTGACAAATTTAAAATTCAAAATTGTAAGTGACAGTAGTAATAATATTTCGCGTTATTCACAGTTCCTTTTGTTATGAACCAATTTTCCATTTCTTTCTCAGCAATTTCGTTCGTATTACCAAAATTAAAAAGCAGAAATACGCGATGCCATCCCATCACCGAAATCCTTGCAGACTTTCGCTGTCAATGTCAATGAGTTTTATGGTAACCAATAAAAAAAAAACGAAAAAGTCATATAACGTAGAATATTATTGGGTTTGCAACATATCTTACGAAATCCCAGTTACATCAGTCATTTACAAGCGTTTAAGAATGCATACTTAATAAATGTCATCGTACCTTTGCCTCAAAAACCCACTAAATTAATTCAGGTTGCATCTTTTCTGGTTTAATTATCTAATAGCCTGCGTGTACCTTTGAGCAATGACCTTTTCACCGCATACAAGGAAGCGCTTTTTCGAATAATTTGTTGATGTAAAATATGTGAAGATAAGTTGGGTATGATTTCATACGTTTTGTAGGTTAGAGGTTAATGCGAATAATACATAATTATTTTGCAATGGAAATATACAAAATTCTCACCGTGAACTCCTCGCACCACACCGAAAACCATTTGATGCTGTTCAAAGTTTTTCCTTCGGGTAAGGTCAGGATGACGTTTTCCTTTCGATATCTGCGTATCACTTCCGGATTTCCGTTTTCGTCGGTCAGGCGAAAACCTCCGGCGCCGGGGGCCCTTGTGTTGCCAGCGTAAAAGTATGCAGCTGAAAATATTAAGAGCAATTAAACACCTCTCACTAACCTTATCGTTTAGTATATGGGAATTTGGCCTAAAATTTAATCAAGTCATGTCCTATTTGTGCTCCATATTTGAGCCTTATGTGTTGATTTTGGGTTATAATGCAAACGGACGAACGGGCGAACGTTCCGACTTTCTGACGTTTTTGGTAAAGTAGCTGCTCGAAATACTTGAGAAAAATTTTAACATTATTCTCTCTGTACTGATAGGTACACGTTGTACCTCCCCTTACAGTTTTAATTAAATTTGGTTTGGATTTTTTAGGCAGATTACTTAAATTAGGCGGAAAAAAATTATAGTAGAAGCTTAAGGAGGCTCTACTACTTTGATTTGCCGATGACGCTACCAAAACGGTTGTGAACATTCTACGATGTCTCTAGTCCTGTTGTTCATGTCCTCACTTTTTCTCCTTTGTGGTCCTCTGTATAGTCTATCCATCCTCTTTTGGGCCTTACCCTAGACCACTTTTCACTTACTTGCAAACCCAAAATCTTTCTCAGTACATGCCCCTCACCTCTACTCAACATCCATATCACTGCAAATCTCGCTCCCTCACATTCTTCGATCTTTCCACACTCTCTGATCTCTGAACCACTCGTTTGTTACCCAGCCTTTTCCAACCACTGAGTAAAAAATGTGTACACCACAATTCCCATCAGACTTCTAAACGACTTCCGTCATTTTCTATCTTATAAATGAATTTTTCCCCCACTTTCTGGCGTCTGCATTTGTAAAAGAGAAAGAATCTCACTACTGAAGGACCTCTGTGGGCAATATTAGCCGAAAAAGGGGGATAAACAGTCCAACCAGTTCCCATGCGGATTCGATTAAGAAGAACCAAACGTATTCTTGGATCCCTAATTTGAATAACTGGAATGTTACGGGGGGAGAATTGTTCAGGGTTGAACTTTCTTAATGGAGTGTATTATGGGACCAAGGCTATTTCGGAGGAGAATATTTCGGGGCGAATATTATGGGGACGAACAATTTGGGAATAGAGAACTCACTGGCTCGAATCTTGCAATAGAAATAGAAGGATAGAGGCAGAGTTATTCCAACCCACTTGGAGTCCTGAATTCTCCTTGAAGTAAGTTCCTGGTAAGCGAGTGATTATACCATACTTTGATCCAGATTTAAGCTCGGATTTCCACCTTAAATTAATCGTACGTAGTGAAAGGTAAAATGATGCACAAATTTGCCACAGACGAAAGAGGTTAGTATTCAATGAGTAAACAATTTTGACCGAAGAATTAGAGAATTGGTGATACAATCTGGAAGTGGCTGGTAGAAATATCTTCACTGACGAGGCAAACTACAAGACATAAAAGATCCGAGAACAGACTTTTTAGGAAAATTTTAATTCGTTTTAGGAGTTTTCCACTCGCGCTTAATAAATCAGCCCGTGGTCCGATTTTGTTGCGGATGTTGGATAAGGGGTTGAGGAGGATAATGTGGAGGGAAGATCAATTTGGATTTCGAAGGAGTTTGGGAACCAGGTATGCAATCGTAGTAGTAAACGCAATTGGGGAAAGATATATAGAACGAGGAAGAACTAGCGGATCTGGAAAAGGCATTCGATTGTGTGAAATACGGAAAACTGCTAGAAATTTTCAGGGACAAGGGTGTGAACTGGAGAGAAAGAATATCAACTTGTGCACGAAGCAGGAGGTGGCACCGAAGGTGGTTGATAACATGACTGAGTGGTTTGGAATAAGAAGAGGAGTTGTTGTCAATCACCTACTTTATTTAATATTCATATAGAGGATATGACGAGGAAGTGGTGGGAAAGAAATAACGGAGTAAAAATAGGTGGCAGAAATGTAGTGATTCAGTTTGCTGATGATATGATCATATTTGCTGAAAACAATCGGGAATTGAATGAAATAAAATGTTGAAACAACCGGAAGACATGGAAGACAAGTATGGATTGAGAATTAATCACAAGAAAGTTGAGACAGAGGATGTAATGGATGTATTTGTGAGGGGAAACAAGCAAAAACAACTTAGGCACAGCAATATCCGACGATTGTTTGAATGAAAAGGAGAGAATAATAAGAATTAGAATGGCCAAGACAGCGTATATGAGAAAGAGTGTGGCTTAACAGTAAGATGGATTTAGAATTGAGAAAAAGGCTAGTGAAATGTTTAATTTTGAGTGTTCTGTTGTATGGATGTGAGGTATGGATATTAAATAAAAGAGAATTAAAAAGACTCGAAGTATTCGAGATGTGGACTTGGTGCAGGTTGTTAAAATGTAAAATGGAGTGATAATTTCTTTCTAAAAGGAGGAAGTATTAAGAAGAGCAGGAGAAGAAAGACCACTGTTAAGGAATATTAGAAAGGGAAAGAGAAACTGGGTGGGCTAAAGTGTTGAGGGGTAATGGAATGTTGAGAGACGTATTGGTGGGATTGGTTGGGACGGAAGGTGAAGGGAAGCGAGAAAGAAGAAAACGGAAATGAATTCCAAGAAGGGAATCGGAAATGTGGGGATGCAGAGAGAAAATTTCGGGGACACCAAAGAATTCCCAAAGATAAGTTCAGTTCAATACAAAACACCTTCTTTCGTTTAACACCTTCTTCGTTTCAACAGCATTTTCCACAGAAAAGTTGCTTAGCAGATCTTTGAGTAATTTACTTGACAATCTGTCTGGAATTAAAATTATCTTGGAATGTTGGAGGAACCCCTTTCGCCTAACGCGTCCTTATCCGAGTTCATATACCTTTCTTATACAAACTCCTATACGAACGTTTCTAATGTTTTTTGAATGACTTCATTTTTTTTTATTATGTAGGTAATCTGTATTAGAATCGCCTAAAAGTTACTGAAAAATCTGGAGGGTTGTGTTTTGAACGGGATCCAAAAAATGTTTTAATTTATACCCAGGTTGTCCTAAGGTTTAAATGCCTTTTTTGCGAGGAAGGTGGGACCTCTAAAACGTGAGTGTACATTGAATACGCCTATGTTCAATTCATTTGAAATTTACATGTCGATAGTAAAGTTCACGAACATGGACACTAGGTGCATTACCATGACCTAAAATTGAGGAAGCTTTGGTATATAATTAGCGCACGATAGTTATTTTATTTTAATACATTCACGATTCGTGACGTAATAGTTTCGCTAGCAATGTAATTTACCTTATTCACGGTTAGACATATTGTAATTTTCGATTTATATGTACAACACTTTGGCATAAATTAGCACACAATCACATAATTTAATATACACACTTTATATTGCACTACCTTGAATCTCATCGTTGAACTCCCTTGATGAAATAACGCAAAAAGTGATTAGAATCAATCTACCTTTTTTTGTAGGTAAATATCACGGAAGCATAGGAGTTGGATGATTTTTGAGTCATCTAAAGCAAGGAAGAAGTCGAAACGAGGTGCGTTCGACCAATTTATAATGACAAAAGTGTTATTTTCTAGTCACTCATGAATTGAACCTAAAGTGATTTTGATATAGAAATTATTTTCTAGACCTACTGGCCTTTCAATGGGAAATTCAAGATGGTTCCAAAAAGTACCGTCACGAGTAGGAGTGCAAACATCATGAAATAAAAATGTATGAAGTACCTATAAAAAATAAGTCATATGCTAATATAATTCGATGTTGAAATATGACTGCTACATGCATAACCGCCGTGGGATTATAAACAAAGGTTATTGACCAAACTGTTGCAACGTTTTGTGCAGAGAAAGTCGCCAAAAGGAGAATCTGCGGAAGTTACGGTTTGTTGGGCAAATTTTAAATACGTAGGGCGTCACTTTTGGAAGTGTCTTTAGTGAATATTACACACAATGCATTACAACTGGTTATGCCTTTTAGGAATGATTATGAAAAAATGTTTAAAGATCCGTTTTAGACACATTTGTGTGCCCAGATACTATCACTGTCGATTATGCTACATCAGAAACTAATGTAATTTGCATGTAAGGTTATTTTTCATGTACTAAAACACAGTATTGTCTCAAAATGCAATAAACAAAAAATTAGCGTGAGACCATGGCCAAATTTGTAGAGAAGGCACGGTTAGGTTTTTACTAACAAAGTATTGATGACCATGACCCATGTGTAAATTAAAGGCTTTTCACCAATAAATTGATCGTAATTTATGACAGACTTTTTTCTCTGTTTTAAGCGTAAACAATCTTGAATTAATGTTGTCACTGTTTAATACTAATTTGTTTACAGTGAGCCATTTTTCAGTCATGATCTTTGACAATTTTGGAAGTTTCATCTAGCGTATTGGTGTGATTGAATCAATATGTATCATCTTCATACAATGGCAAATTTCAATTTACAGAAATCTTTAATACAAATTAAGAAAAAAGAGGCTCAAGAATTGATCCTTGTGGTCCTCCATGCGTCACTGCCTATTCGTTACATAAAGTGTTGTTGTAGCTGACACATTGACTTCAGTTAATCAAATGAACACTACTAAGGTTATGCATTTCCAATTTTGCACGAGATCAAACGCTCTTCTTAAATCTAGGAAGATAGCCATAGAACATTCATTCCGTTAAGAACAATTTAATATTTATTTCCGTGTGTCCGCATCGGTATCGGTATCGGTAGCTTTTCCCTCGATTGTCATAACTTTGTAGGGCCAATTTCTTATGGAGCGAAACTATATTTTTTGGGCGATCTTTGTATCTTTATGGATATCGATTTTTGACCAATTGTTTAGGTTTTTTTGATTTTTGAGCGCGGAAGACGCAAACATTAAAGGTTAGAGACTATGAATTGCTTTCCAATGTATTGCACGGATAGGCATGGTCTTATAGGAAACCTACAACTACTTTATTAAATTATAAATTAAATGTAAATACACTTTTTGCGTATACAAACTAATTAGGCTGAATAAATTAGGATTTTGGAATAGGCACTAGAGATCTAGACGTATGCGGTTAAAGACAGAGAAGTTTCATTTTTAAAAGCCAAATATCATCTTAAAAAACAACATTTTCATAGATATTGATTATAAACTTAAATAGATCGTTTCTTTTAAAATGTACAAAATAAACAATGATCAGTTTACACTTTTTGCAGTCGTAGCATTACTTATTTATTACACTGTTCAATATTGTAATATTACAATAACACCAAAGAATGCCAGGAAAGACTTGATAAATAATTGGGTTCCAAATTTTGTTCATAGTCTATGAGTTTTTGAGCTTTAAAGCATAATTCATTTACTTACTGTAACAGGTGACCGCTTTGCCGTTTCAAAAACTTCGTTTTGAATTTGTATTTTATTAAATATAGGGAAATTTCCTCATGTATTTCTTAATAGTGAACTTGTACTAAAGTAACTCTGGCGATAACAAGAAACGTATTGGGGAAAACGAGCGCTTTACCAAGATATCTTCGAACCTAAAGGTTGCGTTCATTCAAAAGCCAGCCAAAATGCGACTTTTTTATTGCTGGGTGTAGCACGTTAATACGTTGAATTCCTAGCGACGTTATAAAAATAGAAATTTTATTTCGCGTATTTACAAAGCTTTGTGGTAAAAATTTAAGACTCATTACGTATAATTTTCTAGTACAATTTCTTACAGTTGCTCTAAAGTGAAACTGGTTTTTCTTTGAGTGAAAATACAGAGACCTGTGCGTTATTGATAAATTTCAATCGCGTTTGTTAAGAAGCGTGTAATTGAAATCGGATTGGTGACAGAGTGCGAGTTACCTGCAAGCTTAATTTTATAAGATTTTAAAAGTTTTAAAACATTTAGAAGATTCTCATCTAGACATCTGCTGAGCATTTCAAGTACAAGAGTTAATAATTCATCATAACAAGGTACTTCGAAAGCTCTAAGCAGATTTTAAAAATTCTAGTAGTTTTAAACGTTTTAAAGAGATTGTTAGAAACTTCCAAGTTTCCAACATAATCATAAGATAGTAAAAAGAAGTTTTTGTAACCTGCACCTTTTAAACATATGTAATCGCAAGTTTGGAATTAAAGATATCTAAGAGATTTTAAAATAATTAAATATATCTTATAGACATACATATATAGAGACGTGAAAATTTAATACTTTTTGCAATTTCCGGAAAATTTTTCCACAATATCATACTAACAATTCTCACAATGGTTATTATTCCCAATAGCATAAGTAAAAGTCTTTAAATTCTCATTGTCCAATAGCTATAACATTCCTGATAGGATAGACTTCACAGAAAAAAATAAACTAATCAAATTCATATGAAACCATGGAGTGGGGGTCCTACTCTTCTTTTAAGGAAGATAATGAAATCGGTACGACTAAATTAGCTTTAACAATGACCAAATTATTCCGTGTTCCGTGTTATTTTGATCCTTTGCAAGTCTTCTCCAAGACTCCAAAGGGACCAGCATGAAATGGCCCCCTTGTATTGCGATCAAGATGTCTATATTTTCAATGACCATATTCTTAAATGTGATAATTGTATGCATTGGTGAATATAGTTTTGATTGGTTTGAGAGAAAAGCTCTGTCCTGACCAAACTTCTAATTTTCTCGAAAATGTCAGCTACTTTCTTTTCTCATTAAATTCCATTTGATTTTCTATCGATTACAACCGTAAAGATATAAAAGCACTGTGACTACAGTTGTTGACTAAAAGCTCTATATAAACCACCGCGACTGTTTTATTATGCAATATTGCAATTTGAAAGTTTGTGTTAGTCGGGAGCGGATTACTTCTAGTGACAAGCCACCTAAGTGTAATTGTACTTTTGCGCTTATTTAACAATTAAGCAATACGAGCTGCGAATTACTGCTGTGTGACTTACGAGAATAGACAGTACATTGAGGCATGTGTTTTTAACGCCCAAACTTGGGTAAGCGCTAATTATTTCTCCTCACTTACACGTACACAATTTATCCAAAACTTTTTAATGAGTTTAACGGTCTAAACTTTTGTAACTAACCACAACAGACAGTACAGGTTAATTACGAGTGATGCGGTTCAAATAAGTAAATAAATATCTGTTTACCTGGTCCTTGTCCGTCGTACGTGAAATCTTTGAGGTGTAAAGTTCTAGCGTCTATTGCGTAAACTTCTCCAGATACGCCGTGATGAAGTTCGCTTAGTTTTCCAATAAATTTTCCTAGATAAGCGGTGTAGACACTCTGAAGAGTTACTGTAACAATAAAAAAAATAGGTAATTTAGGACTGAGTTAAGTTTTAATTTTAAGTTATACGGCGGAAATCTTTGTTTTTCCTATGCGAATTTAATAGCGTTCGGCCTTATGAAGGTTGTAATCGCAATTTTATGCCGTAAAACCGAATTCTTACCGGTATGTTAAGTACGTATTTTTTATAAAAGTAAAAATTATGACAGATATCGGATTCAACCTAGAATTATTGGTCCATTGAACACTCACATTAGACATACTTTGTAGTAACTGATGAACTAACGTGGAATTAATAACTTTCTTCTGACTTCTGTTATAAGGTAAATTGTAGGTATGATTTTCCAAGTTGACTTTGTAGGTCAATCATTTACTCATGTGTATGTTACATATGCTATACGAATGTATTACATTCATAACTAATGATCTGTAGTAAGAGGTATCATTTCAAATCCTTTAGAAGTTATTTAGGAAGATATGCTTGATTTACAATTTTAAAATGGTAAGGAAAAATTATCCATGTGTAAAAATCACTACCGATAAAATAACTTGAGCTTGTAATTTCTAAATATTTATTCTGATCATTGGAGTTTTCGCAGATACTTGAATTCTACTCAAGATCCGGCCACAATTAGGAAGGTTTTAGGCTACTGTCCAAATGCCGCTAGCCAGTACACGAGAAATTTATAATCAGAATATAAACAAACAGCAGTGCCATTTAGTATACTGCTCAAGGACTGATTAAATATACGTTCAGTTTTCCTTTACGATTAAATTAGTACTGCCTACCTTCTACATCTCGCAAAGCTAGTACATGGGCAGAGGGTGAAAAAGGGTAAAGTAGTTTTTTGTCAAAAAATTGTCCCCCTTGACAAATCTTTTGACGTGTCTCGGCGTTTTTTTCCTTTAATCAGTGGTTTTAGATAAATCCGCGGTGGGAACTTTTCAAATGAACACTCTGAGTACAGGGTCCTGCAACAGGTGCGTTGGTCTTTCCTAGGTCCTAGACCATACCTCGTAAAAAATTTAAAAAAAATTGCGTGTATCATCCATAGATGGTTGCGCATCTATAAGATGTTATTTGTGAATGTACAGGGTGTCCCATTTTACGGTGTTTTACATGTTTAGATCTCTTTTGTTAACCTCTATATTGAACGCTATTCACATTCACCCATAAGAAAGCCCCAGTTTGATATATCGTAGCGAACTTGTTTTTTGAAGTTAGGAAATACCTTTGAGCAACAATTTTAATACGAGTAACAGGCTACACATTGATAATGGGAAAGTTGGATTTAGTAATACAGTTCAGTGCAAAAGCGTTCACAATTCGTTGTTGCATATTTTTAGCAGTTGCCGGTGGATCACTGTACACTATTCACTTCACATAATACCATAAGAATACTTCTACCGAAAAATGAGCAGGGACCCCATCCTGTTGTAGCCGAATCCTATATTTCTTGTGTACATCAGGTACATCAGCTAAAAGGCCGGGTAAGTCATATTACAAGAAAGGAGTACTAGGTTTTAGTGAGATGTTTGTTATAACGACCCTGAATTCGAATAACAGGTAACATCTAAAAACGACATTTTGTAATCAACACTGTCATGGTATTACTTATTTATACCATAGAGACTTTTTCAACCATATTTTCGTATATTTTTGTAGCTTTCCCTCAAACGGTAGGGGAATTTTAAAACGTATAAACGGGAATAGGCAATTTAGAACAAGCAAAAACATTTACGAAGAATGAATTTTTCTCAAAAAGTAAATAATACAAAAGTTTTCCATCTTGTAAAGTCGATACGGGTAATTACTCGCCTCTTATACAATGTAATTTAATGTAATGTATATTTAGTCGTAATACCACATTAAATGCTCGCGACACGTCCAATTACAGTAAAAATCAGCAGTATACAATAAAAAAAGTACAAACAGACAGATAAATTCATACAAAACTAACAGTATTAAAAATTACAAATAAGACAAGTTAAAATCACAAATTAAAAACAATAGGTGTACTGAAGTCCTCTATGGAGTAAAAACAATACGTTAAAAAATGATTTTTTATAAAAATTTTAACTTAACGAAATTTAAATGCCTCACAGCCAGTGGTAGTACATTATACAGATCTATGCGAGGGCTATTATTTTATTTATCTTAAAAACAAATATGAGCTGTTTTGTAAATTGTCCGAAAAAATGTTGTCTTTCCAGATAAGGAGGATTGAATTTTCGTTGGGACACCCTGATGTGTACTTATATATTCGTTTAATTTATCTTTACGCAAAATCGTGATGAATCCTTCATTTTCGTACATACTTTATGTCAGGAAATTGTAGTTTCCATGACAGAGGCAGACCAGATTACGTTTCCTCCCGCCTATCATTTTCCCGCCTGCACTTGTCACTTTACAGGCCGCACCGTTACCGTTTGACAGCTAAATGTCTAAATTGAAATTTTATATCAAAATCGAGTGTAAAATACGATTTCGGGTAAAATTTAATACACACTCGTCAGTAAAATGACATTACCTGACTCGGAAATTAAAGTGAGTGCTCGGGCACATCGCGCGCTTTAAATTAAACGGTACCATAGTGGTATTAGAATACGATTTAATTTATTAATAAGTTATTTTCGATCGAACCAGCGTGGGAAAGCGGCGCCAACCTGGATGTGGTGGTCAGCATAACGGTACAGAAATCTCGAGCGCCACCAGGATGTTTCAATCCTTGCTCCTGGTCAAAGGAGGTGGTTTCTGAACAGAAATTAAGAACCGTAAAACGGAGAAACGGATTTCCCAGGCACAATAATTATCTAAATATGGAAAGCGAACGTCGGAAATTTCGGCCGACCGGGGGACTCGATTGATAACATCCAAAAATTAAAACCAGGCTATCTGACGTTTTAAAAATCGGGGACTAATCTTGAAATAAAAGTTAATTAAGCACGTTTCTTCTGAGGTCAGATCTAATGAAACGAAGTTTGCGGCAACACAATTAATTCACTACGGTTAATTATACGGATTAAAATTTCCAAATTTGGTAGCCCAGTAATGCCCTTTGTTACATGGAATTTCGGATCAATAATAAGCTGCACGACCATGCTCGTTTTCGCTTAAGTCTTCTTTACCTAAGCGCAACTTTTTTACATCATAGTGCTTTACGTTGGGTGCAGTGGGTACAGAAGACTCTTAACATTGGAAAACTTAATATCTAATTAATAACCAAGCTGGAATCCTAAAATATTCAGTTTTACCCTGCTTCCCCACGCCGAGGGCTATCCGATGCTACAAAAATTATTTACATATCTCTACGTGAACATTTAAAAACTTCACAATTATGTTCGGCAGCTGGGTTTCCTTATCAGCGGTTAAACGACTCTACAAATTAAAACGTTACTTTTACCTTCTACTAGTAAAAAACTGCATAGGTCCAGCACTACCGCTTCCCGTAAGGAAACGCCCGTTTGCCTCTAAGAACCGGATGTTCATCAAGTCTGGTAGCTTCCGGAAATGTACGGTCCGTTCATTAATTATGATATAATTTTGGGAAAAAAGTAAAAGGAAAAACCATTACAAACTGTGATTTTTTACTTATAATTGAGGTTTGTATTTTGCCGAATAAATTTGGTTTGTTTAGGTAATGGAAATTTATTGTCTAAAAGGAAACATATTTGAATTGCAACAATACAATTTTACTCGGTTTGAATACAAACCTCAAGTGTAATTAGGCAGGACAAATTCACAAATTAAACTATTCATAAGGGAACGGATAATTGATTAGAAAATGAATAAGTGAAAAAACCACTAGTGCATTTATTGTCGCTGTAAAAGTTGCAGGCAACTTTTGCCGTTGCCAAGGTGACAATTGCACTGCGGTTTATGCGATTTTTTATACATGAGTTAAATTGTAATGGTAATACAATATTTCAGCGTATGACTCATTGATGAATATTGTAATAATAAACCTACTGTTTATTGCGTTTCTTACAGTCGTACACTAAGTAGTTAGAAAAAGATGGTAATTCGTAACTTAAGTCTACTGTCCAATTTATATTACCAGCCTAAAACGTTCTAGTCTAGAGCCGGTGGACGGTGACATTTTTTTAGTGACAATTAGTTAAGGCCTATTTTTTGTGAGAATGCTGTGGGGGGTATGCACGAGTGTCATCCGTGAGGAAAATCCCTGCAAGCGGTATGGGAGGGCGGCAGAACGCCTTCAACCTGTCAAAAATTATGATCAAAATTATTATTCAGTGAAGGCTGAAATTTTTTTTATTATTCAGTTGGTAATCCACAATTTTTGGTACAATACTTGCAGTTTTTTTGAAATTTTTCATTTTGATTTTGATTTTTGATTACTTCTAAAGTATATCGTGTAAATTGTAGATGGTGTAGGGATTTAATAAATGTTTTGTTTTCAAAAATGAATGGGGTGGTTCTCAAAAAATGTTTTTTTTGAAATTTTTCATTTTGATTTTAAGTTTTCATCGATCCAAAAATTGCCAACAGACGATATACCTATTGGATTCTAAATTAAATTCGTAATGAAACTTACTTCTGTACGTAATAAATGTTTTTTTTTCATTCATTTCTTATAAGAGATTCACCCTCGGATTCACCCAACCCTTCCTTCAAATCTGCTTTTTGTAATAGTCACCAATTGGTTTAGAAATTTGTATACATCTCAGAAGTTCTCATATGATGGAATATTCAGGAACTGTTACTTATAAAAAAAAACCATGTAATGTAAAGCTTCTTTCTATAACAGATTCCTCCGAACTTTTATTTAACTTTACCAAGTTTTATTAGTGCCTTAAGGCGACTCGTTTGTTATGAATGCATGCATATGTGAAAATGAAAATCATCCCAGAAAAACCTACGAGTGCTCTACTACCTAGAATAACTTCCCTTATTGCAACTAATTTTTGAGTAGTTGTTCGAGTACACTTTAATACAAAATTGCAATTTATACAATTGGAAGCCCCTTCGGTCGTCCATTACGATCAC